GATTGAGCTGTACATTTTTGTCTGCCCTTCCAAAAAATTTCTGATTGAAGGTATTAAAATTTTCACTTGCATTTTGCAAGTATGCAAATTCTTTAAGACAAAATTAAGTCAAACTTAAAAAAATATTTATCAGAGATGACATTATGCATTATTTGTTAGACATGACACAGATGTTATGAGATGGAATTTGAAACTAAAGACATATCTAAGAGTTTATTATGTTTTCCAGGGTATTCCAAGACTTACAGTGTGATGTGGATAACAAAAATAATGATAACACAGTCATTCCTCAAGATTCTGATTCGTCCACCTATGTCAAACAGGACACTAATACTGTTGTAACTGAACCTGGTACCAGCACTGATCTGACTCCAAGCTCTTATTCTTCACAGCCTGGAACCAGTTTAGATAATAATGTCTCAATTTCTAGCTCAGTTATTGAACAAACTGTTGCTAATGTTCATTTGACCTTACCTAATGTGATTTTTGAGCAGACTGGTTCTAGTGTAGAAAAGCCAGGCTCAGCTTACTCTGTAAGTGAAAATGTTACGCAAATGGCATCTATACCAGATATAAACATTAGTGGAGGAAATTGTAATGAAATTACTGAAGAAAATGGTGATGATGAAAGTGTGAATGAGGAGACTAGAGACTTGAATAGATTAAAAGATGATTCAAGAACTATAGGCAATAATGCTGGTGTTGATAGTGAAATTATTATAGTGTCTAATAGCTTAAACAATAATAAAGGAGATAAGGCTCTGTTAAGTGATATTAATATTACCATGGCAACTAGTGAAAGTAAAATGGAAGTAGATAATGAACAAGCAGAAGATGTGGGAAAAATTGGTGAAACCAAAATGGAAAGTGCTAGAAATAAAGCTGTTGTAAAATCAACTGTTAGTAATGAGTATACATTGGGTAAGTTTATAGATCATGTATGATGTTTTCTAGAGAACATAAGTTATCTCTGACATTTCAAAGTACCGTTCATTTAATTTCTGTATCTTTTTTCTCATTTTATTTTATTTGTTTATTATCGTGTCTGTACTGTTAAAGAGGCATGACTAGCACTAAAGATTCTGTCCTGGGAAATTTAAATGTTGACCAAATTTCATGCCTTTAAAATGAGTTATTGTGAGTAATTTTGTCAATTTTCAGTTCTGTCATGGTTGAAGGAACACCCTCCTTTAACAGAAGAACAGCTCACTGGGTTATTTATTACTATGGATGACTTTAAGGTAAAGCTTATCTGGATTTTTAATTTATTGAATTTTTAGAAATTCTATTTGTTACTTATTTTTAAAAGTCAGTTTTTATAATGGAATTAGTTGTTTCTTTATTTATTGATATTATTGCATGATATTTTGCACTTATGATTTTATGATTTTGTCAGTACCAATTTTTATATGTAAAAATAATGAAAATATAATTTTGAATAACATAGGTACTGTTGTTAAAAAATCAATAATCATTTGTTTATTAATACAGGAAGCTTTGAGATATGTTCAGCCATCAGCAAAACGTGAAGGTTTTGCAACAATACCAGATGTTACATGGGATGATATAGGGGCACTGCATGAAGTCAGGGAGGAACTTACATTGGCTATATTGGTAATTATTGTTTTACAGTTTCCATTTAAAAAATCTGATGCAATAATTTCTATACTTCATTATACATTTTTTTGAAAAAAAAAATGAAATTAAGCCCGTTTTGGAAGGGTGAGTTTTAACGATATTGTTTGAATTCTGTAATGAATGGTTAAAGGTATTTAGGTGTTGAGTGGTTAAGGTCACTGACTTCAAACCAACTGTAAGTTCAAAATTTGCTTTGGTCTTTGGATATTATTTAATGTTGTATTTGGTTCAACTTGTGGCTAGAATATTGCACTATAAGGCCTTAGTTCAGGTCATGTTTGATGTAATAGATTAAGTTATTTTTCAGGCTCCTGTACGTCACCCAGAACATTTCAAGAGTTTAGGATTGACTAGAGCACAGGGTATATTGCTAGCTGGACCACCAGGTTGTGGTAAAACACTTCTTGCTAAGGTAGCTACGCTTGAAATTTACTTTTACTATCATGTTGCAAAGATTGAGTACATTACATCGATCTTATTGTAAAGGTTGAAAATCACCGTATGAATTAAACACGTTCTTTGAATAATGGAAATTTTTCTTTTTTTATGTGTCAAATTGAATGTGCGATGATCAACACTGATGTGAACACATCTTAAGATGTTAATCATGTTTAAATGTTTAATTGTTGCCTGAAAACATCGGTGGTAGCTTGAATTTACCTCTGCCATCCATAGACCTGAACCTGCAACATTGTCAATTTTGCTGCAGTAGTCAGACTTTAGTGTTCCCAATGTTCACTATTTTAAACAGTGTAGGTGGAATTTAAAACTTATTTAGTAAAGACTGTTTAATCAGAAATACAATTACATATGAACTTTCAATTTATATATTAACAAATAAAACAGAAAAAATGCTCATTTAAAAAGAAAATCAGACAAGGCTGCTAGGTAGTTATGCTGTTTGAATGTTTTTTGTGTGTAATAATTTTAGGCTGTAGCTAATGAATCTGGAATCAACTTTATATCTGTGAAGGGACCAGAACTTCTCAACATGGTGAGTGTTTTTTAATGGTCTACTGTAAACTTAGAGCACATACAATATCATGTAATCATTAACATAACATGCTCTCCACAAACTGACACTAAACTGATTAGTTCTGAAACTATCAGTTTAATGCTGAGCCCCGTCAGTCCAACCAATGTAGCTTCAATTCTGGTTTTACTCACCTTACCATCAAACCTCCATGTAAGGTACATCTTCTGATTTAATAAGTACAGGACAATATTATATTATAAAATATTATATAATGCAATATATTGTTAAATGTTATATAATTTTATTGATATTAATAGCTCTTTCTTTTTAAATGTTAGCGTACTGTTTTAATTCAGTCATGAAGAAGCAAAAACTTCTGATTCCAAAAAATTGTTTAAAGATGATTTCTGTCAAAGGGCATGAATGCATTTGAAAACAAACCATTACTTTTTCTTATATTAAGAATGTTAATATATGTTTCAGTATGTAGGTGAGAGTGAGAGAGCGGTACGTACAGTATTTCAAAGAGCACGTAATTCCTCGCCATGTGTCATTTTCTTTGATGAACTGGATGCTTTGTGTCCAAGAAGGTCCGGCCATTCTGAAGTAAGTATATATACTGATGTATATATTTAGTACATGTATGTTATAGAGTTGATAATTTTACATATTTTGATAATGAAATCCCTGAAACTTTAAATTAAGCATGTAAGGGTGAAATTTGTGTTGTATTAGTTCTGTGAACTGTCAATATCTAATATTTGTTATTTATTTACTAGGGTAACTCAAGTGCTAGAGTTGTAAATCAGTTACTGACAGAGATGGATGGTCTAGAGGAAAGGAAACAAGTATTTATAATGGCTGCCACTAACAGACCAGGTAATGTCTTCAAATTAACATTATGATTTTAAACAAATACTAGTAAGCTATGTGATATAAAATTTCAGGGAAGCTAGACTCTACAGAATGCTAATTATATGTCTGTAGATATATAAGAATGTTGGAAAGATGTGTTGAATACAGAGTTTGTAGTAGATATACTCAATATAATGTTGTTGAAGCAGCTATAACAAAGCAGTGAAAATAATAAAATAGAAATTTCTGAACATCCCATGTGTCATTTCTACTGAGTGATGTATTTATCTATATATATATATATATATATATTGTCACATAGGATAAATCAACCTACTGATTTACAGTTGTTTAATAGCTAGAAAATTATTTTTTATATCTTTCTTATTGTGTAGTTTATATTTAATTTGCCTAGATTGTATAGTAGTTGGCTAAGTGTTCAAGCGTATATTGAACTTTATAATGTATAAAATGTTTCTTCATATTTACACCAATACTCTAATTCCTTCCAGCAATCATTATTGGACATTGATACAGATGAGTTGTATAAACTTGTTACATAATGAATCTAATCAGATTACATGCTTAAGTCATGTATTGATAGCCTTGTTAGTCATAAATTGCTTTAAATGACACTGTAATAAGTAATCTAACTTTATGTTGTTTGTGACTTGTAGATATAATTGACCCAGCTGTTTTGAGACCAGGAAGACTCGACAAGACCCTGTATGTTGGACTACCTACAGCTTCAGATAGGCTAGATATACTGAAGTGTATCACAAAGGTCTGTTTATATATAATATAGTGCTGATGTTTAACACAATTTTCTATATACATGAATTTGTTTATTTTGTAACAGTAAAAAAATTTAAAAGGGGAATTTTAAAGAGACTACTGAGGTTTTTCACATGACAAGACTGAAAATATTTTTCCGAGAATTGTGTACCATTTGGTGAAGGTCCGAACTTGTGTGCAAAATTTCAGATAATTCCCTCATCCAGTTTTTGCACAAATCTTCATTTTCAATGTGCAAAATGACCCAAAATGAAAAATTGGGCTCAGAATTGCAGAAAAAAAAGGTTTTTAGTTTAATTCTGAGCATATTATTTAATTATTTATTTAAGACAGATTTTTCCATTTTAAGTGCTTCACTTCACTTCATATGTCAGAATTTCAAATTTTATTTTTATAGGCTTTTTGACCTCGGTTGATTTCCTTATATTTTGCACAAGAAATGTGCTATTAACAACTGTTTTATGATAAAAAGTAAAATTTATACTTAAATTTCATCTGTAAGTTGAAATCGGTCATGAAATATCATTTTTCTAACTCTACCAATAAACAAATGTTGGTTGTTTGTATTTCTGTCCAGACCTATTTCATCAGACTGGTTTGTTAGATTGTAATAAATGTATTAATTATGATGTACTGTATATCAAATGGCATCTGAATCCATTTGTTATTTATACAGTAATAACAGTGGTATTCAAAATTACTGTTGTATTGAAGATGCTGGCTATTTATATTAATTAATTTTTAAAATTTCAGAATAGCACAAAACCATGTTTATCAGATGATGTAAATTTAACCAGTATTGCCGAGGATATAAGATGTGATTGTTACACGTAAGTAGTGTTTTCCCAATTTTTATATGTTAAAAGAATGTCAGATATCTGATTAAGTACACAGGAAGTGACCTTGACGGCTAAATAGCTTAATGACTTGGAAATGCTAAAGTCACTAATTGTCTATTTGGAAGTTTTTATTAGGAAGATAATAAGGTATTTTAATGTTAGGTCTACTGTAGAGATTCATTCTTTAGTCTTAAATAATGTATGTAGGAGCTCCTCTGATATTTAAGGGACACAAAATGTCTTCCTGTATCCCCATTAAAGTTACAAAGTTCACATAATTATAACCTTTAAAAGAGTGAGTGTGACTTAAAACCAACAAAAAAATATATCATTTGGGAACTTTTGTACACATTTGTATGCCATGTTGTAAATGTTTTACTATTAAAGTAAATAATATTACATGTTTTTTATTCGTATTTTCACAGTGGAGCAGATTTAGCAGCTCTTGTAAGGGAGGCTTCAATTTCAGCACTAAAAGAAGCCATTTTAGACAAAGAGAGACAACCTAATGATGTTATTGTAGTTAATAGAGGGCACTTTGATTGTGCTTTCATGAAAGTCAAACCATCAGTTACATTAAAGGTAATAAATCTTTGTACAAAAAAGTAGCATTTTGTTGCTGAATTTGTGGAAATGCCTTTTAACAAAACACAAAATAAAATAAATTAAATAAATAAAAAAGTTACCCTTACAAATAATAGTTATCATTTTAGCAGTATGAAGGTCAAGGTTAGCTTTATATAAGGAACATAATGTCTATAAACATTGGATTTGCCATGTCAGTTTTGAGCTTGAACTGTAATACATGTTTTCTCTTTGAAGACAGTTTGTTATACCTTTAAACTGTTGTATTTGTGGCATGGATTTTCAAGTTTTGAATTTGAATCGGTTTGGAACAGTCCAATCAAACTTTAAGGAATACAAAAATTGAGTAACCAACTATATAGTGCCAGGGCAGACTGTACAGATGACCTTGGCTCTGTACTGGTGATATTAAAGGCTAATTATTTTCAGTTCCAGCAGGCAATAGTGTACATTAAATTTTGAAGAAAATGAAATATAGAACAGTTCAGCGAACACTCATATAGCAGAATCCCTATTTTTCTTATATACTATAGAAATAACCTAGATCTATTGTATTTTTATGTTTAACTTCAGGATCAAGAGAAGTATGACTCTATGAGGAATAAACTTGCTATAGGAAGTTGAAGGCATCAAGCTTGCAATCATAATGAATTTGGCTTGAAATATAAACTCTAGCAAGTTAAGTGTGACAGAATACCAACTGTGATAATTGTGATAACCACCAACAACTGTAAATGTGCATTAATGATCACTATGTAGTTTGTTTCAAACCAAGAGAGAGGCAAACAAGGACTTTCATTGACAAGAGACTGTATCATTTACTATATTGTATATACAAAAGTGAAGTTCTTTATACCTACCCACATTGTCACTGGTCACGTACAGATACTGCTTTTAAAGGGGATTGATCTACAATAGGAACTTTTTCCATAAGTATTTCAAATATTGATAGAAATGTATCATTGGATCTTCTTATAAAATAATTCTCTACAGTATACATGTTGATAAGGTTCTGAGTGATTAAGTATGAACATTTTTTCATGTTTGGTTCTAAATACTATCAACATAATTATTTATGATATTACACATCTTAGTTAATGGACTAATTTACTTAAAACATGGAATATTCTTACACAGTTACTAGGCAAGAGTATATAACTCATATTTTTGTTATAGTTATGCCCCTATTTTGACTGACAACTATTCAGAAATATTATATTATACTGCTATAATGAACAGAGAATAGTCCAGTAGATCAATAAATTGACTTTAAAATACTTTAGATAGACAACAACTATACAGCTCAAGATCTGTAACTCTAGCTGGACCTTTTTTTTTAAATATCTTTTCATTTTTTTGTAGAGTATAGGTCAGTTAAAATATGAGAGATTTACTTGTTAATAGGAAGTAAATAGGAGAAGTGCAGTGTCAAAGAATTTTAACTGTACTTTAAAAAAAATGTCCAAGGCATTGACTTGAAACTAAATGTATGTAAATATATAGTTAAGAGGGAAGGTGCATTGTCTAATAATAGTCTACAAGGCATTGACTTGAAACTTAATGTATGTAAATATATAGTTAAGAGGGAAGGTGCATTGTCTAATAATAGTCTACAAGGCATTGACTTGAAACTTAATGTATGTAAATATATAGTTAAGAGGGAAGGTGCATTGTCTAATAATAGTCTACAAGGGAATTACTTGAAACTCGTGATAAAGACATCTTAATTATTTTTTAGAAACCACATCATGTTTTTTGTAAAATGCCAACTTAGATACTCTAATTCAAGACTTTAAAGATTTTAAAACAAAAACAAACTTTCAACAAACTAGCTTGTACAATTATTGACCAAGTCATTGTTTAATTTATTATTTTATGAAACAATAAAAGATATTAGGAGATGTTTTGTTGTTTGTTGCTTCAGAGAGTAGAGCCCCTTGGATGATGGTATAGAGTATATTTAAATCCTGTTAGTGAAGTTTACAAAGTGGCTATAGCTTTGTTATTTATGAAAGAATTGTCCTCATACATGAACACAATCCATGGGGATACACCTTCAAGTTGATGAGACTAACATTGATCTTTATTCATAAATGACCTTTACTTGCCAGGTCCAGTTATTGATATTTTTTATGCCCCCCTTCGAAGAAGAGGGGGTATATTGTTTTGCTAATGTCGGTCTGTCTGTCTGTCGGTCTGTCCGTCGGTAGACCACATGGTTTCCGCTGATTATCTTGAAAAGTGTTTTTCACAAAGTCTTCATATTTCACATAGTGATTGGTCATAACTAGTAGATGACCCCTATTGATTTTGGGGTCACTAGGTCAAAGGTCAAGGTCACAGGGACCTTAAATATCAAAATGGTTTCCGCTGATTATCTTGAAAAGTATGTATCAAAAAGTCTTCATATTTCACACAGTGATTTGTCATAACTAGTAGATGACCCCTATTGATTTTGGGGTCACTAGGTCAAAGGTCAAGGTCACAGGGGCCTTAAATGTCAAAATGGTTTCCGCTGATTATCTTGAAAAGTATGTATCTCAAAGTCTTCATATTTCACATAGTGATTGATCATCACTAGTAGATGACCCCTATTGATTTTGGGGTCACTAGGTCAAAGGTCAAGATCACAGGGACCTTAAAATGTCAAAATGGTTTCCGCTGATTATCTTGAAAAGTATTTATCACAAAGTCTTCATATTTCACATAGTGATTGGTCATAACTAGTAGATGACCCCTATTGATTTTGGGGTCACTAGGTCAAAGGTCAAGGTCATAGGAGCCTTAAATGTCAAAATGGTTTCCGCTGATTATCTTGAAAAGTGTGTATCACAAAGTCTTCATATTTCACACATTGATTGGTCATAACTACTAGATGTCCCCTATTGATTTTGGGGTCACTAGGTCAAAGGTCAAGGTCACAGGGACCTTAAAATGTCAAAATGGTTTCCGCTGATTATCTTGAAAAGTATGTATCACAAAGTCTTGATATTTCGCATAGTGATTGGTCATAACTAGTAGATGACCCCTATTGATTTTGGGGTCACTAGGTCAAAGGTCAAGGTCACAGGGGCCTTGAATGTCAAAATGGTTTCCGCTGATTATCTTGAAAAGTATTCATCACAAAGTCTTCATATTTCACATAGTGATTTGCCATAACTAGTAGATGACCCCTATTGATTTTGGGGTCACTAGGTCAAAGGTCAAGGTCACAGGGGCCTTAAATGTCAAAAGGGTTTCCGCTGATTATCTTGAAAAGTATTCATCACAAAGTCTTCATATTTCACTTAGTTATTGGTGATAAGTAGTAGATGACTCCTATTGATTTAGGGGTCATTAGGTCAATGTCACATGGGCCTTAAATGTCAAAATGGTTTCTGTTGATTTTTCCATAATTGAACACTTCCATGTACCCATTTTTGGCAAGTTTCTGTAATAAAATTACCAATTATGTGAGTCAATGGCTAGAAAGGGGGGTATATGTGTCGTTCGACATTCTTGTTTCAAAATTTTTGATGTAACTGACTACAACTTTATTATTATACCTTCCAAATCGATCTCAGGAACCGGCAGATAAATTCACTTGAAATACAATAAATAATAAAATTATGCAATATCAGAATGCACTATATGTTTTAAGTTTGATTACTCTAATAGGTACTTTGACATAATTTAGTCCTTTATTCAAATAGGCTTCAAAAGACTAATTTTTCTTTTCATTAATTATCTCCCATCTTTTTCAACGAAAAAAAGGTTAGCAGATGATTATACTCTTTTTAGCAAGGCAGCTAATTGTAATTATTATTGGTACACATTTGAATTATCATACAATATAGGCCCAGTTCAAATTTGACTTCAAACCGCGTAATTTTCAAGTAGTTAGGGTGGGGGTATACATTATCTTCAGTGATAGTTTCTTTAAGAAACACAATTTCTTAAAAGTCATCACATTGATCGGAACTGCCAGTAAAACCACACTGTCTGACTGTAACACCAATCATCTACTAGAATGGGAGCATGATGTTAGTATATTCTGTTGTTTTGAGCTTTACTGTCGTTACGATGAAACGGCCTTTTGTCGGGCTTTATTTTAGCTTTTTTTAAGGATTCTTTTCTGAAATATGACAATATGTTGAAATCTAATTAGGTAGTAAACGTATACTTGCCTGCCATAATAACATAACGGCAAACTTCTTTGCCTTCTGAATGACCTGCGACATAAAATGACGTCCGACATGATCTTGAGTTAATGTCAAATACAAAGTTCAGAAAATATTTCAGGACATGTAAGCTTTATGATATGATCGGGTTATTTGTGTCTTAGTTAAGGAATCAAAACTTAATGCGATGTCTAGCCATCAACTTGGCGATAATAATCATCAAACAGAAAGAAAGTTACACACCCTAATTGTCTACCCTTACATTACAATGCCTTTATTCCCAGAATATTTTCCTATATATCGAGTTTTCTTTTTATTGCTCTTTATGGCATTTTGTAACAGACATTTGTACTTGACATGTTACCATGATCCTGTCCGATGTAGAGGCAAGTTATCACGAATCTGTCCGCGACATTTGATTGGCTGGCCTACAAAATGTACGAGATTTGTCAATATGGATTGTTCGTTGAAAACAGAATGCGATGTCGACAATAATCGTCAAAATTTTGACGTGTGCCGGTTTGCACAATTTTTGATTTTTTAAATAAAAAATTAAAACGTTTTTTTTTTCTGTTAAATTTTCCGTGTTAGATATTTCGAGTGAATAAACTATACTAATTCTTACGCAAAAATGCAAATACATGTAGTTACATTTTTAAATCGAGCTTTAGATATTTCAGTCGTAACATGAAATTTCCGATAATCTTTGGTGTAATATTAATTGTTTTCAAGATTTATGTCAGTTTATTCGAGACCAGACACTGTTGTATGTATAAATAATTGATACAAATATTTGAGCCGCGCCATGACAAAACCAACATAATGGGTTTGCGACCAGCATGGATCCAGACCAGCCTGCGCATCCGGGCAGTCTGATCAGGATCCATGCTGTTCGCTATCAGTTTCTCTACTTGTTATATAGGGTTTGTAAGCGAACCGCATGGATCCTGATCAGTCTGCGCGGACGCGCAGGCTGGTCTGGATCCATGCTGGTCGCAAACCCATTATGTTGGTTTTGTCATGGCGCGGCTCATTTGTTATTTATTTAAGTTAATCCTTACGGAGTAGCAATCGATCTATTAGTTACGTATGTAGCGGAGTGCTTGCATGGTCATACACATGAATGCATACTTTTACAGAATGTTATTTTAGTGTTTTACATGTTAAAATATTCATTGTAGAAGCTTTCACAAAAGTAGTTTTAATGCATTATTTAAAATGAGTTTGTCGAGCAATAGATGTAAAAACTTATAAAAAAAATTCTAGAATTCCGATTTCTAAATAAAGTTAAAAGCATGAGTCCGAGAGATGTGTCAAGATATCTTAGTCACGTGACGAACTTTAAAATACAAGGGCAAATTCTTCTAATACGAAGTGATTTAATATTTTGACAAAAAAGTCGACCAAATAACAGGAGTTGTCACGACCTGGTAACCTAGTAAAATTGAAATCAAGACCCCATGTTATACCAGTCTATTAACCAAAAACAATAAGATTGTTCGTTATTGGAGGGTTATAGTATATTGATTTCATGGTTTGTCTCAAGATTGCTTATTATTGAATAAGTTACTCTGTGACTAGTTAAACTAGTGCCTAATTACGCTGCACTGTACATATGTAATTAGTAATCTGATATATATATATATATATATATATATTCGTCGTATACGTCGTAATGTGTGTATTTTTAAAAGAAGTACGGAAATAAACCCCCAAATTGTATATATTGTTTTCATGCACTAGTATTTTTGTAAATTATCGTTGTGGTCTATTATGTCTGACGACAAACTTAAAGGCCCATTATGCCTCAGAAATGCTACCAATTTTATTTCTCAAAACCTCTTTATGTTTGGTATCTTGTTATAGATTCTACACTTAAAAAACCTTATCAGCTGTTTCTCTGTTGGCAAGTGGTTTAATTATAGTAAGTATTTTGTATGGAAGTCAAAATACTACTTTGTTTACATTTTGCTACCTTTAAAATACATTACTAGATGCTCAAGGCTAACATGCTTTAAATTTATTATCTAAACATTATTAAACACATGTTTGATATTTCTAAAGAATTGAAAGGTATGATTTTTTGAGGCATAATGTGCTTTTAAAGTGAAACCATTCAGGATATACTATCTGCTATTTTAGCCAATATTTTCTTTTGAATGTTGTGGCAGCTCTTAAGAGTGTGTGGATGGTAACTTTATTAATAATCTCTTGAGCAGACGACAATGAAATCATTTAATGGCAGATTTCCGAATTATTATTATCCATGTATTATTATTATTAATTCTGGTGCTATACATGTATTTATAGCGTGTTCTGTATTTTAGCTCACCTAGAACAAAGTGTGAGCGGTAAAACTGAGTAGGTGATAACTAATGTTCTAATGTGCCACTTGGCCAATTATATGAATTCATGGCATCAAACACTTTTATGCTTGTTCAAATAATTAAGCATCATGCAGAAGTGCATGATAATCTCCTGAAAGACAGTTAGGTACATGTATATAGTTCAGATATAGTATGCTGTAACATTTCCTTCCGAGCCTCTCTCACTTGTACTTAGCGTGTTCAACTTAAGACTTTGGGGACTAAGGATTCTTGTTTGCAAATATCTTCTTTCCTGAATAGTCTTAGAGCTTAACAATTTATCATGTCATTCACTGTAAACCTGTATATCATGACACTGAGGTCTTTCCTCCAAGGGTGTCATAATTGATTCCTTCCAGGGTGCCATATGTTTGGAAGAAAAATGCACTGTCATTTTACAATAGCTTATAAACTGATAAAGGTGAAACTATGAAACCATGTAATTTCATACAGACCTAACAAAGGAGAAATAATCTCCTGTTTGTAAAACATCAAACAACAACCCCACAAAAGCCCCTGAGACACATTACAGCATGTACATGTAGACATTAATGCGTGTAGCATGGCTTTGTGGGTCATTCTTTTCACGGCATGACTTTTTGGGTGAAAATGGACTATGCCATTGACATGTAGGTATAGTTATAAACTTTAACCAGGTGAACCATAAAAAATCAATACAGTCCTCTTGTTCCAATGATTTCTACTTTTTTTCCATCTTAAGAGTGAATGCATTTTCAATGTTTTGTTAGGAAAGACGACAAGAATGAGTGTAAGTAATTGACTATTATTTAAAATACAAATATTGAGCGTCCCTGACTTAATAATGACAAAGATTTTTTCAAAATAATTCTTTTATTGCATACAGAACTGTTTAAACTTTAACAACAATATCACTAAATGTTTAATATGATAAACAGTTTTGATTGTACATTTTGTAAAGAATGTATTGTATAAAACATACTAAATTTATATCTCAAAACGATCGAAAATACATGATGTGGTTACATATAAGTATTTACATACATGGTCATATATCTTGACAGATTTCACTTGATCTTAAACTGTTTGAATTCGACAGTTGAACATCTTTGCATTTATTTAGTCACTATTATAACACGCAGACGAAAATCTGACATGTTTATTTTGGATTTGTTAAATTCTTAAATTTCACTCGACAGTTGTACGAACTGGTACCGCGGAAGATGACCATTTACCCTGTGAAGATGATAAACATTAGGCCTTTGTATCTATTTTATAGATATTTAAATCGCCACGCTGTGTCAAAACTTAAAAAATGTAAACTTTGAGGTAAAAAGTTCAATCTAACAATACATAGTCTTTATAAGCGCATCATTTTAACCAAATTCGTGTTGAATGGTCAGTTGCAGCCGCGCATGAATAATAAAGATGACTTCCATAACGTTGTATGTATCCAATCTTAACGTAATATGACGTCATACTATGATGTCACACTTGATTCAGCGCACCGTGAAGAACTGTGCATCACTGATGCCACACTGATTACGTTCTACAGATCATAATGAACATTAATATAACACTTTGCAACAACACTGACAACAATGTATTTGTATTTTGTTCAAGTTGGATTTAAAGTTAAATCATCACGTTCGTCAGAGTTCAATCGTTCTTTTTTCCTGTCATACAGAATCATACACATTGCACTTAGGCTGAAAAGAGCTGATATAAGTGCACATACACAACCAAGGCAGCTGGCCACCAGCGAATATGGCGTCGAATACACTATATAACTATCCCATTGCCGTAGTATGTCCAATAAACGTCCTATTGGAATCATTAACAGTGCAGCTGTAAATAGAAAATAACTGATCAATCAATCAATCATTCGATCAATCAATATGTTTCAGCCACCCATTTGTAAAAATAGTAAACAGTTCGTGTTTTTGGTAAAACGACAACGCTTTCATACAACAATAACTCGGACCTTAGAATGATATATGAATATCAACTCAATATATTTTCATAAAAACATGAATTTTTGAAAGGACGTTGAAAAACACCTATAAATTATCAGGAATTTAATCATTTGGATCATATATCGCTTTATAAATAACTACTGGAGTAATGTTAGTATTTTACCAGCTATAAAACCTTATTTTAAAAAAATCCACCAGCGGTCTGCACCAATACATGCAGTCTGACCAGCCTCTATACTGTTGGAAGCTCAATTTTTATATGGCATGCCTCCAATTTTGACCGATTTACTCCAAATATAGAGTTGCGCAAATCCATTATGTAAACTCAGCAGAGTCAGATGGGGAAAAACTGGTCATCATGATATCTCCAATGTAAATAAACCCCCTGCTGACTCGACATAAAATACTAAATCTTGTTCAGTGCATGATCACTTAATTTGTAACATTTACATTTTTTAAAGAGATCGTTGACTTTAAGCTGATTAGTTTCAGATTATCTCAATAGTTCAACAAACTTACAACGTTAATACTTGTAAATTACCTACATAACATCATACTAAAAGTAAAGTCAAACAATTATCTTTGTGACAATGATCTGATAGGATCTTATTTAAAGTGTGACCTAGAACATAACACATAACCCTTAATTTTATTTACAAAAGTTAAAGGTACACGCCTCCAAATTTTCAGCAGATAACAGTAACATAAATGATAATAATAACGATGTATATAACATCAGAAAAAACGTTGTATTAAATAAAAGTGTAAATATTTAGCATAAACACCATGCGTTTTTAAAACTACGTTGTTTATAAACCATACATAATGATCGTCAAATAAACCTATTTTCTAATCATTAACTTACCGGAAATGACTGATGCGAGAGCTGCCCAGCCAAGGTAAGATTTCGGACTGTGTGACATGTGTATGAACCCATTCACCGTCAGTAAAACACCAGCAATACACAAAACAAATGCCAGCGTTACCTCAACTTGTAACTCTACCCAGTTTGTAAAATCAACTGAAAATGAACAGAACAAATGAAATGTTTGCATAACCGTGTCAGTGCCTGACTCGCCCCTCAACGCTGTGCGTTCGAGTCCCGCCAAGGACCTTTGAATATTTCAGGAAAAGAAACTATCCAGCTAGCTTACGGTATATCGGTGGTCCGCTTGTGACTGAAATAATGCACGGAGAGTCACCTGAGGTTTTCCTCGACCAGTATAGCTGGGGAAGTCTCAATGTAACCATAACATAGTCATTAAGCATTAAAATAAACTAAAAAAAGTCGTTTACATAATTATATGTAAATACTTGCATAATACAGACTTAATAAGTAAGACACTTGGCAAATTTGTATGCAATGAGTGATGTGCATATAAACACCCGTATTGAAGATATCTTCAAATACGTTATGAAAGCATTGAATTACTATAATGAATAAGGCTGCGTTCATATGAAATGATTGAATATATTAATCGATTTTAGTGATTTTACATCGACAAAGGCTTAGAGGGATAATCTTTATCTGATATATAAGGCAAATAAGTCAAATCTACATACGTCACGTTTTATCTCTCTTTTCTCTCCAGCTCACATTAGTTACTATTTTAAATTTTTATTTGCCTATCGACTCATCGTATCTCATGAAAGCCTAGGCTGTCTTATAATTATAAAACCGAACGTTGTTATGTTCAAATAGCAGAATATTGAGTCAACATTTCTTTATACAATGTGCACTCATGAATATATTATGTGGAAGCATCCGTTCATGAATTCAACTAAATATGATGTCAATGTGTCTTTATATGATGTCAATCTATCATGATACGATGTGCATTTTTGAATATATTATGTGGAACCATCCTTATATAAGATCAATATAACAATATATTATGTCAATCTGTCCTTATATGATGTCAGTCTGTTATTATATGATGTGAAGTTATGAATATATTATATGAAATAATTCTTATACTCGTATAGAGTCAATAATATATGATGTCAATGTCTCCTTATATTATATCAATCTATCATTATACGATGTGCTTTTTTCAGTATATTATGTTAAACCATCCTTATATAGAGTTAAAATACAATGTACCAGTATATTGTGCCGAATCATCCTTAAATAGAGTCAACATAACAATGTATGATGTCAATATGTTACTATATGATGCCAATCTTTCATTATACATGTGCATTTATAAACATACCATGTCGAACCATTCTTATGAAGAGTCAACTTAACAATATAATTATGATGTAAATGTGTCCTTATAATTATGATGTAAATCTTTCATTGTATGATGTGCATTTATAAATATACTATGTCGGACATTCTTATATAGGGTCAACATAACAATATATGATGTCAATGTGACCTTATATGATGTCAATCCTTCATTATATGATGTGCATTTATGAATATATAATGTTGATCATAGTGTTGATTATATAGAGTCATAATAACAGTATATTATGTCAGTATGTCCTTATATGATGAGAGTTTTTCATTATATGATGTGCATTTACGAATATATAATGTGGGACCATTCTTATATATAGAGTTAGAATAACATTAATTATGTAGAATTGTCTTTATTTACTTAACAATATATGATGTCAATGTGTCCTTGTATGATGTCAATCTTTCATTATACGATGTGCATTTATGAATATATTATATGGATCCTTCCTTAAATGGAGTCAGAATAGTAATAATTATTATATATTATGTCAATCTGTCGTTAAAAATGCAAAATCATATCATGATAGATTGACATCATATATATTGGCCGATTATATTGTTAAATTAAATACATATAAAGATGTTTCCAAAAAAACATTTATAAGTCCGCATGGTATAATGAAAGATTGACATAATATATTGATAAGTTGACACTATATAATAATGCTCCCACGTGATATATTCATAAACAAGCCGTCCGGTTAGCTCAATAGGTAGAGCGTTGGACTGTGAATTATGAACCCGGGTTCGATTCCCGGACGGCGCAGGTCACTTTCGTTGTAATTGAAATCCTTTCTACGGTCATTCGCACCGTACCTCTGCTCTGGCATGTACAAGGCAACTAGTACTCATAAACTGCTTGTCAGCCTGCCCAGGAACGATGCGATGTTTGATCTGTGCTCTGGCGAATTCAATGTGGCTTACTGTTGTGATCCGGAGTGAAAACTACCACCACCACCATCACATATATTCATAAATGCACATCGTATTTAAGAATAGATTGAAAGATTGACATAAGATATTGATTAAGTTGACACTATTGAGGCTACCACATAATATATATTCATAAAGTATTCATAAATCCACATCGTATAAATAATAGGTCGACATCATATAAAGACACATTGACATCATAATTATATTGTTCAGTTGAATTCAAATATGGATCTTTCCACATAATATATTCATGAGTGCACATAGTGACATAACAACGTTCTTTTTTTATAATCATAAGACAGTCAAGGCCTTCCATAATATTTTGTAATTCAATGCGTTTGAAGTAATACAATGAAAACAAAACCCAAAGTCGACCCAAATATCTCAATGTATATCGTCAATGGTTGTAATTTAAACAACAGTATTTAAGTATGCTTTATCATTCGATGACCCTCCAAATGGATAAAATTTCAAGTTCACTGCAGGGTCACTCTTCGTCATGTAATTAAAGTTGGTATGTTTTATATATTTAACAAAATAAAACTTACTTTTCGTATCACCGGCAACGTTGAATGGATTCACGACCCTCGTCATAGATGCCGTGCGGCATTGTGGAGAGTTATTGCACACCTGGATATACCAGACCCCGGCACTCACTGTAAACCCCGACGGTTGCGACAGAACAATCCACCCTGGAGTCACAAATCCGATAAATTGCAATAATAATGCTAGGCCACTAGTTGAAACTGAAGTAATCAGAATAGTTCTGTACCAGAAATGTCCGTCTACTCTAGAACGTTGTCGTGTTAGAGGCATATTTAGAATAATTCAGTCAACCAATGTATGCATTAATTATTTACCCTATTTACTTCTTAAATAGTTTCTCCGGCATTTCGCTTTTTCACAATTTTGTATCCATGTTGTAAACTGTATATGTATATTTTAAACGACACTGGAACATCTCAACCATTCAATTGTATGTTATTTTTTCTACCCGCATATTTGACCGCTTTTTATCGTCCATCCGTTAACGTTTCAAGCTCCAGTATAATTCCTATATACTGGATGTTTGTTTGTAGCGTCATGTAACCAGTCGTACCATACAGTTTATGTATGAACGTTGATCCATTGATCACCGATATAATACACACAAGAGAACATTGGAAAACCCAAGTCCACTATTGTTACGGGGTATTGATTTATCCTTTTACAAAACTGTTTAACATAGTTGTTTACTACACGATTCAGTATGTAAACTTCCTTATTTAACTTTTTATTAATTCTTTAGTATCGTACGATAAAATGTAAAATGTATTGCTAACAAGTCGCACCCTGTTCAGAATAGATGCTTTCATGCCGATGTGCACAGAATATTCAATTTGATTTTACAGAGACACGTGCTCGCTGTGATGTCATTTGTGTTGTTCACTTTAATACTTGTCATATCTTAAAACATTAATGTGCTAATACTTTGCATATTTTAAAACATTTATGTGTTTTCAATAAATTTATTTCTATGAAATGGTATAATTTCGAATCATTTGCTTGCGTGTCTTATTAAACTTAACATTATTGTATTATATTATATGATTATATATGCGTCTCCACTCAACTAAGGTCTAAAAGCCTAAAAACATAAAATTTGAAATTCTTACTTAACATTGAAAAATATGCAAATGATAATAAGAAATACTGTTACACTCAGAATTAAATCTAAAATCGATTTTAAGCGATATTTTGACTGATTAAAATTAATATTTAGCGTTTAAATGTTTTTCATTTTTGGTCATTTTGCAAAATAAAATTGATTATTTTGGGGAAAAAAACGAAATAAGCAAATGACACACGTTATTTGTACAGACACAAATCTCGAAAAAAGAAAAAAGAAGTTGTTATGTCAAAAATCTCTGTTGAGCCCCTTAAATTTCATGTAAATGTCATTTTTAAATAAGGCATTCAAATTAAGTTTTTTCAAATATATGTGTCACACATAATACAAAGTATTTTTTCCACAATTGTCACATGGTGTCACTGGTTTCAATTTGATATCAAGGTGTTCATGAGAACATATATTTACGCTTTAACCACTCTCCTAGACATTTGAATGAATTAACCAAATATGCATATATTCATTTGAAATAGGGGAGGCAATCCATTTGACAATGTAAACTTGCACACAAACGTTATATTTCTTTATATTTCTTCACTAAATAAACATAATATAAATCAATATATAATTAAAACGTAGACAAATACTATTATTGCATAATTTGTTGAGTTAAGAAAAATAACGAATAAATATTTCTTTGTTAATATTTCAGTATGATTTGGGTTTGCAAAATTATAAATTCAACATACATTGTACCATTACTTTGCTAATATTTAACTATACATATATTTATCCTAAGTTAACGTAATCGAAGTTTTACTGTATTAAAAATCATTGAATATGTTACGCACGTGCGTCAGTAATACGAGTATATAATAAATGTATTTATCCTTGTTTCTACACGTTGTTATTTGCACGAAATTTACGTGCTGTGTTGATATATAAGTTAGCGGATCGCTATAGTTAATCATTCGAGCTCTTCACACTGCATTGCAAAGTCAATCACGTTTACAAGTTTGATCCCCCCTCCCCCACCCGAAAGGCGATCATATTGATTTCAGCTTTTATAAGAAACATTTTTGAAAAAGTTAGATTGATATTTAATTTGAATTAAATTAATTAATTAAGTTATTAGATATATTTGTTACAGAATTTCATATTTTGAGCCTTTTCAGATTTATTAATTATTATAGTGATGTATGTACTGGATATTTACAGAGTCAAACGATTATGTGTTATGTTTCTATATATTATATTTATGTTTAAATATAAAATGTTAAATAGAATAAATGCAATGTGAATGACTGATTCTACATATGTGTTTGTGTTTTATTTTCTTAGTTTCTGTAGACTAAAGGATAAATGATTTATTTCCGTTTGAGCGAAAGCGAATTAGGAAATAAAGTCGGTTAGATGTGTATATTATTGCACTATCCTCCAAAAAATAAAATGACTAATACTCTTCTGGAGGACTATGCATATAGGCAGCCGGTGGCGAGTATAAACACGCACACACACACACACACGCACGCACGCACGCACGCACACACACACACACACACACGAACACACGTGTATATCATCAATGCTACACACGTGTACTTTACTGCGTTATCCCACCATCCTCCCGAAATGTGCACACAGTACAAAGTAGATTTAATCTGTATAGTAACAATGATTTTACTTGGTTCTACATATAATGACCATTTTTATTTTTTACTGTTTGGGCGAGAAGATTTTCGCTAAATTATCTACTTTAATTTTAAACAACAGGTTTATCGTGAACAAAATACCTCGAAATTAATAAGGAGTACAAACCCGAAATGCAATGGAAGTTCTAAATTTAGAATGACTTGATTTTATTCAGGCATTGTTTGTATGCGCAGGGGTAACGCGCTCGCTGAGAGAGTGAGAGGTCTGGAGTTCGAATCCCAGTCGAGGAAACTTTTTTTTTTTAATTCTCTTTTAAGTGTCTTTGTTAAGGAAGTAGCCATGATATGCAAGGATAAAGTGTGGCTGTCATAAAAAATGAACATAAATGATTTTTTGATGCAACTCTAGTTATGCAAAATTCCGTATGTATCAAACTCTGGTGCCTTGCAAGATGAATTATAGTACATAAAAATAAACTTATACAGGAAGATACATACAGATATACAGCACCGATTTAGATTGCAAAGATCAGAAAATACCACAGAGCTTGCAACCCTTTGATTCTTTATAAATATACATGCTTATAGTAAGCTCCAGGATTATTTACATCTGTGTTAAACAACAGTTAAAGTCGTTACAAGTCCTAATTTAGAATAATATGGTTTTCTTCAGGCCGTTCACATATAAATTCACCGTGGCTGAGGGGTTTTTGCGCTCGCTTAGGAAGCGAGAGATCTGGAGTTCAAATCCCAGTAAAGGCAACTCATTTTTTTCAAATTGTTTAAATCAAATTTGTTTGTTTTTTGTATATTGGGTTTTACGTCACATCGACACATCGACGTTCCAGCTTTACTGGTGGAGGAAGACCTCAGGTGCCCTTCCGTGCATTATTTCAGGCACGAACGGGCACCTGAGTAGAACCACCGACGTTCCGTAAGCTAGCTGGATAGCTTCCTCACATGAAAGAATCCAAAGTCCCTGTCGGGATTCGAACCCACAGCGGTGAGGGGCCAATGGTTGTTTAAGTCAAATAAACATTGGATTGAATATCAGTGTTGCAATTAGTCTTATAGCCAATTTACTGCTATTAAAACGCTTGAAAGCATTGGTGGCACTATACATATAATCTCACAACCTGTACCTTTCTTACATTCTGAGACCCAAACAAATTCAGCGCCTTCTGTGCTTTGATTATTTGTTTGGGTCGTCCGACTAAACAAATAATGGTAGCGAAATTTCAGACTCTGATGCTGTTAATTGCAAATGCCGAAAGTAGTCCGCTTTTTTGAAGCGGTTACTTCCCTTTATATGTTCACTAACGCCGAAAAATTCAGGGGAGATCACTGCGTAAAGATTGTCAAATGACAGGCGCATTAATTTTCAAGCAAAATAGTTCCCGAATGGTCGAAGATTTCTAATATTGTTTCATTCTTTACAGATATACATGCTTATAGTAAGCTCCATGCTTATTTACATCTGTGTTAAACAAGAGGTTTAGCGTCGAAATACAGTCAAACGTGTATTAAGCGACCGGGCAAGGGAAGCACCCAAAACGGTCGCTTAATGAAACGGTCTTTTAAGACAGTCAGCATTATATAAAAGTCAAAATTTATAAATGACATCTTTTTTATTCGGTTGGATTGTTTTTCAACTTCATTTTTATAAAAATGTTGAAAAAATACGCTCCAATAATCTAAATGGATGCAAATGAAAAAAATAACTTTCTGATATTTATTGACAAAACAGTTTCAAGATCCATTACGTCCATGTTGGACATTTTTTCCAGAATTTTTTGTAGTTACAAACCCATAGTTTTCTTCAGGCCGTTTACATATAACTTCACCGTGGCCGAGGGGTTTGCACGCTCGCTTAGGAATCGAGAGGTCTGGAGTTCAGTTAAGGATAATTCATTTCTTTTTTAAATTGTTTAAGTCAAATAAACATTGAATTGAATATCAATGTTGCAAGTAGTCTTATAGCCAATTTACTACAGTTAAAACACTGGAAAGCATTGGTGGCACTATACAAAAACAAATTGGTTTATAATCACACAACCTTCACCTTTCTGACAATCTGAGACCCAAACAAATTCAGCGCCTTCTGTGCTTTTTTATATTCTGTACATATATAAGAAGAGACTTATAATTTTACACGTTTTTGTAAAATGTTCTGAACTTGTTCGTGGAAGGCGTGCAGTTATTGAGCGTACACATTCGGCTTTTAATTACATTATACATATTTAAGTGGCTTATTTTTATGGGTCTTCTCACTAAATTATGTCAGAACACTTACGGATCCTACTGCGTCCCCCTCCAACGATGGAGTAGGGTTGCCAGCCGTCTCGCAGCATACTGACAGGGAAAGTACGTTCATATAACTGTGTATTCCATGTTGATGTACGTTATAAAGATATGAGATTATTGTCAAGAAAGACATTTTAGATTTACACCGATTTATGAAACGTTGAGATATTATTGTCATGTATGCTGTTTCTAAGATATATAATTATATTAGTAATGTAGATATACGGCAATGCAGATAACAAATCTAAAAGGTGAATTTATGTGTACATTTGTTGTTCTTTCTTCCTTCGATTGCCGTTATTATTAATATTAATGATTTATTTACGTTTGCGCGTAGCGAATTAGGAAATAAAGTATGTTTATGATATGTGACTTATATATATCTGTACGGTTCCCCGTTAGGGCCGTCCATCGTAACAAACATATGACTCGAAACAACGAACACATGAAATAACGATGATAAAAAGTTTAAATGGTGAAAACTCGAAAGTACGATGGTGAAAACACGAAATTATATCAAGTTTTCACCATCGTGGTTTCGTTATTTCGTTTTTTCACCATCGTACTTTCGACTTTCCATCATCGTGGTTTCGTTATTTCTCAATCTTAATAAAATGACAAATGAGGGTAATTTTTATCGGGGTCAAAACTTGAAACCGACTTTAATTTTATCAAACTACATGCACATATATAGTTACACGTTAACGTATACACTCTTTTTGTTGTTGTTGTTGATGGTGTTGTTTTAGTTCGTAACTGCGGTTTTCTGTTTGTTTGCAAAATTCCTGAGAATATCTCTGATTCTCCCAGAGTGCTTTGTAGATTTTGCCTCCTGAAAAATTATGTTATTTTTGCTCCTTTTATTTGTGTTATGCATGCATAATTGTTTTTCTCCTAATTAATATATGTAGTAGAAATGCGTACCTTAAATATTATTATAATATTTTGTGAAAGTTATATTTTCTACAAAGACAATAGTTTCCTTGCAAGGATACAAAGAAATAATAAAATGAATTTGATCTCGTCAACTGAGACAATTTGTATATATATACCTCAATCTTTTCCCCTTTATCGCAAGAAGATGGCGGTGTGAACACTGATCTATCTTTTATTCCAGTGGTAAAGTCATATATATCTGCCACAGTTATGTCGACATTCTTGTTGCTGTCAAACACGTACGAGTCGGACACTGACATTCTAACTGGGGTACATTCACCGTTATCATTATCTAGAGAAGGAGATGTTGACATTTTGATATTTAAACAAGTGTGATAACTCGGCAAACATCTTCAATGGAGCCGTAACAAACACGAAATATACCTTATATTATATATTATATTGCAACTATAATTTTGTTTAAACTGATATATTGAAATTTAAGACAAAAATTTATTTCATGTTAATACTAAACTAGAGATTCGCATGTCGGAGCATTTAATGCCCGAAGTATGTGGTGTCGTAAGATGAGCAGTATTAAAATGAGAGAGGACACGATGGGAAAAATGTAAAATAAAAAAGATTTTACACTTAGTGTCAGTGTGCCCTTAACATTGTGACCTCAAAACCATAGGGGTTATCAATTGCTATGGCTGTTGTCCTACCAAGTTAAACAACCTAGGCTTATTTCATCTCAAGTTGTTGATATGGTAAGGATTGTGTCAGTGTGACCTTTGATCTTTTGACTTCAATATTGATATCAAGTTAATCTGCTGGCCAAAGATAATATATCTTAGAATGTTTCACAAACTTTATATTCCGTCTCAAGGTATTGGTCGTCAAGGATTTTACTCAGTGCCACTGTGACCTTGAACTTTATCTTAATTAACAAATTTAGGTCAATTCTTTCCAAAGACAAAGTGCTATTGTGCGGACAATGATTTTACATTACATTAAGTATCCCTGTGACATTGACCTTTGATGCTATGGGCCAGGTTTTACTGTGACCAAGAACTTTGACCTAACGAACTAAAATCAATAAGGGTCATCTACTGGCAAGGCAATGACCAGTCTCTCTCCTAAGTATGAAGACAACACACCAAAAAGGTTTTAAGGTGTTCAACGGATATCGTTGTAACTACCAACAGACAGACGGACAGACAAGCGCCATATCATGGTACATGTACTAAGTATCTTTCAGGGGTATAAAATGGACTTAAAATGACGTCATCATTATTATGTGAGTGTCGTCGAGAAAAGTAATGTTAAAAGTGTAAAATTCAAGATAAAAACACATGTGCCTAAAGTGCAAATTTTGAAAAGCGACATTCTGTAGAGCAATATTCATCACATCTTGATAATTTTTTCTCAACTTAAGACTTCACAATAAAGTTTACCTAAAGCAGCACCTCGCCGTGACAATCAAAGCGTTTGTTTCTCAAAGCAGTGGTTGTATTAAATTTACCTATTTACAATAAAATTTTGTACCTGACATGATGACTGTCACAGTTATTTCATATGGGTCCAGGTAAATACGGTCATGGAACATGAATGTCTTCATGGCCTGTCCGGTTTGTGCAAACATTCCTTCACTGATTAATGTAGCATTACCTGAAATGAGTTCATCAAAACAATCATAGAACGATTCTACAGGTAGCTTACAATAAATACTGTACACTGTATAGAAATTTTAAAGGGTAACAAATTTTGCCATGATTCGAGTGCGCCAAACTGGACTTTTTCTGCTCAAAATGTGTAAATAAATGTACACTTGTCGGATCATTCTGATGTGTCACATTTTCATAATCATAATGTAACATTGTAATTAGAATCTGTCAATTTTACTGTATAATTATGTATGTTATCAATAATAAATTATCATCATTACATTATTCTTGTACATTTGTATATGCTCTCATTATATACTTTGTTTATGCTCTGTAACACCGCACTTTGGGGTCAAACCCCAAAGTGCGTTAAACTTCGCACCGCACTTTGGGGTCCAACGCACTTTGGGGTCAAAATCGAGAAATTGACCCCAAAGTGCGTTAATATGCTACATATCAACGCACTTTGGGTTCCAGAGGTCTAAAGGTGTCATCTGAGTTCTGCTTAAATACTGAGTACTGACTTATTTTCGATCTGCGACATTGAAATATTTGAGGTGGAGTTCAAGATGGCGGTCAATACTTTGATGATGCTTAAGTGATAAAAGTTTCATTAATTTTACCACTTGAAATATCTAAAAATTGTGTTCATATAACAAAATTACGGTGGCATAAAAGTGACATTTGCATTTTTTTTTTAGTTTTGCATACATATTTTTTTTGAGTTTTGCATTTTTAGTTTTGCATTCATATTTTATTTTAGTTTTTCGTACATATTTTATTTTTGTTTTTCGTACATATTTTAGCCAATCAAAACAGCCTTCACATCTCATAACAGCCCATAGTTGAGTATAAAACTAGCACAGTGGTTTGGTCACATTTCGGCCCATTTTTGGAATCGGCCCAGTCGTTTTCGGCCGGGCAAGTCTGGTTTCGGCCGACCCTTTTCGGCCCATTTTTTAAATTATATGTATTTTATATAATTATTGTTTTTTTATTATTATATACTATTATATTAGTGTCTATTTGGAAAGGGCTGTTGATTGGTGATCAGTTATTATTCCATGAATATGCACCACTCAACCCCACCCCCTGAGAATAACGGGGAGAGGGGCATTGACTTTAAACCAAGCCGACCACTGGTAAAATCTTAGCCCTACGGAGGATACTCAGATAATAACATTCCTGCCTTATGCCCCGGAACAGCGCAAACATCAAAACACGGTTATTTTTTTAACCCCCACTCCCCTGGGGGCGAGAAAGGTGGTTACAAATGACTGGTGTATTACAATAATGCACAATAAAAGATCTAACTAGGTCCTTATATTCCATTGATTTAGAAAAAATGCTTAAAGGTTTGAAGGATTAGCACATCCAGATAATTGGCAGAACTTATATGCCAGGTGTGCCGGCTCAAGGTCGGGGTCACACCTATAGGTCAAAGGATTAAGACTTTGAGTTTCATGTCCGCTCCTTATCTCCTAAACCCAATGAAGGATTTTCATGCACCTTGTGTCAAATGTTAACCACATCAAGATCATATGCAGAACCTTTCTTTGGGTTACCGCGGACTATATATATATACAGTCGGCATCGTACTTGCGGCCACCTTTATTAAGCGACTTTTTTATTAAGCGGCCGCATAAAATCCCTCCCGATGATTTTTACTATTTAATTTAATTCCATTAAACGACTATTTTATATCGCGGCCAGCGGCCACTGAATGTCGGCCCAAATGTACAAAATTAACTGTTAAAGTATCTATTAAACGGCCGTGACAAACAATCGTCCCTGCGGGCATTCTCACCTGTGTAATTAGCGAGTAGGTTAGATGTGTACAAGCAAACAAACAAATAATTTTCATGGTCATTGGTCACAAATAATTGTCGTTTAAAAACGAAATGAATAACAATTGCAATCGTTTCAAAATCGGATTTTCCGATCGTAATATTTATTGTGACATATTTTGTCAGAGCAATAACGTATCACAACACCGCGTTTGCATAGTTTTGTCACCTGCTGAGAGTGACCTCCCTGTATATATACACTAGAAAGTGTTGTTATTTTTTTGATTACTCCAAAAATGAAAATGTTGGTATTTGCAAATGGCAAATGGGGTACTGTAATTTACAGATGGCAAAGTGTTTGAAAATGGTGTTTTACAAATGGCGTAATTATCCAAACCTCTACTTAGCAAATGTATGGAAGCCTTGGAGGGTCACTTTTGAGTTTCGACTTATATATTTATTTTACTATTTTCTTATGACTTTTGATTTATGACTTTTGATTTATGACTTTTGATTTTTGACTTATGGGTTTTGTTACTGTCCCACGTGCTTGTCTCATTATTTCCAAGGAAAATATGGCAGAATATGACAACGATTCAGACGAGGTAAGTTCATTTACCTAAGTTTCTTGGAGACTTATTTAAAAACAAAATATGTGGGTACATATGCAAGGACAGATGTTATTCTTATATAAGCCTTTTTAATTGATTAAGAAATTTTAAAGAAAATATTTTGCTTGCATTGCATTGCATTTGGTATCCATTCTTTATTTTGATTTCCGGAACAGGGATATATAATCTCAAATTGACATACAGCGTATGAATCAAACGCTTTATTTTTTTATATAGGTTCCAGTTTTAAATCCAAATCAGTATCGCATTGTTGTTTGCTGCAGTTTCAATCGGTTTCCACCCGTAGTTCATTCTTCGTCCATCTTATATTGATTATGGACCAAATTATAGGCCCTATTTTGACAAAGAAATTTGTAATTAAGAAGTTTCATGAAACATGGTATTTCAAAAACAGCTTTGAAACTTCACACACTTCAGACACTTAAGTAAGAAACCTCTGTCAGTCTGAATTGCATTGTTATCAAAGTATGCCTCTTTTTCGACTTTGAATTTGTTGTTTAGAATTTTCATGAAAAATGGTTTCGAAAAAACTATTTTAGCGATTCCTTTGAAACTTAAAACACATATTAATTGTGACATCTAAGGTCAATGATCAAGTTTCGTATGAGTGGCTCACAATTTGACATACTTATGCCCATTTTTAAAGCTTAAATGTTTTGTCAGAAGGTTTATGAAATATGGTCCCATAAACAAGTTATGATATAATATTGAAACTTTATTATTCACTTGTTCAATATCAATAACTTAGGACACCTACCAAGTACAAAGTACATGTTATTTGTATAATTATAAACTTTTGAATACAATTATGTATTAAGGGATTTTTTGTATTTCATTTTGTATATATATTTATTTCATTTCAATTGATATAACACATACTTTTAATGCTTTCAATTTAAATTCTAGTAAAGCTACATGTAGGGATTAATGACGTGATGTCGAATGCTTTCAACCACAAAGCAGTTGCAAGAGCATCAGCAATACATATTTGTCAAGTTTTCGGAGCCAGTTTAGAAGACTAAGAGGTTTCATTGCAAAACAGCGTTCGTTCCGAGTGGAAAGTAGTACAGTTTAGAAAATGCAAAATGTCCAAACACTGGTGATTTGGTTTTCTTCGTTATTGTCTATGGAAATATTCAGACATTTTCGGAATACGAGGGTTATCCTTTTCACACTTGTTTCAGACGCTCGACAACCCCACCATTTATTGTGGACGCTTATTGGAAACACACAATGTCACGTATCGCCACGTTTATTTTATACTGTCCATATCTCCAATATGGTATAAAACTTGTATCGATAGACAGGTCATCGTGAGACAAAGAAAGGTGTGAAAAATCATGAATTCACAATTCTGGCTTTCATAATTTTCAGTATTTGCCCATTGTAAATTAAAAAAAACTTATATGAAAGGTATCGAAATCAAACTTTGTTTGTTCATATAGCTCGGCGAGGCAGTAAGAAACATACTTCTTAGCTATCATAAATTTTAGAAAGTCTTGTTTTTTATTGTTTTTTTATCTCAAAAACTGTTGAAGGCATCAACTAGAATTTACTGGCAGATATATCTCGGCCAGACAGAGTGCATTGTGTTGTTAACAAAACTTTTGATTATAACATTAAATCGTTCTCCTAAGTTAAAAATTCCCTTTTTCGACATGGACATGCCGTGGGTTGGGGGTATGCTCATTACGAAAGACCATGAAATTTCCATTACATATAAAATTGGTCATACTTAAAAAACAAAACAAAAAAACGTGTGGACGTTAACTAGGTTAACTAGGAAATCTTTGGCAAGATACTGTGTTTGTTTTTTCTTTCTTTTGAACATTTAGAAATGAGGAAATAACGCTCTGACAATGATTTTAAAAATCTTGACTTCAATAATAATAATAATACAAACACTCTAGCGTTGCTAATTCACCTAATTTATCTTATGTTTTCAAAAGCTTTGTAAAAACACTCATGATTTTCTTAGTTTTTCATCAGAAACGTATCACAATGTGTTGTTTTGTAGAAACATTGCAAGATATATGTCTTCTGTGACGTACATATATATATATATATATTTACATATATGTAAATACTTGAAATTTTTGTTGATGGCAGTGTTCAATTTTAGCTGTTCCTTAGTGTTAGCTTTTAAGTAAGGCATATGTGCTATTTTAGAAAATAATGCTAGCCTCTGTATTTCTTATCTCTTTTAAAAAAAAAAATTAAATATAATGAAGCTCAAATGCAGTTTGTTTTGCATATCTAATACATTTGTTTTCTTATAAGACAACAATTTTGTTAAACAAAATAAAGCACGGTTGTAGAATTAGAAATGTTTGTTGTTATCTGTTTAAACGCATTTATTCCAAAAATTTATTGATAGCTCTGCCAACCTGTCACGGTCTAGACCGTGAGGTAAAAACCTTTGGTAGCGTGGTCTCTCGGTAGATGTATATTTAGGTAGTCTGTTGAGGGAGTTGGCAGTTTACTTCTATAGTGATTGATATTCTATTTCTACTTTGCTCATTGTAACATCTTACATATAATTTTAATGGAACATTATCTCTACATAGATAAATAAATTCTCTGTAACATTTAAATACTGTTTATTCCGATAGTAAATTGCAAGTTTATTTTGGTTATAACAAAGTTACAATAACACAATAATAAATTGTCAACAAATGAGGACAATGTATTTTTATCATTCAGGACCAGATTAAATATGCATTTTTCTACTTACAACATTGGAAAATTGATATCTCACTCGACCTTCGGTCTCGCGAGATATCATTTTTCCACCGCTGCTCGTAGCAATATACAAAGCCTTAAAAAGCTACTACTACATAATATTCCGTTTATATCTCCTTTAATTTAATGTACATGTATTATAATGCCTAATGCTTGTTCCCTCTTTAATAGTGAACACGGAAAAATAGCGCACCAGTCAACCGTGACTAAATTCAACAAAAAATTAAATAATCTATTTCAAGCTGTAAAATGGTAATGAAAAATTGTAATAAGACTACACATCTAGAAAATAGCTCAGAACTGTTTAATCTGAATAAAAAATTCTTATTTATCAATAACAGTTTATTTACTTTAATACTTAATGCTGCAGACGGTATTTATGAATGAATGTCCCGAATTAAACCTTCTATACATATGATTTTACAAAAACAATTGATGTTGATTCTTCACGTAAAAAAGATCAACTATCATATGATAAAATCATATGAATGCAATAATTATAATGCAAAAATGAGGCTAGTGGCTAAATGTACTTGTAAACATTATATGACTTCAACACCACTCTCGGCTTATGTGCTCCCTTGCATTTGGTGACTGTGTCACAAATTTGCTTATTTTGCACTAATCTAAAATCAAGTAAAACTAATGTTTATACCAAGGTAAAGAGTAACAGCAAATGACAAAAGTTATAAGTCAAAAGTCAAAAGATAAAAGTCATAGGTAAAAAGTGATAAATTATAAGTGAATAGTCACAAGGCAAAATTTAATAAAAAACGAGAAAATTTATTACAAAGATCAACTATTATTTTTGAAATAACAATCATATATATTCCTTTTACATATAGTTACCATAATACATTCTATAAAGTATGGTTGCTATTTGTTGCGAATGAATAAGACGTTTAAATCTAATTACACATACTTGAAATTACACGTATCACTTATATGTCACGGTACGAATCTATTCAGTAGATGAAGTGCACTCTCGGTCGGGACAGAACTAGCCCTGTAAGGGGGTTGCGGGTTCGAATCCCGGTATAGCTGCATATCTTTCTCCCCCTGTGGCATTTGGTATAGTGGAAAGTGTCCCTGCCAGTCACGCGGGAGACCGAGGTTCTATTCCTAGCCGGGCAGCCTTTTTGTAACCAGGGCTTGATATAGAACAGATACAGGTTGTGGGTTTGAAACCCATAGGAGAAAACTTTTTTTTTCTTCGTTTTTTCTTTTAACAGTATTTTTGTATTTTTCTAACTATATTTAGATGGAAAAATATGCTCGTTTTCTATTATTATCATTTTTTACAGATATTCATTGCCTAATCAATGCTAAATATAAGAGCAAATACGACATATAACATTTCAAATGCTTTACATATTACAAACAAGCCGGTAAAAGCCTTCCATATTTCTCAGAATGAATCAATATACTTCTAGAAAGATTTTAGCAAACTTTGAAACAAGCCCTTTGACAAATGTAATTTTAGTGATTTTCTAAATTTAGAATGATATGATAGAAATTGTTCAAATGGGTGGGGTAGAGAAACATTTCCATGCATATTTCTATCGTGTCGAGAAAAGTGATGCATTTAACATACATAGTTCATTACTAGAATGTTATTTTTTGCATCTAAACAAACAACACTTGCAAAACATGTTAAACAAGAAGATATTTTTAAGACTTTCAATACATGTATTTCTTTTTAAAAGCCTTTTTGATGTATATGTTCTGACTCATAATAATGCCTACAACTCGTAATCCGTACGGTAAATTTTGCATACAGGTGTCCTTTAGGTATACCACTTAACAATGTTGTCAATTTTATATACAATCCCTTATAGTGCAAATTAGAGTGGTTATAACTTAAATGATAATTTACAAATATATTGTAATTTGCTAAATATTTACAAACCAATATCTTAAAACAACCATAAAATGAAGTGAAATCGTAGACTATCGTCTTTATGATTTTAAAACATCTTTTTTTGAAACTTAACCTATAGTAATCTAGAATATATAAATAACACACAATAAAAATTAGCCGTTTCAAAGCGTATTTATATTAAATCTACTCTCAAAATTAAATCGTTCAACTCGGTACACAGTTGTAGTGCTGTTAGGCGTCCAATGGCATCTGTAGATCTGGCTTCAGAAGGGGTGCTAATTCTACGAATTCCTCACATTGTCTTTTTGGGCGTGAATACATGTTCTTTGCAAATATATACGTCTCTCAAGTTAACTGCATTGCCGAAGTCGTGAGTTTCATACAGACCTGGTACAAAAAACAGTGTATCAGGTTTACCATAAATAACAGAAGGTTTGTTGCCTTATTTCATGTGCAATCCGGTCTAACTCGGTTTGTATGAGGTCCATAAAGCAAAATTTTAAGTTCTCACATTGTATCGGGTCTAGATCATTAAATGCACATGTATCGCGTAAGTCTTTGAAAAAAATTAATCCACCAATGGATTTCATTTTGTCGTAATGTACACCACCACTTCTCAATGCGTTGGTTAGATGTGCTTTTTCCAACTACAACGCTTTGAGTACCAGCAATCGGATCTGTAGAATCGTGTCTGAAGTATTCCTGCAATAGTAAAGCAATGCAGTTTTCCCTACCAACATCACAACGTAGTATTGGGTGGGGGGACTTGGTATTGTTCATTAAAGGTGTCGAAAAGTATCTTGAAATAAGGCGTGGGTCGTTATTTGAATCCGAAACCTCTAACCATATTATTTTTTCTACTATACCTATTCACAGCAATATTATGGCTGTCCATATGTCATATAAAACTGGTCCTTTGGCGTAGTATACGCGTCGGCATAAGCGATAAGCTTTCCGCACCTCAATATCAACTGGATCAAGCGCTCTCATTATTTCCATGACGCCGTCCCCCTTGAGGTACATGTGGTAATCCAGCATTAACCTACGCCACATTGTGCGGTATCCTATGCATTGTCCACTTGTTTGTATTTCTCTGTTTATAACATCAGACACAGTCTCAAATGGAGTATATATTCCATTACGCCGTTTTAAATTTAAGCGTTTAAAAATTCTATTCACTGTACTTAATGACGTCGTAATGCCATGCCGTACCAGAAAGTACTCTATTATCAGCAGAGTTTTGTTTCTTATAAATGTTGAGGGTAGGTATCTTGGCACGGTAGCTTTGGTAATGCCGAACAGTATAATGATGAAGACACAGATCAACATCAAGGTTTTCATCCTCGTTACCTTTTGTCTAGTAGTTGTGTCTGAAATAAGAGTATATCTTTTATTTAAATCTTTATACATTCATAGTATATAAAATGGGTAAATCTTCTAGCTCCGTCTTTTAAAGATTGAAAGGTACGAAAAAATATAACATTTAAAATGCTAGTAGGATATTTTGTTCTAACTTGTCCTGTATCTATGTTTGTTCTTATAGACAGGAGTGATTTTAAGAAAATATTAATGCTAGATGCATTTTTAGTACAAGTAATATATTGAGTGTTTTAACCTAATATGGGTATGCTGAAGACGATGAGGGTGGATACCAAGAAAATAAAATTGACCTTGACCTTCTTAAGGGCAATTCAAAATGGCCGCTTAAAAATACTAAAATAGGTCATTAAAACTATGATACAATATGATGCAATTAATTATTCTTGTCAAAATCAAATGGTTATTCAATATGATCAGATTTTAATGAGATTGGCAACCATATATAGCGATTATAAGCCTAATGGCTCAATTAACAGTATATACAGTACTGTTTTACTAGCACGTTAAGGTATAAGACTAAGATTGAAAAAAATCACTTTAAATTTTTTGTTAACTTGACATGTTTATCGAACAATAAACTTAGTTTATAAATATTACCAAAGAATAAATATCTCGTAATAACAAATTAATATTTCGTAATAACAAATTAATATTTCGTAATAACGAATCAATTCCGGGAGAAAGTGTGGAAAATGTCACTTCATGTGTTCCGTAATTTTCAACATTATTTGTAGCTATGATTTTTTTAAGTTGTTTATTTTGTTTTCATATATTTTGCACTAATTATGGTATTTATGGTTTAAAATGAGTATTTAAAATTATTTTGAAATGTTAAAAAGTGTCATTTCAATGCCATAAACACAACACAAACCGAGACAAAAAGTGTTTTAAAAATATACTGCGCCCCCACAAAAAACAAAACAAAACAAAAAACAACAGGTCTTAAAAAATGGCAACAGTAGGAATCGAACCATAGACCTCTCACACATCAGTCAATCACTTAACTGGCTGTGCTACTGCGGAAGTTACGATGACGTTTACAATTTTAACAGGTATGACTTTTACTAACATTAGTTTCATAGTTTTTTTTATTTTATGCTTTTCAGTGGATTACTGATTTATTCGTGAAAATTATATTTGATAATTTCACAGTGAAAATTATCAAAATATAATTTCACACTTTTCAATGACGAAACTACTTTCTTAAGATTTTCCCCATGTGGTACCTCAATTTTATTTTTGCTGACAATTCTGACAATGTCAGGCTGTTTCGAGAGAAGCAAAGCTGAAATTGATAAATAACTTAAATGCCAAAAGTAATAAAAAGAAGAAAACTTACTTCTATTCATCTAAATTACCAATCACCATAAATATCGTCTCTTAATTTTTTTTGTTTCATTTTTACAATCTGAAAAATACATTCCTTCCACATGCAGAACTGCTCTTGATGACATTTGGGCATATTTAAGTTTACCATCTTGTTTAAAAATAAGTGACTATTTAAAGTTAGAGTAAAAAACAACAACAACAATAACAACACCATATTTTAATGGAGTCATAAAATGTCTGAAAGTGGGAGATTGCTACGTGTACTTGGTATACCATAGCAGCTCTCGAAAATTTTGGAATTCAGTCACGGTTTTGAAAAAATTCTACAAGAAGATTATCTCATCATTTGATATACATTAGCATTCCGAGTACCCTCCAATAAATCCAGGATTTCTTAAAGTAACAGCATAGTTATCTATAAAATATTATTTGTTATAAATCGAGTAATATTTTCTTTGACCATATAATAGTCACGTGGGTTGGCTACATAGTAGAGGTGTTAAAATATAATTGAAATACACCCTTTGTTAGCCATTGAAATAGTATTTTATGTATAAAGGATTTTCAAAAATGGTTATTATTCAGAGCGGGCGCTATGGTGCAGTGGTAACACTGTCTGCCTACAAATCAAGGGGTCGTGAGTTCGATCCCCCGCTACTCCACTGAACGAATAAATGACTGCAAGACTGACAAAACCAGAACATAGAAACAGAATGACGGCAACGATAGAAAAAAGAGAAGACCTTAACGGAACAGGAAACAAGTACCGAAAATACAAGACCGAAGACGACGACCGATAACAGAAGGAAGAACAGAGACAAGGACCGCTAACAGAAGAAGAGAGACAGAGACCAATAACAGAAGAACTGACAACAAGCGAACAGAGACGAGGATTGATAACAGAAGAACAGAGACAGGGACCGATAACAGAAGAACTGACAACAAGCGAACAGAGACGAGGACTGATGACAGAAGAGCAGGGACAGGGATCGATAACAGAGACGGAAACCGATTACAAAACAGGACAGGGAGTGATAACACAGACGAGGATTGATAACAAATCAATACAGACGAGAACTGAGAACTGAGACTTATGAAGAACGAAGATCACGACCAATAACAGAAGAACTGACAACAGGAGAACTGCGAAGAGGACCGATAACAGAAGAACGAAGACGACGACCGATAACAGAAGAACTGACAACAAGAGAACTGCGTAGACGACCGATAACAGAAGAACTGCGACGAGGACTAATAACAGAAAAACGAAAGTCACGACCAATAACAGAAGAACTGACAGCAGAGAAATGCGACACAAGAATAAAAGTCACGACCAATAACAGAAGATCTGACAGCAGAGAAATGCGACGAGGACTAATAACAGAAAAACGAAAGTCACGACCAATAACAGAAGATCTGACAATAAGAGAACTGCGACGAGAACCGATAACAGAAGAACGAAGACGACGACCGATCAGAAAAACGAACACCAAAACCCAAGAGTGGGTTTATAATGTATATTTTGCATGCACACGTTTTAACCTCCTCATACATAATTACGCTGTGCAAAATAAGTAGGCATCTGAGTAGCCACTCTAATGCTTGCATAGAGTGTCAGATAAAATCTAGCAGATAGGACAGGAAAGAGTGTAGTGTTCGCTGCGTAAATATGTTTAAATTAAATTTTCAGTACTATCTTTAATATTACTTCTATATTACTATTATATTAGCCTATAGAAAAATGTCTGCCATCTTGGATTTTTCGCCCATATTGGATTTTTTTTTAAATTATGTTTTGGTGTCTAATTTGTTTTTACCTAAACATACTTTGTGACAAATTTCAGACTTTTCCTTTCCTTAAAAATTTATTTGAAAAATTATCCATTTATGATAAAGAAATTTGGCGGCCATTTTAGTGGTCATTTTAAATGGACATTTCAATGGTCAAGATCAAGTTTTTCAATTAGGTATCCAACTTTATCGGATTAAGCATACCTTAAATAGGTCAAATACATCAAGATACCGCTTGTACTACAAAATGCCTCTAGCATCTTATAGAGAGCCAAATTTTCAAAATCAGTCCTGTCTATTAAGTGTTTTTTTCTCAATTGTTAAAATATACAACAAAATTAGTCATTGATGCTAAATGCAAATGTGCCTCGATCACAATTATAACTTTGTACTTGTGTGTATGAACATAGCACTTGCTGTTCATTATGAAATTGGTTAGCACTATCTTAGTACTTCAAAGAAATACTGATTCTGTGTTAGCTAAATAAAATTCTGAATTGCGATACATGTTTAATACTGTGAACCATGCCATTTTAAGACGTAAAACTTGTATTCCCTATCTACTTGTAAAACAGTTATTTGTTTGTTACTCATGGACAGATTTTGTGATGAGGACAAAAATGTGTAAGCACTAATATAATGAACATATTTAGAACATAGAAGCTTGTACAAAACACACAGTCACACTTGTAGAATTAAAGTCTGATATATTACCACTATGGTATTATATCAAATAACATTAATTCCCTCCTTAACACATCATCTCCTCCATGACAACTCTCAATGAAATTATTTAAAACGTTTAAAAAACATACCTGAAACCAAAGTTGCTGCTTTCATCTTCTAAAAAACGTGTAAAATGGGTTAGCCAAAAGTCATAAGACGTAAGTCACAAATCAAGAGTCAAAAGTCGAAAGTCAAAAGTAAAATATCCGTAAGTCGAAACTCAAAAGTGACCCTCCAAGGCTTCCATACAAATGATCATGTACAAATATGTACAAAAAAACTAAAATAAATATGCATGCAAAACTAAAAAAATATGTATGCAAAACTAAAAAAATAAGTATGTATTCAAAAATATGTACGACAAACAAAAAACAAAACAAAAATATGTACGAAAAAAAAAGTATCAAAAAAATTGATTGCAAATGTCACTTTTATGCCATCGTTCGAAATACTCTAGTACAGAAATTGTGTATTCCTAAAATTAAAAGATGCTGCGAAAAATATCCCGTACTGTTAGTCATTTACTTGATAACTTTTGGTGCCATATTGAGCCCCATTTTAAATATGTTGGGAATGAAATAAAATGCAGTTAATATTTTTTCCCGAAGAACTATAAATATACTCTATTTCAATGTTCTGGTGAAACATCAAGTTTTTCGATCGGACTTTAAATAGTGATTTTTACAAATACATTATTAAGCTTATCAACACAAGCTTAAGGTTTTTGTAAGCTCCGTAACAACCGTTCGCTAGAGGCTTTTAATGGGAAATCTTACATACTCCTTTAGACTGAGCAAACATGAATTTTAAAATGTTAAAATAATGGTATCAGAGAAATGTAAGATGCTTGTTACCTGAATAAAATAGCGTTAAATGTGAAATTATTTGTCAAAAAAGTAGTCAAAACAATGTAGTATTTGATTTCCATATAAAATACTAATTCACTATAACTGTACTCAGCATTGCCAAAAAGCAACAGATGAAAAAGATGGTTCAGGTAATTGGCCAATGTGTATTTTTTGGATAATATAGAAGAACACTAAAATAAAAAAAGCTTTTAAGAAAAACAAATAAAAGCATAATAGGCCTTTAAAACGTTATTTTTAACCCTTGGGGATCGATACCCACAATCTCCTCTATACCCCAGTGAGAATTTTACATTATTCTGAAGCTCCGCTCTAAATGTGCGACTACTTCATTAGTTGATATTTTAAGTACTGCCTGTACGGACTAACTACTTAAAGCCGCATCTACACCTAGTCAAGTTTCTTATGTATTTAGCTAAATAAATGGCTATTTCAAACATATTATCGGGCACATTTTTACTGAAATGTCTTACTAAGATTACCCAGAATTTATACCCTTGTATATGCTAAGACTTTCATATTTCTATAAAATGTGTAAATAAAAAAGGGAAATGATGCATTTAACTAAAAAACAATGGAGTTAATGAAAGGTGTACATTCTTTTAAAATAAAAGGAAAATTTGAGAAAAAAATATTTAAAGTCTGAATAATTGATACAAAATCTTTATTTGGTGATTTATTTGGTGAAAGTTCTTCACTTACTAAACATGACCATTTTAAATCCTACTGATTCTACTATAATTCGGGGCACATGTTTTGCGTCTATTTAATACCTTGAATTTTGTTTACCATTGGCGTTGACTACAATATATTATTTAAAACATAATGAACATTAATTTTCTCTGACCCCAAAGTGCGGTCGTTTGCCTGATGTTAAAAAATGCATATGTACCTGTTTAACGCACTTTGGGGTCGAAATTGGACCCCACATTGCGTAACGCACTCTGGGGTCGGACCCCAAAGTGCGTTTGACCCCAAAGTGCGGTGTTACAATGCTCTTTTTCCATACTTTATATATCCTGTCATTATATACTTTTATGCTCTCATGACATACTATGTATATGCTCTCATTACATACTTTTTACATGATGCTTTCATCACATACTTTGTATGCATGCAAATGTAAACTATTATTGTTTAATCAATATGCGACTTTGAACCGCTTCTCCTCACTCCAACCAGGGACTTTGTTCCTTTTCTTGTGAGGAAGCTATCCAGCCAGCTTACAGAACATCAGTGGTTTTACACAAGTGCCCGCGCGTGCCTGATACATTGCACGGAGGTGCACTTGCCAATAAAACTATGTTATGCTATGATTAACAAAAAACTGTTGAAATATTTGCTACAAAGATGAGATAAATCGTCTAATATAAACACCTAGCTAATGAGCTTGTGACGTTAAAAGGTGCAAAACATCTAACGATCGATTGATTACTGACTTCAAAAAGCATTACAGATGGAAGATACAGCGCCTAGTCATTGTCATAATGAGTGCGTTCATAGTAAATCCATTGGCTACCATTGGTAGGTTTATTTACCATTAGCACATCAATGGTACAAATGTTTACGGACAAAATTTGCCTTTTGTAGATTGATTTGCAGACGGACTAATTCTGCAAGTCTTACTTATGACGTCATTCATGTATGAAAATTAATTGATCATATAAGGCTGAAATAATATTACACATTTACAAAATGTAAAAAAGTGCAGATTTGCAAATTAACAAGTTATTTATCTTTTTTTTTGGATAAAATTCATTTATAACAATTCAGATTACAATAAAAACTGGACCGTACTTAAATAGGACCAAATTATTATCAAGGTCAGGTGTCATTGTTGCAATAGGTTCACCTTTGGCAGCAATGTTTATTATATTGTCAATTACAATTAAAAATCCGTCCGGAGTAAATTTTCAACCAGTGGTACCAATATATGAGCCGCGTCACGACAAAACCAACATAGTGCGTTTGCGACCAGCATGGATTCAGATCAGCCTGCGCCTGCTACTTGGATTTTTTTTTTTAAATTATGTTTTGGTGTCTAATTTGTTTTTACCTAAACATACTTTGTGACAAATTTCAGATTTTTCCTTTCCTTAAAAATTTATTTGATATATCATCCATTTATGATAAAGAAATTTGGCGGCCATTTTAGTGGTCATTTTAAATGGACATTTCAATGGTCAAGATCAAGTTTTTCAATTAGGTATCCAACTTTATCGGATTAAGCATACCTTAAATAGGTCAAATACATCAAGATACCGCTTGTACTACAAAATGCCTCTAGCATCTTATAGAGAGCCAAATTTTCAAAATCAGTCCTGTCTATTAAGTGTTTTTTTCTCAATTGTTAAAATATACAACAAAATTAGACATTGATGCTAAATGCAAATGTGCCTCGATCACAATTATAACTTTGTACTTGTGTGTATGAACATAGCACTTGCTGTTCATTATGAAATTGGTTAACACTATCTAAGTACTTCAAAGAAATACTGATTCTGTGTTAGCTAAATAAAATGTTGAATTGCGATACTGTGCACCATGCCATTTTAAGACGTAAAACTTGTATTCCCTGTCTACTTGTAAAACAGTTCTTTGTTTGTTACTCATGGACAGATTTTGTGATGAGGACAAAAAATGTGTAAGCACTAATATAATGAACATATTTAGAACAAATCAGATTGTACAAAACACACAGTCACACTTGTAGAATTAAAGTCTGATATATAACCACTATGGGATTATATCAAATAACATTAATTCACTCCTTAACACATCATCTCCTCCATGACAAATCTCAATGAAATTATTTAAAACGTTTAAAAAACATACCTGAAACCAAAGTTGCTGCTTTCAGCTTCTAAAAAACGTGTAAAATGGGTTAGCCAAAAGTCATAAGACGTAAGTCACAAATCAAAAGTCAAAAGTCGAAAGTCAAAAGTAAAATATCCGTAAGTCGAAACTCAAAAGTGACCCTCCAAGGCTTCCATACAAATGATCATGTACAAATATGTACAAAAAAAAACTAAAATAAATATGCATGCAAAACTAAAAAAATATGTATGCAAAACTAAAAAAATAAGTATGTATTCAAAAATATGTACGACAAACAAAAAACAAAACAAAAAATATGTACGAAAAAAAAAGTATCAAAAAAATTGATTGCAAATGTCACTTTTATGCCATCGTTCGAAATACTCTAGTACAGAAATTGTGTATTCCTAAAATTAAAAGATGCTGCGAAAAATATCCCGTACTGTTAGTCATTTACTTGATAACTTTTGGTGCCATATTGAGCCCCATTTTAAATGTGTTGGGAATGAAATAAAATGCAGTTAATATTTTTTCCCGAAGAACTATAAATATACTCTATTTCAATGTTCTGGTGAAACATCAAGTTTTTCGATCGGACTATAAATAGTGATTTTTACAAATACATTATTAAGCTTATCAACACAAGCTTAAGGTTTTTGTAAGCTCCGTAACAACCGTTCGCTAGAGGCTTTTTAATGGGAAATCTTACATACTCCTTTAGACTGAGCAAACATGAATTTTAAAATGTTAAAATAATGGTATCAGAGAAATGTAAGATGCTTGTTACCTGAATAAAATAGCGTTAAATGTGAAATTATTTGTCAAAAAAGTAGTCAAAACAATGTAGTATTTGATTTCCATATAAAATACTAATTCACTATAACTGTACTCAGCATTGCCAAAAAGCAACAGATGAAAAAGATGGTTCAGGTAATTGGCCAATGTGTATTTTTTGGATAATATAGAAGAACACTAAAATAAAAAAAGCTTTTAAGAAAAACAAATAAAAGCATAATAGGCCTTTAAAACGTTATTTTTAACCCTTGGGGATCGATACCCCACAATCTCCTCTATACCCCCAGTGAGAATTTTACATTATTCTGAAGCTCCGCTCTAAATGTGCGACTACTTCATTAGTTGATATTTTAAGTACTGCCTGTACGGACTACTACTTAAAGCCGCATCTACACCTTGTCAAGTTTCTTATGTATTTAGCTAAATAAATGGCTATTTCAACATATTATCGGGCACATTTTTACTGAAATGTCTTACTAAGATTACCCAGAATTTATACCCTTGTCTATGCCAAGACTTTCATATTTCTATAAAATGTGTAAATAAAAAAAGGGAAAATGATGCATTTAGCTAAAAACAATGGAGTTAATGAAAGGTGTACATTCTTTTAAAATAAAAGGAAAATTTGAGAAAAAAATATTTAAAGCTGAATAATTGATACAAAATCTTTATTTGGTGATTTATTTGGTGAAAGTTCTTCACTTACTAATCATGACCATTTAAATCCCTACTGATTCTACTATAATTCGGGGCACATGTTTTGCGTCTATTTAATACCTTGAATTTTGTTTACCATTGGCGTTGACTACAATATATTATTTAAAACATATTGAACATTAATTTTCTCTGACCCCAAAGTGCGGTCGTTTGCCTGATGTTAAAAAATGCATATGTACCTGTTTAACGCACTTTGGGGTCGAAATTGGACCCCACATTGCGTAACGCACTCTGGGGTCGGACCCCAAAGTGCGTTTGACCCCAAAGTGCGGTGTTACAATGCTCTTTTTCCATACTTTGTATATCCTGTCATTATATACTTTTATGCTCTCATGACATACTATGTGTATGCTCTCATTACATACTTTTTACATGATGCTTTCATCACATACTTTGTATGCATGCAAATGTAAACTATTATTGTTTAATCAATATGCGACTTCGAACCGCTTCTCCTCACCTCAACCAGGGACTTTGTTCCTTTTCTTGTAAGGAAGCTATCCAGCCAGCTTACAGAACATCAGTGGTTTTACACAGGTGCCCGCGCGTGCCTGATACATTGCACGGAGGTGCACTTGCCAATAAAACTATGTTATGCTATGATTAACAAAAAAACTGTTGAAATATTTGCTACAAAGATGAGATAAATTGTCTAATATAAACACCTAGCTAATGAGCTTGTGACGTTAAAAGGTGCAAAACATCTAACGATCGATTGAATACTGACTTCAAAAAGCATTACAGATGGAAGATACAGCGCCTAGTCATTGTCATAATGGGTGCGTTCATAGTAAATCCATTGGCTACCATTGGTAGGTTTATTTACCATAAGCACATCAATGGTACAATTGTTTACGGACAAAATTTGCCTTTTGTAGATTGATTTGCAGACGGGCTAATTCTGCAAGTCTTACTTATGACGTCATTCATGTATGAAAATTAATTGATCATATAAGGCTGAAATAATATTACACATTTACAGATTACAATAAAAACTGGACCGTACTTAGGACCAAATTATTATCAAGGTCAGGTGGCATTGTTGCAATAGGTTCACCTTTGGCAGCAATGTTTATTATATTGTCAATTACAATTAAAAATCCGTCCGGAGTAAATTTTCAACCAGTGGTACCAATATATGAGCCGCGTCACGACAAAACCAACATTGTGCGTTTGCGACCAGCATGGATTCAGATCAGCCTGCGCATCCGCGCAGTCTGATCAGGATCATGCTGTTCGCTTACCAACTCTATTACAAGTAGAGAAACTGATAGCGAACAGCATGGATCCTGATCAGACTGCGCCGATGCACAGGCTGGTCTGGATATATGCTGGTCGCAAACACATTACGTTGGTATTTGTCATGACGCGGCCCATATGATACTTTAAGTTACCAATAGTAATTTAGTACCACTGTGAATACTCTGAACGCTTTCATTACACTTAGAAAACCTTTGTTCATTTAATTATTGAATATTTAAATAGTAAATTAGTGAGATATAAGAATTGTGAAATTATGAAATAAAATGATATGGCATTGTCAGATATAAATATATATTTAGCTAACCGGGTATACATTCCTGATATAACGGCAATCCTACGTCAAGTTTATCACACGACCCATCTGCATACACACGCCATTGTTTATTCTAAAAATTGCAGAAAAATGAAAGAATGATTTTAGAGAAAATATACAATCACAAAAGTAATAATAAATAAATTTGTTACAACGCTCACATCTTCTTTTATATATGTAAGACAAGAAATCTATGTTGTTGGATACCATTGCACTTGTGTTTTGAATAACATATTCTTCATCATTAATACAATGTATAAATTTAATTATTTTAAATCAATCATATCACCAGATGTAGAAATGATACCACCGTATATAAATAATATAGCATAAAGGGTGTGTACCTGCTAAGTATAGATTCTTATCAATTAAAACATACTCACGTTTATGTAGTCTAAAATATCAATGGAATCCAGTATAACAGGAATTGGCCACACTGACATAAAGCTCTGAGAATGTTCGTGCACGTACGTCAGCTGATTAACGCCATCAAACGCTGTTTTAATTGTTCCGTTAGCGTATCCATATCCGTACCCCACGTCACCAGTTCCGATGTCAACAATACCCTGTGACATGAACATAAACGTCTCAAACTGGTTCGGGAAGCAACATATCGGGTTCGGTTTTACACTAAAGCATGTGATCACTTTTAGACATATCAATATAATGTATATTCTCATTCTTCTACTGGTTCGTTTTTTTTTTCTTGAAAAAAAACCCCAACGATTTACTGATTGATATTAGATATTTTATACGTAATATAAATAATACTATCGATCTACTTATGACGTTTAATGCGTGTCATACTTTATTATAAGGGGTGAATGATACTTTAACCCTATATCCATATTGATAATAATTGATAACAAGTCGGGTCATTTTTTAGGTAATGTGACATATATAACATTCAAGGTTCATACATATCTGAAAAAATGTATAAATCGAACGGACAAACGAACGTACGAGCGAACGAAGGATGTAATGAAATAAGGAAGAAATAACCAAAGGAAGAAAGGAACGAACGAAGGAACGAATTGAAATAAATGTATCGAACGATGATAAACAAATCTGAAATAGGTACATGTCTTTCGGCAGATATTTGAAAACAAAACACTAAGAAAATTACATTATACGTATATCTATCATATACATTGAGTGGAAGTTTGAAACACCATCCCAAGTATTAATTAATTTAAAACATTAGACAATACTATGCAAGTGTGGTTTTCAACGTCATATTGGAGTGACGCAATGATCTCTTTCATTTCTCAGTTATAACATCATAACCAGTCTTTAATATAAGATCTATCAATAACAATTATAATTCTGTCTATGATTAAACATGTTAATTAGTACAACATTTGATGTGGCATTGAAAATGTTATGAATAATTCAGAAATCATAAAATCGAAAAGAAACTTAAAATCTTCAACATTGTTTGTGAACAATTCTTACAAATAACACTCGCAGTATAAACTTTGGAGTGAAAAAACATCATACTATGACAAAATTAAATTTAGTGATAATATTTGCAATTTTCACTCTTGTTAATTTACAGGACGTTTTCTCTGCAGGTAATGTTTGTTTTCGACATTTTTTTCTCTCTAATTTTGATTTTAAAAAGTGTTCTTCCTCACAATTTTAATGCGATACTGTTGGATTCAAATATTGAAGAATATTAATTAGCTTTTTTAAAGAAGGGTTTATCAAAATACTTCAGATCTCTGGTTAATATAAGTAGAGATTTAAAATAAGAACAAATTGGTGTATGACTTTTATCTTATTTGTAAAACTAGGTCTCAAATACATACATGTAAATAATATTTAGTTTAAATTGTTGCTAGGATTCAGTCACGTGTCAATCAAGTCGTTAATTGGTGATTTTAATTGTATAAATTGATCGTGTTCATCCTACAGAATGTGACGTCACATCAGTAAACGTGACGACAGATAATGCCTGTACTGACGTTGATTATGACGCCATCGTGATGCCGAACATAACAGTAGAAGGAACCACCATAACATATCCCTGCAAAAGCTTGTTGATACATACAACAACTCATACTGAATATTGTCCTGTACAACTTTGTCAAGCAAGTGGTATATGGAGAGAAGCAACATTGTCATGTGGGGGTAAGTCATTTCTAATCATTTTCTTCCCTTTTTCCTGCCAAATTTTAGATGTCTAATGTGCAGCTTTACGTTTATAATTGGTTCAACTTTATCTCTTTACAAACAACTGCATTTTAATTAGATTCTTCTAATGAACTTATAAATATTGTGAAAACACCTTATTTACTTTTGGTAGTTTTAAATAAGTCCAACTAGAATATTTATCTCGTACGACACCCTGATCTTGTCTCTGAGACAGTATAAAACAGTAAATTCATGAAAAGTAGACTGTGGTTTATTGTAGGTAACGATCATTCTTACAAATATTGTAACTTGTATAGGAACGTGTTTATGAATCTTTCGAATTTACATAATTTTGCACATATTCTTACGACTTGGTCCACGACCATTTTGCTTTACAGTTTCTGAATGCATCAAAGATTCATCAGAGGATTATATAGGAAAAAGAATATGCACTTTTTCCGGCAAAATATGTCAACGATGGGATAACTCCTTGTTCCAAGAATATGATATGAATAAGGCGCATAATTACTGCCGAGATCCAAAGGGATCTAGGGGCACTCCTTGGTGCTACACAGAAAACAACAGCACAGAATGGGAATTTTGTGGCATACCGGATTGCACAGGTATCATTTAACACTTTTCTTACAATTTTTTTGTGTTGGCGATCATCAGATAGCCTGATTATAGTTATAACCATATTTTCCAAATCGTGTTCTTCCCTTCGTTTACAACAATTTACAATATTCATACTACCTTTCCGCATTTTAACTTACCAATTTGAAGCTTCTTGTCCAATTTCAAGCGATTTTTGTGATTTTTGTGGTCCATCTTTCAGGAATTCTGTAGTATAGCCGTTTAATGCCACACGGGTAATATGGCAAATAAATGAGGAGTCACACTTCTTGTAATGGAATTATATATGATGTGAATAGATTTTGTGCACAAGAGCTACAATCACCACTTTTCATTTGCTTCAATGACAAAATAAAATACAATAAGTTTGTCTTCTTTATAATTTGTTATATTCCATACTGAAAACTTACATTTGAGTTACATTATTTACATGAATTACCTAGAAATTGTTGTCATTTAAACAGAATCCATATAATATTTTTACTTAGAAACAATCTAACATGAATTGTAACCAATGTGTTAGAATACTTTCTTTTAGCAGAATGTAAACGTTTAATATAAATCATTTTGTATGTTTAACCTACAGAAAAATCCCGCACATTTTCTTTTGCGACAAGTTCTTTCCAATAACTACAAAGGTTTTAATGTGTTTAATAAGATCTGCAATAAAAATGATAATCAACTCTTTATACAAAGTTTACACAGTAAGAAGTATACTTATTTTCAGGACGGCCTTCTGATTTAACAATATCAAAGAAAAAATGTAGATCTATACAAAATTTAAAAAAAAAATGTACAAAAAAAGACGGAAATATACTCTTGAATTTAAAGGTTAGATATTTCATCATTCATCCAACTGACACTCAGTAATTATAGTAATTATAGATAAACTCGTAATGATTAAAAAATGATAATATCAGCATTCACAACAGTTACAAAATTAAGTAGTCAATTTTCATCATGTATCTAACTGTAAACTTAGAAAATAAATGATACAGTTGTTTTTGAACGATTGTAAAGTCGAACATTGTTTGATAGTAATGAGTAATTTGTTCCAAACGTCAATACTGAAATAAGAAAAAGAATCCTTGAGGTTTACTTTTCAGAACAAGATCCTTATGAACGATTGAGCGTTAATTATGTAATTCATTGTATTTCCCTCATATACAACGGTGACAGATTGTTTAAAGATTTCCACACCATAATTACTGTGTGCTGTGTTAAAAAGATCTAATGTTGGTGAACGTATCGGTCTGTTAAGTATAATTTTGGCAGCTCTTTTTTGGATTGAATTTACTTTATTGATGTATGAGTTTGTGTCCTTTCCCCATACCGTACAACAATAATCAAGCACAGAAAGGATGTACGCATTGTAATATATCATTTTACTTCGTCAGTAAGGTAAAAGAAATCATATGTTTGAAGAGGGAAATTTTTGTATTTACTTGTTTTTTTTTTTGTTTTTTTTTTTTCAAACAGAGTCTATTTGATAATGCAAGTTTAATGTTTTATCTGCATAAATGCCCAATAACTTTTGAACTGTAACATTTCCTAGAGTTGTTTAATTTATTTTCAGTAGGAGAGGATTACATTTCTTCCCCTTTTTGAAGAACCAATTGTCATGCATTATGTTTTTATTGGGTGCAATGACATATTATTAAGGATACACCAATCATTTACATTGTATTCGATTCCCGCACGGCGCAGATCACTTTCGTTGTGATTGATCATGAAATCGTTTCTACGGTCATTCGCACTGTACCTCTGCTCTGGCATGCACAGAAGTTTCAGTTCCTTGCGAAAGTGAAGGCAACTAGTACTGGTAAACTGCTTGACAGCCTGTCCAGGAACGATGCGGTGGTTGAACTGTGCTCTGGTGAATTCAATGTGGCTTACTGTCGTGATCCGGAGTGAAAACTACCAACACCACCACCATTTACATTGTATATAAGTTAAATCTTTTTTTGTAAATTATCTTGTATTTCTAGTAAACAGTCACCGGATTGGTTAAGTGTAAAGTTATCTGCATACAAGTCTATATTAAGATCATTACGGAGTATAGATGTACCATTGATATAAATCAAAAATAGTAAGGGCCCAAGAATGGATCCTTGAGGAACTCCTGATTCAACCACTAAAATGTCAGATTTTAAATTACCTACTTGATATGTCTGTTTTCAGTTTGATAAATAGGAGCGAAAAAAATGCTCTTTCAGAAAAATGATATAATTTTAATTTGTGCATCAAAATTTCATGATCGACAAGATCAAACGCTTTTCTTGAATCAAGGAAAATAGCACCTATCATTTTACCATTATCAATATCTTTGATCCAGGCATCAATTTATGTAAGTAATGCTGTATTACAAGAGTGATTTTTTGCCAGACCCTGATTGTCTGTCATGTATAACTTTTGTATTTTGAAAACAAAAATGCCCGAAGATGTGACGCTATAGTCGTTCAAATATTTTTGAGATGGTAGGTAGAATTGAAATTGGGCGATCATTTTCAGAAAAGATTAAACACAGGCAAGACACGAGCTTCCTTAAGTTTATCAGGAAAATACCCATATGAATGCTATTATTTATAATAGATGTTATGCACGGAATAATATTTTAGTTTCCCCAGAACTTTTTAAAATGCGGGTCCAATACCATAAAGGCATGTGTTAACTTTTGAAATACCATTTTTTTAAAAGGAATATCAAATACGCGAGAGCCTAGCAATGAATCCATTTTTTCTTTTAAAGTGAAAAAATTGTTTTCAGAAAAAGTAGTTTTGGTAATAACAGTTAAAATATTAATAAAATGTTTATTTAGTTCATTATATAATTCATTTTCAATTATTCCATCATTATTTTTTCTATTATTATTCCTTTAGTATGATTGATGTTAGAAGCTTCTTTCAAGTTTTTTCCATGCATACTTTGTCTTTGAGTCCTTATTCTCTTCAATGGCATTATTACAGAATTTTTTCTTAGCCTTTCTAACCAACGCCTAAAATTCTGTACTGATCAAAGTCTCCTTTATTATGACACTTACTGCGCAAATTTATCTGTAAACCAGTCGAGTTACATGTACGAACAATTTTAGACCAGTATTTTATAATTTAACTAAGATTCTGTGAATTTGTCCGCTTGCAATATGTATAACGGTAAAGGAATGATTTTCGTGAATTTGATCATGTTCGCGCTGTTGACCTCAACTTATTGTCGACGTTTAATTGTTTTTACAGATAAAAACAACACAATATTGTTGCACTGACCCCCATGTCCGTTATTACGTGGTTTAATGGAATCGCACTAATATACAATACAATATACAATATGTATGTTTTTTTCTCCTTAACTGTTAAAGCATTTTAGATCAGAAGTAAACAAATTGCCGTTCTTACCGGCATAAATATGTTATTGCAATTAAGATCAAATATTTCAAATGATGTCATAGAGTCTACTACAAATAGAAGTGAGCGCATCCAAGTTCCGTTAATTTCCCGTGAATTTGTAAATAGAATACTTAACTGTAATTATCAACTACTCATTTAAATGACCATATTTATGCAAACTTCAAAATATTTTTTCAAATATTAAGGAATTTACTATATTCATCAGATTTACAATAAAATTTTAAAGACAAAAAATGTTGTTTTTTTATGTTAACCTTAAAGTGATAGATAGCAAGTTCATCTGAATTAGTACTTTGATCTTTCATTCTATATATACTCCTTTCATCATTCAGACGACTTTTTTTATTCGGAATATGCGTTTTATAAACATTGTCTGGCCGCACATAAAGCTCTCCGGGGAGCTCTCCACTTAGTACAAACAAATTAGACACAACTGGAAGCTTAAATTTATTGGTTAACAACATGCATCGGTTTTGCCTCGACGAATAAAGATGTGTAAATAAAAATGTTTATAACAATATTGGTTGCCGACGGCAACTAACATTATTTGAGGTTAGTGTTGCCACTTCTTTTACAAACTCAATACTGGTCACTAAAGAATAACATCATCACCTTTCTTTTGTCACAGAAACTGATTCTCCGCTTCTATTAAATTTACGGTTTTTATTAATATCTTAGTCAATTTTGATAATTTTGGACACTCAATAATCACTTTCTGACTCTTTGTCATTGTGATCGGAAAGGGAATCTAAAGGTGTTTTTTCTTCTTTCTAACTTTAAACACTTACTATAGTGTTTACAACATACATCTTGTAGGCGACATCGCTTTCATCATCATATTCACAATTAACCCATTATCAACATTATGACTATAACCAGCGACTTTGTTGTCATCATCGTCTCCGTCGTGGTCAAAATCTATATCTCACTCAGTTTAAAACAGTGTGATATGACTTTTATTTCACAGATATTTTAGAAAAGACAAAGATAATAAATAAAGGATTGATAATATATAACGTGCTCTTATTATTTAAGATACGCTACACTGTATCACTAAGCAAAAACTGGAAGAGTTTGAGAAAATATAAATACAGTATATTCTCGTTTCAAAGTGAAGATAAGAGTGGTAATAATTTATCCAGATGGTGATGACGATGATGATGATGATGGTGACTGATGATGATGGTGGTCCACTTTATTTGTTTATGTAATTGCTATTCTCAAATAAGAAAGAAATATATAAAACCTTTTTATTTTGTCAATCCATCTGTTTTTAAATTTCATGATTTGCTGACTTCTTCAAATAAAAATGATATTGTTAAATTATGCAAATGTATATGAAAGAGGCATTTGTTATACCTGATGCGTTTTTATTGTTATACTTATTACCTTACTGTCTTTGTTATACATGTATGCATTATATGTAAATATATGTTAAAGTGCATATGATTCAACTTTTGTAATATGTTCTAGATATGTGACATGTTTAACATTGGTGTTTATGTATAAAGTTGATATACTTATGTGTAAGTCTAATAAAATGTATGTTCTGTTCTGTTCAATATGGAATTATAATCAGTAATGAAGCGAACTTAGTACATTGACTATAATTCAGGAAGGAATAGTCGACAATGTGTTATCTACGGAAAGGACCGGAAGGTTGCGATTGTTAGCCGTTTTGAATTTCATTGTTTAAATGCTCATTACGTTCGACCATTTTAAAAAAGTGACTTGTTTTTACAAAACGTTATATCCATTCAGTTAAACTTTATGAACCAGATTTCATAGTAATTACAAAATATATAAATACAACAATAAATCTAAAAAATTGAAATGTAAGTGTTTCAAAGGTTTAAAAAATGTTTATTACAGATGTAACTGTTAACCAAGGCATTTGTCCAGACGGTGAGTATTCCCTTATATGGTATTTATTGAAAACCTTAATAAAATCTTCATTTTAAGCAAAATTTTGATAACACGGAATTATCTCAATATACAGTCAAACTTTTATAAATGTTATTTTAGTAAATGATTTATTCAACGAGTTTAGTTATTCGAATACTTAATTAACAATAAACTTCAATGTTAATAAACACACGAAATATATATATATATATATATATATATCTAAAAGTGAACACGTTAAAACGTGCATTGTGTATTTATCGATATCCATTAGGTCCCAGGAACAATTATATACATGACCAACTGGTACATAACAATAATATGTCCGAGGTTTTACGAAGTTATTAATGATACATATGATACACAAGAATATAAAACAATATTGTTTGACACTAAAATAGATTACTGTGGAGATCCATCACCAGTTCTTACCACAGACAATGTGTGTAGCCAAACCAAGGTCGCCGGTGATTACCTTAGAAACATCGATTCTATCATAAAGTACGTCTGCAAGGTGCTGTTAAATGGCTTCTACTCATCGGGCAGTTATTGTCCGGTAAGGACTTGCCAAGAGAGCTTATTCTGGAATTCTGTGTCACTTTCCTGCGGAAGTACGTATATACATGAACATGTAGTTTCTTTATTTTCTCAAGTTTAAAATAACCAAAACTTAAACACAGTGAAAGCAGATGTAAGAGGTTTTGCGTTACACTAACAATGTAAAGGTCATATGATTACTTTCTAGCTTCATTGGTGGAGGAAGACCTCAGATGCCCCAACCCCCGTACATTATTACAGGCACGAACATGCACCTGAGTAGAACCACCAAAGATTCATAAGCTAGCATAAATTGCTTTTTTTACATGGAAGAATCTAAAGTCCCTGGCGGGATTTGAACCCACAACGTGAAGGGCCTTAACCACTCGGCAACGGACGACCCATATATATTATTTTGCAAAAGGCAATGTAATATATTCGTCGTAATGAATATTTTTTAAGAAATTATTTTTATTCTAAATCAAATCTAAAGTATTTCTTTTTAATGTTTTTCGTCAATAGTTAAATGTTGTTTATTTATTAAGTTATGTTATCGAACCAATTAAGGCCTCAAAACGTGTTTATATAACAGTATGTTATACTTCAAAATCGTGGCTGTAATATTGTTGTGTGAAATTACTTTATAAACTAGTGAATGAATGCTATGATGCGGGACACTCTATGTATTAAACTGGTAAAAGGACATGCAGTGCCAGTGGACAAGCCTGTCTACCTTGGAACACCCTTTCTACACAAGCGCACAACTTCACCTCATCTGACTTCCCGGACACTGATAGTATGCTTTTGTATTCTATATGATGAATTGAAATAGTTTGGTTGTCTATCATCATGAAAACTTTATAGCTTTTTTTAAAAATTTACTAGTCACAACATACTAATACATGTACACAGCTTGTTGATCATTTATTCGATTTAAAACATGAGTACTGAGTAGTCATCTTTCATGCAAAAATTCTTAATCTAATCATAATTATAAGCAAAGAATAACTGCGTATATTTTACTGTTTGCCATTGTAAACATAATATATACATTTATATGTATTAAAATGCTGCGTTTGTATTTTGAATATTTCAGTTCACGAGGCTGGCACATACTGTAGAGACCCGAATGGTACAGAAGGTCAGCCGTGGTGTTTTATAAACGAAACGACCATGGAGTATTGTGAAATCCCGGAATGTTCAAGTAACGAATCTTTTTCAAACTATTTATAAAATATTTATGTATTTATATATCTTTTATATAAAACTACAGCAATCTATGTATAACGTATGAAATAAATCACGAAGGCTTATCTGAGGTCTTCCTACTCAAAAAATGGGGCTCAACCCTAAACCCGCTTAATATCTTAATTAAATAGACTGTCTATTTCTCAATCTCTACAAAACTATTTAACACGTGAGCAACAACTTTGAAATATATGTAATGATCTAATAGCGAATGTGCTGACCATGAACACACGGCAAGAATGCATGTGTGATGTTGACTAATTGATATTTTTCATGAATAAGCATGATCATTTTTAAAGTATGTGTATGATATCTATTGTGATTTGGATATAGTGGGCATCTGTATAAAACGGTCATTTTAATGAAGTCCCTTATCTGAACACTAGAAACAGGTTAGACTGTAATCATGATTTAATGAGTATAGATTTGTTACTCAAATTATCAAATTTTCTTTTTCTTCTATAGCACTGCCACTAAATTTTGGAAAGTGCGAACCTCCAAGTAAGTATAAACGGACTTGATTCAAATTTTGAAAAGTCTCGTGTTGCATTAATCAGATATTGTTGATGTGTGCATGGGCTGGTAAAATTATCAACTCGACATTCAAAATTGAACGATAATAAATAGTGCCTTATAATGAATTCTTCACAGTGATTTTAAAGGTCCTGTATGTTGTAATTAAGGTTGTATACCACACTTAAGTGAAATTAAACAGACATTTTATGCAGTAGCTCTAATCCCCTATATTTTCAAACTGGCACATTATGCCTTAGAAATAAATAAACTTCATTCTTTACCAAGGCCAAACAATAGTTTGATAATGTTTCAATAATGACTTTTGGGCATGCTAGATGCTGACCAACTGACGAAAGTAGAGCTGAATGTAATTTTGTTTGTCATAAAAGTAGTAAACAGTAAATAAAGTAGTATTTTGACTTTCATTCAAAACACTAATTCTGTATAAATGTACTTATTGCCAATCGCAGCACAAGTAAAGATGGTTAAGGTAATTTGCCAGAGAGTAACTTTTAGGAAACTGTACATAACAGGACACCAGAAATAAAATGTTTTTGAGAAATAAAAATAGAAGCATTTCTGGGGCATAATGGGCCTTTAAGTAAACTGTAAATTGTGAACAAAGTGACACTCCGATGTATTGCGGTCTACAATGAAGATTATGGAAAATATTCTATTTCTTCTATTGAGACTGTAATTTAGATAAAAATGATTAATCTATCTCATGAGGGGTTACGGACTTTACTTGTAGAAAAAACCTGCATACAGTAAACCTATTATTCTTAAAAAGTCACTTAAATTTGGGTTCATCTGCGATTCTGTATCAAATGACTTGTTTGTATATGTGTAAAAATGTTTATAACATATCATTTTCAGAACAAGCAATGCTATAACACTCGGATATATAAAACTATTTATTAGGAAAATAGCAATTCATTTGAATATCGTTGGGGCATCTAGCTCAAATATTGCATATCTTTATTGAATTTTCTCGTGTAATATCGCTGGTGTTACCACTGTATTATAAACCATTACGTTATTTTACGTTCTAGAGATAAGAGGTGTGCGATACAAACTGCTGAATAAAAGTACAAGTGGCTTAGACTTCCTCGACTCGATCCGGTCCATAAGAACGGCAACTTCATGCTGCCACCTGTGTGACCAGCGTCCATCATGTGTAATGGTGATCTATAGCAACTCAAGCGGCATCTGTAACTTGTACAAGGAAAATCGTACAGTTTTAGAGAACGTTGACTGTAGTACAGTTAAATGCTATCTGAAAGAACACTTGACATGGTTATAAAATATCAACACATTTGAGCCGTTGGTGCTCCTTTTTTCCGTAATTCAAGTTATGTAATGCTTAGTTTAAACATACTTCCTTAAAAAATACATTGCATGAGTACAAGTAAGGACTGGGCAGAAAGCCACAAACTCTTATAATTGCAATCTCCTATATATCTACTAAATTATTACAAGTTCATCTAGATATTAAAATGTGTTATACTTGATTGTAAACTCGTATCAATAACAATAATACTTATAAAATAAATATCGCTTGCTGTATAAAAAAAAACTTTTTAAATGTTGTTTTTCAATAGAAAAGGGAACCGTGCATTTTTCTTTCATGACTAATGAATTCATATACTAGCGAAAATTGTATCAAAATAACGCTAGTTTTTATCTCTTAAAAATGCTTGAGTTTCAGTGATGTGTTTACATTTCTCTCACTTAGTCATCACTATTTTTGTAGCAGATGATAATCAGAAAAAATCAACCTCTTTTTGAAAAGTCACAGATAGATACAAAGCCACGGAATCTCAGTTTGGCGTGTTTAAACAGCAATTTTGTTCATTATCTACATAATTATAAAATACAAAGAATTACATAGACAAAGAAATATAACCAATTTTCAACACCATCAAATTAATAATTTTTTTTTTCTGGGGACATGGAATTAGAAAATGACGCCTACACCCTAAGATTCTTTATGAAACAGATAAGATGTAATCCGTGGCCGTATAAGTAATAACGTTGACTTCAAGTAATATGATCCGCGTCACGACAAAACCAACATAATGGGTTTGCGAACAGCATGGATCCTGATCAGACTTGCGCGGATGCGCAGGCTTGTCTGGATCCATGCTGGTCGCAAACGCACTATGCTGGTTTTGTCGTGACGCGGCTCATATAATGATACGGTATATCTGGCTGGGGTTCACACTCTTGGCTGGATGGATACAGAGAGGAGAATTAGTGTACTTATCTACTAATTAGATTATATGTTATGTTGGAGGGACTTAAATCTTAAAAACTAAAACAACACAAATACACATGGTATTATAGATAATTTAAGAGTACTATATACATGTACATACATACTCAACAGCGATGATTATTGAATTATTCATACTCATTTATTTTAGGAAGTTTGGTTTTAAGACACAGTGAGGTTATGATGACTCCATGTTTTTTATGCAAAAGGACCTAGCGGTGTGACTACCTGCATAATTAATTCAAACATGATTTCAAGGGCCCCTGAACGGAACATCAAGAAACGCTTAATGAAGAATCAGCTTTAAATATAATTAATTATCTGAAAGATAATTGTAATTCTAAAAATATATCTGCAGCAATGCCTGTCAGTAGATTATCCCACATGCCGTCAGTAATAACTCTAAACCTGCTAAATCTACGTATTTTATGTGTTTGTCCTAATCTGAATTGGAAATAGTCCGTCAACTGGTAAAACTGCACGGATTTACAGGCTAGTCTGGCCCTATACTGGTGATAAAGGCTGATCACGATTTTTCATCAGACAGGTTAAGGGTTCAAAGTATCAAACAGAAAATTTGCGTAATTGAGAATTTATCGGTACAGCTAAAAGTAATGAGCGGATTTGAAGAACTTGTGAGGTTAAAATGTCTTTGTTTGATTTGTATGAACATTTAAAACGGATATATACTCTATAAACACATTATACCTCAGAAGTAAATAGATTCTTCCCTTCTTTAGAAAGGTCAATCATCAGTTTTACGACATTTTAGAAATTGTTTTAGAGTTTGTTAGATGTTTATCACCAGGAGAAAGTATAGCGCTGATTGTAGAATAACTTGTCATAAAAGTAGCAAGATGTAAAATAAGTAGTATAAAAATACTGATTAAACCGCTATTACCTGTACTTTACAAATGCAAAAAAGAAACGGAAGCAAAGATGTTTCGGGTAATTGGCCAATGAGTAACTATTTTTGAAATCATAACAGGACACCAAAAATACAAAGCTTTTGGGAAATAAAATCAAAACCATTTCTTGAGCATTATGGGCCAATTAATAATAATATGGCAAGTATATATTTATGTGTTTTATCATGTACCTTGAAGATGTGTAACATGGATTATACACTTATTTATAAAAATAATTTCTTCTGCAACTAACGTATTTGGACTTTACCTTATGACCAATTAACTGGGCCAAAAATTGTTCAAAGAAAAGTTGCCGGAATTGTCAAAAAATAACATTTGCAAAAAATGATAACATAATGAATTTTGAATGGTTATCTGGCCACCAAAGTGGAGGATTTGATAGCTCAGATATGTAAAAGTAGGCCTATTCTTTGCTTCACCATCACCATTCGCACAACGTCAAAATAAAAGCGACATATAAAACTATTTTTCAACACTTTGACTGATAAGTATCTGCCAAAGCAATTTTTTTTTTCCTCTTCAGACGCAAGTTGAAACACGCAAAGAAGCAAAAAGTAAAGAGAACAAACATCAAAGAGCAAAAAGCAATTACGCTTGGTCACGCTGGGAACCAGCCTAACATAGATTTCTCGATAAAATCCAAGTACTTCCGAATCTAATTAAAAATGGCTGCTTAACTTGGAAATCGAAATTTATTCGAAATATTTTTATAGGTTCTGTATTCTGTCCTCAATACTGACTTAATTTTCCTTTGAAATGGATACAGTAAGTTATAGATAATGTTTTTTTGTTCTAACATACAAGTTATTTTCCTTCATTTGTGTAGTAAACATCTAAATATCTGCAAATTATTCATGTTTGCACAGGATTTTTTGTCTCAAAGAATATTTTTTTTACATTTTGACTGGTCAATATTTATGATACGGATGAGAGGTGGGTGCAGAAATGTGACTGTATTGATGATGTTGTCCATCAATGGATTTTACATTTATAACAATACAGATAAACCATGGTTTCTGTCAAATTAAAAAATTATTTTTGCAATGTTCTAATGTTATTGTAGCGTAATCAATTCGGCGTGAACGGTTTGACCCATGCAGTTTACAGACTTTTGTTTTCTTACTGTCAAACCATTGGAAAAAGACAGCCCACGTCCATAATTATCCCGGTGTCTTTGACAAGTCTAATTAGTTGGACTAGGGTTATTCACTTATTGTTGTCCCCAGTATACTCTATGAATCTATGATTCTATCTATCTTTTGTTAATGTCAAACCCCTTGCAGGGACGTAGACATGTGATATAGTTCAACTAATTTTTCTACGGAACAAGATATTGTGCTATTTTGTGTCTAGGCAATATCTCGCCTCTAAAAGTGAGATTTTGACCCAGAACGAAAATATCTAACTTTGGCATGTAATATATTTTGACTAACATATCATACTGCTTCAGAATCATTTTTTTGTTTTGTTTTTTTACGATTACACTAAGCAGGTAATCATTGTATACATTGCATTGAGAGACAGCTCTAAGTCTAACTCTAACTGTATTATCTGAGCAACTCTATTACCGACGTACTCTCAGTATTTTGTCATATGCAGTCATATATACAGCAGGGGTTTTTTTTACTAACAAATTGACACCGATAGTCGGCGTCTTCCCCTCGGTAAATAGCCAAGTTTTTTCCCCCAAAAAATTCTATTTTCCTTTAAACTGGATCAGATTTAATAATCACATGGTTTAAAATATTATTTTTCTTCATTTTATGCAGGATAAACCACCAATTGATGTTCAAAATAACCAAAAACATTGCAGGAAACTGCAAGTACTGTCTCAACATGGAGGCAGCCATTTTTTTTTTCTTGGCTATATCCCGTACTGAACGGTACTATTTCTGGAAATCAGTTGCAATCAAAATATTGTCATTTTTTTGGTTATTTTTAGTAAAGTAATATATTTTGTACTTTTTATTATGAAAATGACTTATATGGAGCTAAAGTGTGTCACAGATACACTATTATACCTATACTGTATTAACTTTCATACAAAAATAGAAGTATAAAAACCATTCACCACCATACATATTAAGAAAATATGTTATACTGCAAAGAATATTTTGCATGATGATAAAGTTTTTAAGGGGAAAAAGATATAGTTGTAACTCTCTACTATGTAGTTAAGTATATAGTATAAATAACGTCATAATAAAGTTTCCCCAAATTGACTTTTTTCGTATATTTTTTCCCCTCCCTACCAGCGTCCAGCGTCTTCCCCTTTTCCTAAAAAAAAACCCTGTACAGTGAAGTTAAAAATATTTGATCACATTCAATAAAAAATGTATTGATTAAGTTAATTTGTTCTGTTTCACACAAGATATTTATTATGAAAAACATCAATTAAATTCAATACAGACATACAGAAAACGTTAAGTACGCTAATAATACGGAGTCACATGCTACTACTTTAGGGCCTTACATAATCTTTAAGTCTGCTAGGCAGTACCCATATATTTGAATGGTAAAATAATAATAAAGAAATAGAAATATCACAATACTAATAGCTCTGTCCACTTCATTAGGTGCAATTCACCAGAGCTAAATCCTTAACATACTGGAAAACAGAGTTAAGTTATGTTTTTGAAAATTTAATCTAGCATTTACTGAAAGAAAGGGGGCATAGATCTATATCACATTAGCTTTCTTAAAAAAGGAAGGATGAACGGCATAATGTGATGGACCAGGTATGTAGCATGCAACAGATGTTCCAGTTTGGTGAAGGGGAACATTTAAATCTACAGGCTGAAAATATAAACCAATTTTAACAGCATTTCATCTGATAATATGGATCTGTTAATAATGAAAACCCAGTTTTGTTACTAAAATGTTCATGTTTTTCTGACACAATAATCAGTTATTACACTTATGCATACCATTCTGTTTCTATTTAATGCCCACTGAAACTTGGCTTTTTAAGCTCGACTATTCAATAAGAATAAGTAGAGCTATTGTAGTCACCCGAGCATCGGTGTCGGCGTAACCACTTATGTTAAAGTTTTTGTAATACCTCAAATATTTTCAAAGTCCAGTGACATATGGCTTTGAAACTTTGCACACCATCATAACCCCAACCTGTAGACAGGAGGGGGTAACTGTATCAAGCATTTTGACAGAATTATGCCCTTTTTTCGACTTAGAATTTACATTCAAGTTTGCATACCACCTCAGATATTTTCATATTCTATTGACATCTGGCTTTGAAACAAGTTGAAATTTTATACTCTTCTTTGAGAGCATAATAAGACTCTCTCCAAGGCCTATAACTGTAACATGAATTTAAGAAAAAAATTGCCCTTTTGTAAACTAAGAAAATTTTACATTATCAAGGCTCTTTTACTATCAAGCACTAAGAATAGTCGAGCATTGCTCTCCTTCTGACAGCTCTTGTTTCAAAACGGTGATGCTAATAAGAGCTATAATTTTTTGCTGTAAAATATGTTATACATATTTTAATTTCAATTATTTTTTTGTTTATTACATATTAGCTAAAAAAACAACAACAAAAACATTTTATTGATAGTCACTGTCAATAAAATGTTGTTTTTTTTGTTGATTGGGACTTTTAATTAAAATTAAATTTACTGTGAGTAACCGATAAGGTAAGATTTTTTCTGCAAAATGTGGTAGGGGGTGCTTATTAGAAGGGGCATTACTTGGTTACAATGCTATAGATATTATTATTATTATAAAGCTAATATTTATTCATATGATCACTATATAAAAATCATTATAGATTTATATCTTTTTGTAAATAAATAATTTATATTTGCAGGGATGGACACCAGGTGGTCACCGCAGTAAACAAAGTAAGGTTGTTTTTTTCATACTGGTGAAAATTTCCTTTTAGACAGATAAATTATAATTTTTTGTACTTTACATGTAGTTAAAACATATTTTATATTAGTTTCATTGTCTCTGAAAAGTACTGTAACAGTCACAGTGAGTAATAAAAGTAAATTATAAAAAAATTTCTGTATTATAATGGTCTTTTTATTTTCTAGGAATGTTTGTGTGTCACAAAGTGATAATTGTAATAATAAAAGATTAATGTCTTTGATAACTTTTGGATTGCTAGATCAGGAGGACATACAGTTTTAAGTTTGTCTGTTTGTCACAAAACTTTATGTCTGGTTATAATCTTGATGTCCTTCCACCTTCATATACAGCCTCCAAACTTCACAAACATACATGGCGCTTGTGTCTGCTTTTTGCACATGTACACTTTATTATTTTCTAGGATCTGCTGCTAAAGACCCATTAGATGATTTACTTGGAGATCTTCTAGATGATGGTAGGTATCTAATCTTGCCACATTGAGAATTTTGGATAGTATAACAATCAGTACTTGGTAAAATTGAGCATATATAGTTCTTCCTCTATTAACCTACTTTGTTAAAGAGAAAAGTTAGGCATTAATACATTTGTTTTACTCTTATTCATAACTTGTGATATTAATAAGACCAATAATTTCCATGATGTAGGACCATCCATGGCCGAGTGGGCTAGGTCGCTGCATTCAAACCACTTGCCCCTTACCGTCATGGGCTCTAATCCTGCCAGGGACATTGGATTCTTTTATGTGAGGAAGCTATCCAGCTAGCTTATTGAAAGTCAGTAGTTTTACTGAAGTCTTCCTCCGTTTTCCATATGATCTCTTGGTGCGACCCAACATTGCTCATTGGATTTGTCCAACATTTAAATTTGGAACTGTCTTATTTTAAAATTTAGAGAATGTAAAATAAAATCAAGTAAGATGAGCAAGCAACATTAATAACATTGCTGAACAGAAAGTATATATCCTTTGCCACCATTATAGAGCAGTCTGATCAGGCGCTAGAATGGTAGTAGCTAATTTTTCTTATTTTAATAATGAAGTTCCTTAAACTTTAGAGCTGTAGCTGATATATGGATTACACTGTTCCAAATTAAAAGCTTGGCAAATCCATTACACAAATTCAACAGTTTAGGTTTACCTGGCTGTATTCTGGTTACATTGACAAATCTTAATCATAATGCTACTTTGATTAATTACTCATTTCAAATTTATCATATTCTTTTCTCTCCAGATACAGGAAGCCCACCAAAAAAGCCTTCAAATGGCAATGCTGGCAGACAACAATTTCCTGCAAAGAAACAAAGGTATGTTCACATGTACGAGGGGTTATCCAAAAATTCGTGGACTTTTAAATATCTCTTGAACGTCAACGTGTATTGTAATGAAAATTTATCAGCATACATTGTAGAATATTAGCAACACATTTTGAAAGGAACAGTTAATTGTGTCAATAAATAATTATTTTCTATTGCTTTTAAATAAGTACATACACGGCACCCGGCGCACGGTAGAAAAGTGCAGTAAGTCATCGTATATTTCTTGCTAAAGAACTAAAAAATTAACGTAGAAAACCCGCTGAACATCGCATGTTTCTTTTATGATGTCATTTAAGTAATTCTTTAAAATAATGGACGTCCTTGATTGCATAACGTTGAAGCACAAGTTGTACGTTAATATTATGACGTTGACGTCAATAATTTTTTGGAGTGCGCCGCTGTCACCGACATGTGTTTATGTAAAATTAAATATTGTTGTAATAAAAGTAGCTACTCACATGAATTTTTCGGTGTTTATTTGTTATTAATTCTTCTAAGCAGTGTAAGAATTTCAAATTAATATCTCAAATAAATTTTACGCAACAAAGAAAGTCCAAGAATTTTTGGATAACCCCTCGTATATGTCCGAGAAAAGAATTTTAAATGAATATAATTTCAAAAATGACACTAGATTACATGTAGATCTGACAAAGGGCGTTAAGTTCAACAAAGTTTGAAGAACAAAGTGTAAATATGTTGAGAAAATAGATGAAAAATGCAATAGTTCAAAAGTGGAAAGTTATTTAAATTGAGCATCTTAATCAAAAGTGTAAGGAAAACATTTTATTTTGATAATAGACTATAGTTTTATAAAGTTATTTGATTAGTTCTTAGTAATGTGAAAGTATACAACTAAAGAGATTTATCCCTATTCAAGAAGCATTTAAATGACATTCCTCCAGTTAATTTATATAAGTTACCTAGTGTTCACTTACTCCACTGACGTTTTTACATGATTGGACTGAAAATACTGTTTTTCAAGATTTGTGTGTCATCTGATGTAGATCTAAACCAATAACTAATATGCAAAATTTCAGGTCATTAGCTCATTTTATCTTTCCAGAATTATTGTTTTTATTGTGTAAAATGTCTTAGATAAAAAGTGTCACACAACTGATTTAAGAACTGCACAGAATATGAATTTTGATTAAAATCTTAGTGTATTCCTTCAATATCTTTTACAATTTTTCCTTTTAATTGCCCCAGTTAATCTAGGTAAGAATAAGAATTTTTACCTCATATTTATAAGGCTTGTAGAGCTGCCTTGTACATGTACTATAAACTAGTCAGACAGCACATTTACATATTGGTGGAATAGGTTTTTGACTATATCAGCTATAGTCTCTGAAAGTTAATGTAATAAAATTTTACTGTTTTTCTCATAGCTCTAAAGATGAAGATTTCTATAGTAGCCTGGCTCAGGCAGCAGAAGATGCTGAATTATCAGATGTTTCTGAAGCAGATGTTAATAAAATGGCTAAAAGCATAGCAGTAAGTGATTTATCTTAATACATAATGTATATATTGTAGTTGGTACATTTTATACTACAGTTGGAAAAGAATTATTGCAAAACTTGAATTTTCAAGATATGTTTTGAAAAACTTGTTGGAACTGAAAGTGATAGAGTATTGCCTTGCCAGCCTGAACATCTGTGTAACTTACTCAAAATTTTCATTTTGACATACCTAAAAATTGTTATTGGACAATACAAAAATGGAAGCTGGTCAAATCTTAGAATGAAATTCAGGTTACAACTAGTCTGAAATTCAGGTTAAAAATTCTTTTTATTGTTTATTTTAGCTGTCTTAAACAATTTTCAGCTAAAGAATGATTTGTTGACATTTTATTTAATCAACACAATAAGATTTTGAAAATATAAATAAACAACTATTTGTAAACTTTATAAAACTCTGTACTATCCAGTTTATGTTTGAAAAGGTCTCTACTTTATGCGACAAATAATTTATTGAGAACTTGTGAAGGCTGATAGATCTGAATGAAAATTTATTTATGTCATTCTTTAGGATCTTGATGACTTGGATGCTGATCTGTTTCAAGCAGCAGGTGGTAGCACTAAAACACCTAAGCGTGGAAGTCTTAAGGATAAAACTGGCAAGAGCGGGACCCCTCGAAGATCTGGTACACCAAGGTCAAGAAGTGGGACACCTAGAGCTTCCTCTCCTCCACTGAGGATGACCTCACCTGGTAACAGAGTAATCTCCCCTTCACATCAGAGAGTTACTTCCCCTCAAGGACGGGGCACTCCTACAAGCACTGGCAGGGACACTCCTGGAAGTCAACACTCGGGAATCGATTCAAATAGACCAGGCAGTGGGTCTAAAAAACCTTCATCTCTCAGAAGATCAAAATCCCCAACAACTGAACCAACTGTAGAGTACAGGCCTACCACTGCTCCTGGCAAAATGACTGGTAAGTTAAGGACGTTTTCGGGAGTTTTCATATAGACATAAAAGTAAAATTAAAACTGTTCAATAGAATTTCTTTAAACTTGGCATGTTGTTAGAATATGATAACAGAAACATTTTAAGTGAAAAAAAATATTGGGGTCACCGTTTTTGAGTTATCTGCCCCTAAAACGTCTTTAAGTGAATTGTTTTTATACATTTACTTATCTCTTAACCTGCCTTATATGTGTAACTGATTTACCCAGCTTTGAGTATAGAACAGTCCATTCATAGTGAAAGGGTTTTCAAAATTGGAATACAAAAAATGAGTATCAACAATATATGGTCTGGTCAGACTGAAGAGATATGCAGACTGGCCTTGGTCTATACTGGTGGTAAAAGGTGATCACTTGATTCCAGACGGGTAAATGTTTATCTTTTGCTGCCTTTTATTATTCACTTACAAGTAAAAATCATTAGTTTAGAATAATTATTTTGAACTATACCTTAACTTTTCAACTGTTTTTTTTTAATTTTCAAAATTTAAATTTTATTATATAGTTTAAAAGTGTTTGCTTGATGTAAGAATACTACTCAATTATTTTTGCATATTTATTTCTATAGATTTGAATGAAAGGGCAAGTGTTGGACTCAAGCCTGGCCAGGAGCAAGAAAGACCAAGGACAGTACCTAAAGCAAAGTCAATTGACTTTGGAGGTCAGTTCTGTAATGACTAATGTTACCTTGAGCTACTAACAGATTTTAAGCTGTACATAATTTAAGCTTATCTATATTTCATTCTTCAGTTCACATAGATTTAAAAAAGTGAAAAGTTTGTTTTTCAACCATGTGCTTTTATGGATCGATTTGGAGGGATTCAAAACTGAATTTGGCAAAAGACAACTTTCCAACATCAATAATGATTGATTGACCTAGTAACCTCCCTGTGAATTATCATGTGAAAAGTCAACTGTGTAAAACGATGGACCTTCCATAAGCTTGTGTGAAAGCTTCTTTACATGCAAGAATTCAATTGCCTCAAGGCAGTGATTTGAAGTTGATTACCTTAACAACTTTGCTACAGGGTTTTAACCAATTACATTGAGATTATCATTACAATATATCAAACATATTTCTAAGAAGCTGGGACAGAGTTTCAATTTGTGACCAAGAGATTATTTTAAAAGAAGAATTATAACTTATTTTCCACAGAAATATGTTATATTTTCCACACAAATATATATTAAATATAAATATTTTATTTTCACAGATTTTGATGCAGACGACCCTCTGGCTGGTATTCCTCTATCTGATGATGAGGAAGATTTCGGGATACCAGCAAAAAAAGCAGCACCTAAACAACAGGTGACAAGACAAAAATCCAGTGAAAATATTTCACCAAGAGCTGCTGCAGCTGTTACCATCGACACTAAACTAGGTAAGAACACCTTGAATTCTTAAAAAACTGTGCAACCTGTACTGAGTGGCCCTCTGAAAACCATTATTCTCTTAACAACATTGTTATCATTTTGTTTCAAAATCTAAAATTCACAATGAATTAAACTTCTTTAGAGCAATGTCTCTTGGTAACAACCAATATTTTTTCCCAAGGAGTGTTACTCTGCAGGGGTTACACTGTATGTGTAATAAATGCTAGAACATAATATTATTAAAAAGAATTACTTGTTTGATAGATGTTAGTGCAGCATTCCTTAGGCTTTACTAATGTTCAGAACATGACCTTAAAGTAAGGAAGTCTGATAAATAAGTTTTGTTTTTCAAAGTATTCATTTAATAGATAAGGCAATTTTGGCTGTTTTGAAAACTGTAAATTTTGTTTTGATAAAAAATTGGTTAATGATATATATGTAACTTTTCAAAAATAAAAAAAGTAATGGTAGTCCTTGTTGACTAAATGATATGTTAAGATTGTTTTTTAAATTGACATAAAATGTTTTGTTTTATTTGATGTAGAATCCCCTCGACAGAGGACTTTGTTTGACAGACCTCCCACTAGGAGTGGAAGTACAAAGACCGAAACACCAGACAAAGATCAGGAACCAGCCCCAGTACAGAAACAAAGTACACCTAAACCTGGTATGACCTATATGTCCTTTGTAAAATGTAGACATTTAATATAAAAGAGATATAAACACAACTAAAGCAAAAAGTTTTTTCTCTTGTGCATGCATCATTCCTTTTAAAATAAACATGCAATATCATTTATGTTTCACAGTGATTAGTGCTATTGTTGAAAGAAATTTAATTTTTTCAGCTCTAACTAAGAAGAAGTCAGAAGACGCCTTATTCAGTGATGATGATGACTTCCTTGGAGGCCTTGGAATAGAAGAGAAAGGTGCCGCCCCTAAACCCAAAGCTAAACTACCGGATGATGATGAAGACAGTAGGCCAGCTAAGTCAGCAATGGATAAACTTCTCGGGAAAAGTTCCGTGGCAAAACATCTGGAACCAACTAAAGAAAGAAGAGAATTTGTCCTTGATGCAAAATACACACAGCCACAAGGTAAAATAAGGTGATTTTATGTAACATACATGTATATTGTGATATTTATATAAATGTATATTGTAGGCCTGGTGTAATTGTTTATTATGGGATCAATATAATTGTGTTTGTGGAATAGTTATAAATTATTGTACCTTGAAGAATTTATATACATGTATGTTGTGGGATTTTGCCTGCAAGTTAGCATCTTCATAGCTACATAAGGGAATAGATTGAAACTTCACACACTTATTTGAGAGAATAACAGGAGCTCACTATCCCAGGTCCATAACTCTAACATGGATTTTTACAGAATTATGGCCCTTTTTGAACATAGAAAATTCTACATTATCCCTTCGCTTGTTTACTATCAATCACTGTGAAAAGTCGAGCCCGCTATTCTACAAAGAGCTTTGTTTGTTTGTTTTTTGTTTGGTTTCGACTCTCCTTACTTAATGACATTTAGCTCGACTATTCGAAGAATATGAGAGCTATTGTAGTCGCCCCGGCGTCGGCGTCCGCGTCCGCGTCGGCGTCTGCGTTGGTTAAAGTTTTTTGTAAAGTCAAATATCTCAATTATTACTTGAGATATTCAATTGAAACTTACAATACTTATTTATAGTAACAAGGTACATCAGATTGACAAGTTGGATAACTCTGCCTACAATATTGACAGAATTATGCCCCTTTTTAACTTAGAAATTTTGGTTAAAGTTTTTTGTAAAGTCAAATATCTCAATTATTGCTTGAGATATTCAATTGAAACTTACAATACTTATTTATAGTAACAAGGTACATCAGATTGACAAGTTGGATAACTCTGCCTACAATATTGACAGAATAATGCCCCTTTTTAACTTAGAAATTTCGGTTAAAGTTTTTTGTAAAGTCAAATATCTCAATTATTGTTTGAGATATTCAATTGAAACTTACAATACTTATTTATAGTAACAATGTACATCAGATTGACAAGTTGGATAACTCTGCCTACCATATTGACAGAATTATGCCCCTTTGGAACTTAGAAATTTTGGTTAAAGTTTTTTGTAAAGTCAAATATCTCAATTATTGCTTGAGATAATCAATTGAAATTTAAAATACTTATTTATAGTAACAATGTACATCAGTTTGCAAAATTGCATAACTCTATCTGCAATATTTGCAGAATTATTTACCCCTTTGAAACTTAGAAATTTTGGTTAAAGGTTAACGGTCTTCAAAGATATTTACTTGAAACTTTACACATGCACTTAGGGTCATAATTGGAGGGTCATAATTGTATGTCACTGACCAAGTTCCATAACTCTATCTTGCATTAAGGCTGATTCATATCCCCTTTTCTACTTAGTCTCTTGGTTAATGTTTACATGCAAGTTTTACATATCTCAATAACTATTAAAGATATTTATTTAAAACTTCACATTATGCATTTAGGGTCATAATTGTAGGTCACTGACAAAGATCCATAATTCTATCTTGCATTTAGGCTGATTTTTCTCCCCTTTTTCAACTTAGAAATTCATGATAAAGTTTTGCTTGTAAGCTGTTATCTCAATAACTACTGAAGGGTTTGTGCCTTTTTTTGGACAATTTTATGCATTCATAATAATAAAGTAGTGATTTACTTGATAAAACATCTTAATAACAAGCCTTTGTACCTTTTCTGTCAAATTAATGTATTCATAGGTAATTAGTATTATTATACTCAATAAAAAACCCTTGTGACATTACCTTCCGAATAGTCAACCCAATTCTGTATAATTAGACTCTCTCTAAGGCCTATAACATGAATTTATAAAAAAAAATTAGCCCTTTTGTGAACTTAAAAAATTTAACAATATCAAGGCTCTTTTACTATCAAGCACTTAGAATAGTCGAGCATGCTGTCCTACAGACAGCTCTTGTTATTTGGGTAATCAAAAGATTATGATAATATTGAATACATTGAATTACTAAAAGTATATTAACATTTTTCAGGTGGTCAGGAGGCAGAGGATGACTTCTTGTTTGGGAGTTACATGCCTTCAGCGGTGGGCTCTAACAGTTCAAGACCAACGTCTCGTAGATCTGTTAGGTATGTCAATTTTATTTCTTTCTTCTGAAGGGGCGTCTTTTGTTGATTTTTTACGGTCATTCTTGGATCTTGGTTCTTGGATTCTTTTTTGTTAGGAAGCTGTCAGTGATGTAACAGAATGTCAGTGGTTCTACTCAAGGACCTGCTTGTGCCTAAAATAATGCAAAGAAGGGCATCTGAGATCTTTCTTTACCAGTAATGCTGGAAAGTTCCCATATGACCATTACAGTGTCGTAAAAACTCAACTATAACAACTTTCATGTAAAAGTGGATAACTTGATTAAGATTTCCATGTTATTTCAAAAGTCAGGCAAATAAAACTTATTGTATGATTTATTTAATCGAATACTAGTACTTAATTGAGTAATTTCTATGTGATCATTGCCAGTCATAGTTACCACAAACTTGCAAAATTTTGTACAAACTGAGTTTTGAAACTAGTATAATAATACAGTAAAAACTCTGAAAACCGGAATCCTCTGAAAACCGGACCATTTCAAAAGTCCCGTAAATTCTCCTTATAATGTTCATTGAAAAAAAATCCTCTGAATACCGGAACCTCTGAATTCCGAAAACTGGACGATTTTCTATGGTTTCTAATGCTAAACATGCATAAAAAATCCTCTGAAAACCGGACAGCAGTTTTAAGTGTCAACTTTCTGTGTATTTTAATGTAGATTAAAACATAATCTCAACTGGTGACGTGTTCAATTAACAATTAATGATTACCCTTTTTTTTTATCTATGCAGGGGTGAAAACACTTTTCAGTGTGTGTTAATTTCTTATTGGCAATTAAATTGAAGCTCTTCCATCATAATTGTGTCTTTCCCTGTATAGGCATGGTTTTTCAAAATGTTGTAAATTTGTTGTGTGATTTTTTTTAATATAAAATGTCTAGCAGAATTGAGAAACTTTTGCTGTTTTGCTTAAAATTTTGACCTTGAAGTTATCCTTGTTTGGATATTAATTAGACTCTATATATGCAAAATATTAATACTAAATTCCATATACATTGAACATGGATTTGCATAATAAAATTACTTAAGACATTTATTGCAAAAAGAAATTAAAACATGACTAAGAAAAAAGTGTTGAAAAGTAAATACAAAATGATTGAACAAAGATATTGTTCAAACACATCATAATAATCAATAATGTATAAAACCTCTGAAAACCAGAATCCTCTTAAAACCGGACTTTTGGTCAAGTCCGGACAGGGTGCGGTTTTCAGAGTTTTTACTGTACTATGATTTAATTATCACTTAAGCCAAACACATTTTTTTAACAGGAATGCATCATAATTTTCAGATATTTTTTATATGATTATGAACAGGTTTCAAGATGATGATGATATATTTGGCTTGAACGATGATCCGCCTAAATCTAGTATGACAAAGAAACCAGTTGAGGATGACAGTATGGACTGGTTAGAGATGGCCACTGGAGGGAAAACTCCAGATAAAACTTCAGATAAAACTCCAGCCAAACAGGTGGAGCCTCCTGTACAGAAAAAGGTAGAGGCTAAACCAGTGACTCCGCCTAGCAAGTCAACAAAGGCAGCTGATTGGCTAGGACTAAAGAGTGATGATGAAGAGGAGGAATATGATTTCCTGAAAGCATCCTCATTCTCTGCTCCTGCCAGACAAGGGCAACCATTGGTAAACATATTAATAATGATTATTTATGCTTTAAATAAGATTTTCAATGACTATTTCTTGTGTAAATGTATATTGTATGGCTGGTGTAATTGTTTATTATGGGATCAATATAATTGTTTTTGTGGAATTGATGTAAGTTATTGTACAGTAAGGATTTTCTATAAATGTATGTTGTGGAATTTTTGCCTGCATATAAATAATATATCAGTAGTTCAGAAATGAATGCAAATATTTGAGAAACATTAAAAGACCTTTAAACAAGTTTAAAGAATATTAACAGTCAAATCTTTGATTGGTAAAAAACCAAGCAACTGTTTTTTGTTTTACCTCTAAAACTTATTCAGTGATATACATATTTTAGTTACAGTCTCAACCTAAGCCAGCTCAACAACCTAAACCTCAAGCTGTTTCTAGCCCAGCACCAGCCAAGCAACCAGAACCTAAACTGTCTCAGTCTGGTGGGAAAAAAGATGATTACCTTGGTCTTGGCGATGAAATAGACCCAAGTAAACTACTGAGGTACAGATTGACTTTGTTAATGTAGTGTATAATTACAGACAAGTTACTTAAAAATGGCAACAATTGAACAATGCAACACCTTTAACCCATTTCTGCATGAGCATTTTGTGAAAAAATGGCTGTTTTCATTGAAAAGTCTCCTGTTACAAGTTCAAATTGCTATGAAACTATAAAAGATGCTTCAATATTCATCAAACTTGGCACAAATGTTGACTGGACCATAGCTTTTGTCAGGGCATGCTCAATCTTAAATTTTCAATTACCATGGCAACAAGGGGACATCTCAAAATTGCCAAAAATTACTATTTTTCATTGTTTTTTTCCATCAAAACTGATTTCAAAGTGCTGCAATATCTCAATGGATAGAGATAGTCAAAAGTTTTTCAGCTTTGGTTACAATTTACCTTCTGATCGACCTAAGGCCAATTTTAGCCTCTCACAAGTCAAAAATCTTTTTGGGGATGAGGCCCTCCCCTCAAACCCCTACTCAGAAGGGGGCACATCCCCCCTCTGGGCCCCCCCCTCCCTGATGTATTTATTTTATAGGGGTCGCGCTGAAAAAGTGATAACTTTTTTTTACAACATTTCTCAAATGAAAACAAGTGTTTGGGGTCTTAGATAGGACATTTTTTTTCACCATTTGAGGCCTCAAAAAAATGGGGGGAGGGGAAAGAGGTCTATATGAAGTAATGGATTAAGCATCGAATTGATTTATGTTAAGAGTAAATTTTTTTTAGTTTCTTTTCTTTAGAAAAGTGAGCATTGCATGGCCAATATGTAATAATTTATGCCAGTTTAAAGTGATTTGGCTGTATTTACAGTTTCATACCTATTGGAATGTTTGCTTATAATGTATCTATTAATTCCTTAAGATCTATCAATATATCAACTTCTTTAGAATACTGTTTTTGTAAGATAAATGATACTTTTTCACATGAGTGTTAAAGCATTTTGATTAGCAAAAATAATAATAAAATAATCATTAAAATTAATCCATTAAACGTTGATCAACAGTTTGGTGCATTTCCCTTTGCCACTAAAGACAATTTCTGATATTGTAAAACTGGATAGAAAGTAATGACAGATATATGTGCTTACACTTTTGATGACTTTGACAAAAAAAATCCAGGCAGGATTTTACAAGTTTGATAAATAAAAATTAAAAAGAAAAAATTGTATCCACCTTTTAGACATGCCTGATGAGTAATATGAGGGTTTTCTATATGCTAAAATCCAAGCTATTAATGAATGTTCTAACATTCCTGTTTTCCTAAGAAGATTTCAATAATTTTCAACTATATTTCTGTCAATCTGTTTTCCCTAATATTCTCTATACATAATCTAGTTTGTATCCTTAGTATTTAAATACTTTTTTCCATATAATTTTACTATTTGGTGAAGGACCTTGTATACCTATAGATGAGATTATTTAAACATGTTTACAGTTAACTACAGTCAAACTGGAATTGAAGGCCAGATTTGCATTGATTTCAAAGCTATAAATTTACATAAAGTACAGATAAAAATTAATTTCAAAACTATAAATTCACTTCAACTACAGATTTGAAACAGCTTCAGGCCAATGAATTTACACCAACAATAGGTTTGAAATAATGTCAGATCTATAAATTCTCTACAGAATTGAATCACAAACCTGTTTCATTTAGGTTAGAGTAATATGAAACAACATTTTTTCTATTACTGCTTAGTGAACATTGATTCTGATGTCTCTAATCATACAAACTGAGGCTTTCTTACTGCCTGCCTCTATAATTTTACCTTTACAATGTATATATGTTCATTACACATTTTTAAACAGAACCTTTTCTTGCATTTTAGAATTAATCGGATGTTCTTTATGAACCATTTAATTTTATAAATACAGTTTTAGCAATGGACCTTTCCATTGTTTACATTTTTATGCAAATTTGATGACTGCCTATCAGTTGTTAAACTGGAATAAGACATAATCACTGGATGATCTTGTTTACACAAAAGAACACATAGTTTCATTACTTGTACTGTTTGTAAGCAATTTACCTGGCATTAAACAGAAAAAGCGGGGCTAATTTTTTCACTGCTAAACCTGTAAAGGTCTTCTTGGTTAGGTAAAAAAAATAATACTCTATCTTTAAAACATTGTTCTTTTTATTTTACATTTATTGGTCTTCAATTCAAGGTTTGACTGTAAATAAACATGTAAATATTCTTGTACAATAGAAAAAAAATAACCCTATTTTATACATAAAAAACCCCTTTTCAGAGGGAAAAAAACCTCCTAAAATTTAGTGCAAATTTGTCCCGATTGAATTTCTGAAGGGGGACGACTATTTTTGTCTCCGCGCCAGAGTGCGGGAACCAAACCTCCAGTAGAAAAAGCGGACCCAAAGTAGGTTTACGTGTGATGTTGTCAGTGTGATATTTTTAATATCTTCATTGAAATCATCTTGACGTCATGAAATCATTCACTTATGAACAAAATTTTAGCTTTAGATCTAATAAAAAAGTTTCATTATAAGTCCTCAAGATTACCAAAAATATGCAAAGAAAATAGAACTTAAGATTATTTATTGATTATAATAGTTATTGATTATTAGTAATTTCATTAACATTTTATTTATGTAAATGCAAAATTGGGGAATCATACGTGATGACAAGTTTTAAACTTGATTTTCAAGTTTAAGTCCCAAGTATTTGAGTTTACAGGCATACTCAAATATGTGTGATATGGCCCAGTATTTGGTTTTTAAGCTTTATTTTTTTACTTGAGTAATTGACTTTAAGTTATTTTTACACTATGCTACTTAGCAGCTTTCCATATTGATCAATGTCTGCAAATAACATTTTCATATGATTGAAAATTTTTGCTTATATGTATTTCAATTTTTATAGCAGTGCATGCATAGTGCAATATTTGAATCTTTTACCTGTGAGATAATTAATTAAATTTACATTTTTTAGTTAGATTGATATTGATTTAAAGAGTCCATCCTATCCAATTTAAACTTATATATTATGTTTCAATTCATAAATAAACCTTTTTATGAAAGGTTTTGTTTTTAAGTGAAGATTAGTTAACTGAAGCTACTTAAATGGATCTTGATGATTTTAACTGTCAGAGTTAAAAAAAAACAACAGCTATAACATTTTAGCTACATCATTAGATAGTTAGTTATAATAGAATAGACTTGACTAAATTTGCTGGTAAAAGGATAACTCACTGATACCAGACGGAAACATCTGAATTTATTGAATATGTGCATAAATAAGGTAATATTTAATTAGACAAATTTAGCAAGAGTTATCTTGTTTGAAACCATAGAAAATAATGTATAATATTTAGATACAATTACTGTGTGCTCTCAATGCATGTCTGTCAAAACTTAACCCTTAATCTGCTGCAAGAGATCAGCCTTTGTCACTAGTATAGAGCCAGGCCTGTCTGTATATCCATTTAGTCTAAACAGGCTCTATACTATTGCTTGCTTAATTTTGGTATTTTTATACTGAAATCTTCAAATGAACAGTTCCAAATTCAAAGCAGTGTAAATCCATTATACAGATTCAGCAGAATAGGGGTAAACTATTGAGTGTTATCAAATAACGACATTTTATGCTCTGTTTTTTTTAGTAGGTCTTGAGCTAACACGGGGGCCTGCCCAGGCTCTTTCTGTTGGCTTCTTATTTTATTTTGGTAAGTCATATCTTTTGCTGCATGTGGACTTTTAAAGTAAAAGCAAAAAATTTCATTAATAAAACAGCAATAAGGACAGAAATCAAAAAAATCATTTAAAAAACCCTTGATATATGTATAATATATATTATTATTTTTTTAATTTTGTTTTTTAAAGAGATCAGGGATGTTTCAGATGTTTGGGGTACATATGTCATATCATTTTGTTATAATCCACCAGTCAGTTGTTACCATGGTCCCCTACACCAGGCAGGAACGGAGATTATGAGCCAAGTTTTTACCTGCAGCCGATTTGTTTTGGGTAGAATGTGATATTGCCAAATCCCAGTGCAGGGGCATTTAGTTATGAGCTTGGGTTTTACTGGGGTTTAAATAATCCAATAGCCAAAGTTTCTACAATTCTGTAGGTGTTTGGGGGCCGTGATAAATATTGACTGGTGCATAACAGAACAGGAGCGGTTCTAGGTCACATGTTTCAATTCAGATATAAATATATTTGACTGTTTCAAAGTGTATTTTGTAAGAAAGCTTAATTTCACACCTTAAACAGAGATTTATTTTATGTCAAAATTGGAACTGGATTACTGCTAATTATAGCATTTATTTACAGTCAAGTTTTCTTTTTATTTTAGTTGTATTTGATAAAAAAAATTCATTGTAAATGTTGTTGTGCCAAGATATGATTTTATCAGTTTGAAAAAGTGGCGAGTGTCTTTAGCTCAAATAATGTTAACAGGTAAAATGCCTATAGTAGGGAGCCAGGGCCGATATGCCATTCTGGCGAGGCTTTTCATGGTTAACTGCCAAGTTTTATTATTTTGATATTTGAGATTCAAACTAAAACACAACCTCAGTGCAGACTATTTAATATTTTGGATTATAAAGTATGAAAAGTCACATTCAATAAGATATACATATAAAATATCTTTTAAAGAAAGCATGCTTGACTGTAAATATATATGCTCAAGAAAGAGCTTTGAATTATAATCAGACTCCAGATTATTGTATTTTTTACACAAACTTTATTTTTGTTTAATTCAGACATTTTGCTTTCTGTGTTGTGTTTTATGTTTATTGTGGATGTTTAAATGTTGTCACATTATGTGGATGTTTAAATGTTGTCACATTATCATTTAATTTAAAGGTCACATTATCATGGTCATTTAACTGTAGGGTCACATGATCATTTAACTATATGGTCACATGATCATTTAACTATATGGTCACATGATCATTTAACTATAAGATCACACGATCAGTTAGCATAATGTCAGATGATCATTTAATTGTAGGGTCACATGATCATTTAACTATATGGTCACATGATCATTTAACTATATGGTCACATGATCATTGAGCTATAAGGTCATGTGATCATTGAACTATAAGGTCACATGATCAGTTAGAATAATGTCACATGATCTTTTAACTGTAGGGTCACATGATCATTTAACAGTTAGGTCACATGATTGTTTAACTTGATGGTCTCATGATCATTTAACTATAAGATCCCATGATCAGTTAGCATAATGTCACATGATCATTTAACCATACATGATAAGGTCTCACTTCTAAACTTGCCTCCACATTGTGGTAAAGAAACAGCTTTAAAATGGATGACTTTAGTAATTAGGTAATTTTGAAGGTAAACATTTAACAATTGTATCATTGCATAATATTAATTTCATCTTTTATAATCTAAATCATCATGGTCTGTAATAATTCTAATATATTTCTTTTTAGCTCGACTATTCGAAGAATATGAGAGCTATTGTAGTCGGCGTCAGCGTCCGCGTCGGCGTCTGCGTTGGTTAAAGTTTTTTGTAAATTCAAATATCTCAATTATTACTTGAGATATTAAATTGAAACTTACAATACTTATTTATAGTAACAAGGTACATCAGATTGACAAGTTGGATAACTCTGCCTACAATATTGACAGAATTATGCCCCTTTGGAACTTAGAAATTTTGGTTAAAGTTTTTTTGTAAAGTCAAATATCTCAATTATTGCTTGAGATATTCAATTGAAATTTAAAATACTTTTTTATAGTAACAATGTACATCAGTTTGCAAAATTGCATAACTCTGCCTGCAATATTTGCAGAATTATTTGCCCCTTTGAAACTTAGAAATTTTGGTTAAAGGTCTTCAAAGATATTTACTTGAAACTTTACACATGCACTTAGGGTCATAATTGGAGGGTCATAATTGTATGTCACTGACCAAGTTCCATAACTCTGTCTTGCATTAAGGCTGATTCATATCCCCTTTTCTACTTAGTGTCTTGGTTAATGTTTACATGCAAGTTTTACATATCTCAATAACTATTAAAGATATTTATTTAAAACTTCACATATGCATTTAGGGTCATAATTGTAGGTCACTGACAAAGATCCATAATTCTATCTTGCATTTAGGCTGATTTTTCTCCCCTTTTTCAACTTAGAAATTCATGGTAAAGTTTTGCTTGTAAGCTGTTATCTCAATAACTACTGAAGGGTTTGTGCCTTTTTTGGGACAATTTTATGCATTCATAATAATAAAGCAGTGATTTACTTGATAAAACATCTTAATAACAAGCCTTTGTACCTTTTCTGTCAAATTTATGTATTCATAGGTAATTAGTATTATTATACTCAATAAAACACCGTTGTGACATTACCTTCCAAATAGTCAAGCCAATACTGTATAATTAGACTCTCTTTAAGGCCTATAACATGAATTTATAAAAAAAAATTAGCCCTTTTGTGAACTTAAAAAATTTAACAGTATCAAGGCTCTTTACTATCAAGCACTTAGAATAGTCGAGCGTGCTGTCCTACCGACAGCTCTTGTTATTATGATGTAGTTACTTGTTTTAAAAATAAACACTTTTAAGAGGAATCATTTATAAACAAAGCATTTTATAGTAGTTTTGTAAAAACTGCAAGTGAAAGACAAAAATTAGTTCGTGTTACCTTAAAATAAATACCTGAAATCCAACTTTTCCTTTCTCTGCTATATCAACAAAGATATATACATGTACCTATTTTGAAGGACGGCTTCTCTGTCTAATTTTTGTAAAAAATTGAAGCTTCCAAAAGTTTGAACATTAATTATTATCGTCATGAATATGTGCAAAATAATTCATACAAAAAAATATTGTTTTTAGACTTATCTTTATATTATAATTCTTTAGTGTACATGTTTAAGTACATTAGCTTTATAAGCAATGGAAGGGTATTTTACCTTAGTGACATTAATATATGGGTAAATATTTATCTTTATTTCAGTAGTAAGAAACCATTGTTTGAGTCAGCAGTAAGGAGAAATCAGATGAATATGTCTCCAAGATTCAAGAAAGAAGGTCAGAGAAAAAGCCCTAGAAGCCCTGAAAGGAAACGTAAATAAGTTTGATTCATTAAATAAACATTTGAAGCATTCCCTTAAATGATGAATAAAACTTGTATAGAATTTCTGTCAATGTAGAGCCATCATTTTGGTATCAGATTTTTTCAATGTTGGTGCAAAATGACCTTTACCATTTGAGAAAGACCACTTTACAACAGAGACCTATTGTCATTCCCCTGGTCTTAATAGACAAGTTAACTTTTGAATATTTAGGATTATAGCTTACATTGTCATAATGTAAGACAAATGAATAATAATGCATTTATCTGTGACTAACAATCATAACATTTATGTATGTCTACTTTTATATATATTACTATGTATAAATATTGTTTATACATCTATTAGTTTTAGAGACAAGTCCCCGTTCCAAGTCTTTATTGGAGCAACTGAAAACACTTCCATCAGCACAACCACCTGAACAACAACAACAGCCAGTATCTGGTATGCAGCAGTCAGCAATACAAACATCTCCAGTACCAAACTCAAGTCAACAACAGCAGCAGCCAGAAACTGAGCAAGCTGAAGATGAATTAAACTCATCAACAGATTTCTTTAGTTTTAAGAGGAAGGACACAAGCAGGGACCAGTCTGCTGATTTACAGACTGGTTTACAACAGACAGGTTCGACTCAAACCAGTCTACCACAAAGTCTACCACAGACTAGTTCCTTGCAGATGGGAATGCAACCAGACTTTACAGTTCAAGCCAGTATCCAGTCTACTCAGAATATGGGATTCCCATCTAGCTCCCAGCAGTATCAGACTGGTATTCCAAGTATGCCAGATATGATGACTGGTTCTCAGATGTCTGGTACCCAGCAGTTACAACAACAACAGCAACTTCTGCAGCGTCAGCAGCAAATAAAACAGCAACAGATAATGAAACAGGTACAGCGACAGCAACAAATGTTGCAGAGACAGCAACAGCAATTTCAACAGCAATTACAGCAACAACTTCAGCAACCACTTGTCCCAGAAGCACAGGTATATTGTTTAAATGTGTACAGTTTTGGGCTGATTGAGTTTATACTGTTTCTATATTTCTATGTTGCTTTTATAGTTGAAATAAAAAAAAAGATATGTAAGAAGTAACAACAATAATAATTTCAATAATTTTGAAAGGGTTTTCAATGCTTGTTGTGCATAACATCAGCCAAATATTTTTAAATATTATTTATTTTTTCATATATTGACATTTCAGTTATTCAGCACAGGAAGTTCAATGTTTATGGATGACATGAGTTTTGGTCTGGCAGGCCAGGTGGATCTTGATGCTCAGTCCAAGGTTTGAGCCTTTTGTGACTTAAACATAACCAGGCTAAAATTTTTGAAAAAAAAATACCAGTGATTTTCTGCATAGACATTTAGAAAAGTAGCTTATTATCCCCCGCCGAAAAGGCGGCGGGGAAAAAAAAAAATAGTCTCCGTCCGTCTGTCCGTCCGACCTTCCGTCCGTCCGTCCGTCCTTCCGTCCGACATTTTTGTCCAGAGCATATCTCTAAAAGTATTTGAGTTATCAACTTGAAACTTCATAGGCTGATAGACCTCATTGAGGAGGAGTGCAGTGCACAAGAATGATAACTCTACCCTGCATAATTTTTGAGTTATTGCCCTTTGTTATTTTTCAAAATTGATTTTTGTCCAGATCATAACTCCAAAAGCCTATGAGATATCAACATGAAACTTCATAGGTGCATATATCTCACTCAGGAGGTGTGCAGTGCACAAGAATGATAACTCTACCTTTCATAATTTTTGAGATATTGCCCTTTGTTATTTTTCATACTTAATTTTTCACCTGAGTGGAGCAAAACTCAAAAGTGTTTGAGATATCAACATGAAATGTCATAGTTGGATAGATCTTATTGAGGAGGAATGTTGTGCGCAAGAATGATAACTCTTCCCTATACAATTTTTGAGTTATTGCCCTTTGTTCTTTTTCATGCTATTTTGTCCAGAGCTTATCTCAAAAAGTATTTGAGGTATCAACTTGAAACTTCATAGGTGGATGGATCTTATTGAGGAGGAGTGCATTGCACAAGAATGATAACTCTACCCTGCATTATTTTTGAGTTATTGCCCTTTGTTATTTTTCAAAATTTATTTTTGTCCAGAGCATAACTAAAAAAGCCTTTGAGATATCAAAATGAAACTTCATAGGTGCATAGATCTCACTCAGGAGGTGTGCAGTGCACAAGAATGATAACTCTACCTTTCATAATTTTTGAGTTATTGCCCTTTGTTATTTTTCATACCTAATTTTTCACCCGAGTGGAGCATAACTCAAAAAGTGTTTGAGATGTCAACATGAAATGTCATATGTGGATAGATTTTAATGAGGAGGAATGCTGTGCACAAGAATGATAACTCTTCCCTGTACAATTTTTGAGTTCTTGCCCTTTGTTCTTTTTCATACTATTTTGTCCGGAGCTTATCTCAAAAAGTATTTGAGGTATCAACTTGAAACTTCATAGGTGGATGAATCTCATTGAGGCAGAGTGCAGTGCACAAGAACGATAACTCTACCCTGCATAATTGTTTTAGTTATTGCCCTTTTTTATTTTTCAAAATTAATTTTTGTCCAGAGCATAACTCAAAAGGCCTTTGAGATATCATTATGAAACTTCATAGGTGCATAGATCTCACTCAGGAGTTGTGCAGTGCACAAGAATGATAACTCTACCATTTATAATTTTTGAGTTATTGCCCTTTGTTATTTTTCATACTTAATTTTTCAATTCAATTTTTTTCTCAAAAAGTATTTGAGGTACCAACTTGAAACTTCATAGGTGGATAGATTTTACTGAGGAGGGATGCAGCACACAAGAATGATAACCTACCCTGCATTATTTTTCAGTTATTGCCCTTTGTTATTTTCAGCCATCAGTATTCACATAGGTTTCAAATCTGTAATCACTATAGCCATCAGTTTTCATTACCAAAAGACCTCTTAAAATGGAATTATTCTGCTCTACTACATAATTATACATTCTTCCAATGAGCAAACACATTCGGCGGGGGATGGCCATGTTGACATGGCTCTTGTTTGATTTTTGAAATACAATTAATCAAAATATAAGATTAAAAAACAAAATGTGTTTCACTAAAAAAATCTGTTAAAAAACAAAATGTGTTGCACTTAAAAAATCTGTTTTTGAATAATGTCCAACAGTTAGAGCACTAACAAAAACTTTTTGTGAAAATAAGAAGAACTGATGGGTAATTACAAAGGTAGTACAATTTCTGACAAACTAATCTGTTTTACAGATCCGACGTTTAGAGGTTGAGCTACAGTATGCTAAAGATATCTTGGCCAGTACTAAACTGAGGTACGAGGAAGAAATTGCAGCCATAGAAACATCATTCAAGTAAGTCAAACTTTATATAATACATAGAGGGGAGATGTGACCTAGTGGTTCCAGTGTCTGCCAGTCTAGCCAGGGATTGCAGGTGTCATGAAATTGTTACCTTATACATGTATCTCACAAGAGAGCTTCCCAAGATGCTACAAGTTTTTTCACAAACTGTAAAAGATAATATATAAACAAAGTTGTTACTTCAAGCTTTAAGTAATGTGAAAAAAAGACACAAAATGTTCTTTTCTAAACTAAAAAGGCAAAAAATTGTTGCAATGTTTGATGTAAAAGAGCATGAACTCCTCAGAGAAGTATAATGTTACATATTTTATAAAGAATGAAATGATGTATCTAATTTGTATAGTCATAATTTTAAATATGTATAATTGTGTTTACTGTCATTGTTTTATTTATTATGTTCATTTTGCAGGAACAGAATTGCTCTCCAAGAGGAAACTCACACTAAAAGAGAGCAAAGGTAAGTGTTTAAGAAATAACCTTAGATATAAGTGTATAGAATATAAATGAACACAACAGAATCGAACAGAAGTTCATTTCATAACTTACACAATACAATTATAGTTGATATCAGAGTTTAATACTAGAGGAAATATTCTGTGCAACATGTTTCGGGTCACCTAGCGATTTTTGGTAAATTCATTCACATTCTTATATATACTCTCCTACATTAAAGCTGCATGCCTCCAGATGAACCAAAACATTTCAAGAAAATCAATTTTGACTTTAAGAAAAGTAAAAATATTCACAATTCAAGTAATGATTTACTTGTTATATGCAATTGCAGTATTTATCATAAAATTTCTCCTGTATGACTAATGCAGTATAAACTATTTTTGCATATTTTGACCTTTATTTGGTAATTTACCTGAATTGAATGTGCTGTTTGCAACGTGAAAATTACTTTTGTTGTTCACATGACAATATTTTATTTCTTAAAACATTTTCAAAATTTTCTTGAAAATAAGCATGAATCTGGAGGTGTGCTGTTTTAAAGAATAATACCTGCCCTTGTTAAAGTATAATGAAACACTTGCATGTTATGATATTTTCTATATAATTATAAGATGGAGGGCAGAGAATGAAGCATTATTAAATCAACAATTATCAAAGATGAAACAGATGGAGGATCAGAAGTCAGATATATTATCTAACATGTACAAAAAACTGGAGGAAAGTGAGAAAGATAAAGCTCAAGAAATAGAAAAACTCAAAGAAATACAAAGGTACAAAGGATTGTCAAATAGTAACTCTGAATACATTTGTCAATTAAATGTTCATATTTAATACCATCTTTATTTGGAATTTCCCTATAAGCCTTATTTTGAAGGCATTCCATTTCATTTACAATTTGTATGAGTATGGGCTGTTCTATCTTGTAAAAAGGAATTGACTTTGAAGGAACTTTACTTAGGTCCAAAAACCTAAATAAAAACATAAAACTTGAATTATTACATAGATCAACTGGAGCCTTTAAAAAGAATGATTTGCAAAGGACAAAGAAATAATACTCTTGAATTTTTGCTCATTTATCACAATTAGTAGATTATTCTGGAAAACTGAGTGATCTAATGATCTAAAATGTTGTACACAAGTTACAAGTCTACCCTAAGTCAAATGGAACATTAATCTTGAAAAATTATTTCTAGTCCCTTCATGTCAAAAACCTTTGTGGAGTCCCTTTAAGTTTTCCTTCTGTGTGTTTCAAGTATTTGTAATTAAATGTTTATTATTGTAATGAAGGTTTGGTTTACTTTGCAATAAAGAAATTTCTTTTTTAACTCATTAAAGCAATGAGCATTATTATTTTTTAAGTGCAACTAGGAATGGCTGAAATTTTACAGGCTATAGGAATAAGATATAACTTCATTTCTTTTTATGGGAAGAAAGATTTAAAGATTTTTAAGTAGCATTCAACATCTGAAGTTAAAATCAAAAAGAGGCAAGGAAATGTTTTTTTGAAATTTTGGGCTTAAAAATGTTTTGTTCAAAAGGATTTCAAAAAATTGGGTTTTTAACTTTGGGCTGAAATTTTTGGAAAAAACCATGGCTTCCCTTTGACTGTTTTAAAAATTATAGAAATAATTTCAAGACAAGCTTTTAAAGGGGAAAAATAAAGAAGGAACGAAGGAGACCGGAAAAAGTTTTAGGGAACGTTCTAAAAAATTAAGCGATGATGCAAGCTGCGCTAGTAAAATTGATACTTTTAAGGAAATTTTGTAGTCCCTTTTGTTTTTTTAAAAGAAAAAAAACCCTTAAAATTTTTAAAACAAAAACAAAAAAATATTCCCAAATTTTGTTTAAAAAAGAGTTGTTTTTAAAATTTTTTGGGGAAAAATTTTTAAAACCTTTTGACTTTGTACGAATTATTGTTGTCCTTACAGAAAATGTGGGGGAATGAGGTCGGTTGTTGCTTTTGTTTTAAAATTTTAATATTCAGCAGCCATACATATAAAATCTGGTCAGACTGTGTCCACTAAATTAACATTGTACTAAACTAGTGGCATTGCTGATTGTATTCAAAGATTTAAGAATCTATATAAGTAAGCATTGTTTATGGATAGGATTTATTCCTCTAAATTAGACAAAAACTTGGTACATGTAATTTGTTTTCAGGTTCTCTAATTATTGAGTTTATTATTGTTATCTCTTGGCTAATAATTCTTCTCTTTATCTGTTAAAATTATAATAATAATAATACATGTATATATACTGTAAATGATGCCAGGTCAGAGTTTCCTGAGAAGTTTCATCATTTAGTCACACTTGGACTTTAATGTTAATTGGGGAAATATTTTTTATTTGATGTTTTATATAAAATTTTGGAATATAAGATACATACATTAGCATTTTTCAGTAGTATTGATTTAAATTTTATTTGCTATGGATTTATTTTGTTAAATAACTATTTTTTCAGGTCGTTAATAGCAGCTGTTGAACTAATCAATAATAATGCCAAAGATTTAGGAGATTTACAGCATAAGGTGCAAAACTGGCATGCTCAAGGTCTAGATGACAGAGAGATAACTCTTAGAGCTAAAGATGAACAACTTAAAAGTAAGTTAGATATCAGTTATGATATAATTATGTTGTCAAATGCATTCAATAATTTTACCCTATTTTTGGACACACAAGACCTGTTATTGTTCCACTGTCAGTCTCTGAGAATAATCTAGTGTACTGCTGTAGGAAAAGCTCCTATAACCAATAGCTACTACCTATTATTCCCTCTTTAAGTATAATAGGATTGCAGAAGTTTTAATGATTCTTGATATCAACATATTTGATATGCAAAATTTCAGCAATGTTACTCTATTATTTAACAATTCCTACTTGACCATCATTGACTATAGGGTGTTAACTGTCGATAATGAAAATACAATGGATATTTCAGTGTTACAAGATCGTCTAAACAAGCAGCAGGAAGACAATGATCAGGAACGTCAGAGACTTCAGGAGCTTGTAGCGCGTCTAGAGACACAGATTAGAGAACAAACACGCATGCTCGAGGAGGTATATAAATTAACAGTGTTTTGCTTCTGCAAATAATCTTTTAATGGATATTTTAAGACTTTTATCAAAACTGAAATACATAAAAATATATACAAATCTGATTACTGCAGTATATTTATTTAGAGGAAAGATATAATATTTTTATTATATGAAAAATATTTTATGTTGTTTATATGGAGGATCTGTTATTTAATTCTAGGAAGAATGTTTTGAAATGATAGGAAAAATGTTTTTTGTTATACAAGTAGTAAAATATTTTAAGAAATATATTGTATTTGATTATAGGATAATAAGAAAGATAATGTGTTTCAAATATAGGAAAGTTACTTAATTATAGGAAAGATATTGTATTTAATTACAGGAAAGATGGAAGGTAAAACAAGAGCAGTCTAGATTACAAGGGTTACAGACGGCATTAGAGGATGAGAGGAGAGCCTGGAGTGATCATCAAGCTAGAGAAAGAACTAACATGGAAAAAAGTAGAGTATGTATACCAAAATACATAGACCTATTTATATAAATGTGATTCTTTTGTCTGAGATACAGTCACCACTGTGGGCTAAAATCCCATAAAGATCTTTTGAATCTTTCATGTGAGAAGCTATCTAGCTAGCTTTCAAAAGGGAGATGGTTCCTCGATCAGTAAAGATGGAAAGTTACCATATCAGTTTTGTGTCTAAAAATACCCACATTACCCACAAAAAAAATATGATAAGCAGCAAAGTATGAAATAGGTTTATTGTTGTGGTTTTTTATAAAAATGTAAAATGGATTTCATTTAAAGCATCAATAGGCATGTCTTAAATTAATTGCAGGAAGGCATTATTGGAGGTAGACAAAGATCAAACACTTTTGGGCACAGTATATCATAAGGAAACCCAAAACAGGGCGGGGCCCTAGCAGAGGAACCCCAAGTCAGTTTTGCCATGAAAAGAAATGGCGAAGGAAGAAGGTGGCCAGTATCAGATCAAGTCAGCACAAGCTAAAGCTGAATTTGAGGCCCTCACAAAGGCTATAGCTGAGGCCCGGGACAGGTCTGTTTTTATGGATATTTTTATATACAAAAAAGACAAAAAAGAAAAATTTAAAGAATATTTCAGAATATTAGTCATTTATAGAATATTTTGTAAGTATAAGAACCCCTTGACAAATAAGAAAAATGAAAGCTAGCATGTTCTTTAAGACACAGTGTTTTGTTCCATTTTTATTGCATATAAAGGACTAAATAAAATGTTATTGCCAATGTTGATGGAGGAAAATGAATTGAATATTAACTAAGGATGTGGCTATAAGATCAAGTTAACACCAATAGTCTATAAGTGTAAAAATCTGACTAATGATGGATTTATTTGACCACTGAAATAGATAATCAACAGTGTCTGTAATAACAGGAAAAGTTGTTTTTTAACTTTGTATTTTTTGTAACAGATGGATATACAGTAAGATTATAAAAAGAATTTGTGTTTAGGTAGTTAAGATAGTCTTGAAAGTTTATGAAAATGAAGATGCTTGTTTCCCCCTCCCCTACCTAGGGATGTTGCCCTAGACTCACCATAGTAACCTGGCCCCAAACAGAATCTGAGATTTTTAGAAATTTTAACATTCACATAGAATAATGTATAGAATACTATATTGATACAGGTATGAATCTATGAAGGAAACAAACAGAAATGAGGAGGATCGTCTACAAGAGGAGAGGAGAAGAATGGAGAAAGAGAGAAATAAGATGGAAAATAAGGAAGCTGAGCTGATGGAAGCCGCTAACATGATACAAGAAAAATCTCGCGAAATAGAAGATACATATACTGTAAGCCACAGAGATATGTTACTTTGTAATAAAGTGGTCTCTAAAATGAAAGTCAGAGTTCTTGGATAATTGGGTACTGTATGTTTGAACCCCACCAGACACTATGAATTTTTTACAAGCGGCCGATGATTCTACTCATATGCAAGCTCATGACTGATAAAATGCAAAGAATGGCAGGCTATAAATTTGGAAACTGGCAATATTATCTTGATATTGTAACTTTAAACACAATGAAAAATAGATAAATAAGGGAAATATTTTCCCCATTGTTATATACATGAATTATGTATATAAGAATATACTATAATGAATATATATATTTACAGGAAGGACAGAGAAAGTTTGAGGAAGGAATGGTGGCTCTAGCAGAAGCACAGAGAATTGAGAGTGAGGAAGGAAAGAGAATTGATACAATCAATCATCAGCTTAATCTACTTAAAATGAAGGAGAAAGAAATGGCAGATGTAAGATTATTGTTGTTTTCATTGCCAAAAAATTCAACTTTCTGTTTATTTTCAGAACAATTTTCCATATGTTTGTAACATTGCTTTTCTTAGGATGATCATAAAGTTTTAATTGTCCAGAAACTGCAATTTTTTAATTTTGATTTCTTAACAAAAGCATTTGACAATAAGTTTTTAAAATGTGGGTTTTCTGTGTTACATTTTTAAATTTGTGGAAAAATGGTTTTTTACGATATTTAGCTTTTTTTAAAAAAATTTTAAAACATTTGCAATATCAAAAAAAATTTGACAAAAAAAATTAAAAAATTTAATTTTTTTTCATATTTAACCAAAATTTTCTAAATTTCAAAATTTTTCTTGTTTTGAAAATTGATTTAAATTTTTGAAAAAACATTTACTAATAAAAAGTTTTTTTTTGTTTTTACTAGGAATTGAGGGTTATTTGAAAGGGGAAAAAAGAGATCATGAGAAAATTCACGGGAAAAAAAAACTTGGTTTGTCCTTTAACCCTAAAACATTTAAAAACTAGAACTGTAAATAACCCCACAACAATAACAATACTTCCCCTTTTAAAGGTAAACCCCAATCTAACAGGTTTTTCCAAAAACAGATATAACCTCAGGGTTAAAAACTTTTTTAAAGACTTGGCCTTTTTTTTAAATTTTTAACTGGGCCATTTTTTATTTATTTTTTAAAAAATTTTAAAACATCAAAATTATTTGGAAATTTTTGTCAAGGCCCAAAGCCATTGTGGAATTTTAAAATTTTTTAAAATTGTTTTTATAAAGGGATTAGAAAAAAAATTTTTGTATGTTTTTTAAGGTCATCATTGGAGTTTTATTATTTTGTATATTTGTAGGGTTTTTTAGGGAAAAAGGGACCAAAACTCCAGTTATCCAACAAAGGTTTCCCCAAAAAATTGGCATGTCATCCCAAAGGTTATATGGTACTTTAAGGAGTAACCACCTGCCCTTTAAAACCCGGCCCCCTTAAAATTTAACTCCCGTGAACAAAGTTTTGCTTTTCACAGAGGCTATTTAAAACTGAAAAAGGGTTTTTAAAATTCTGGAAAATTTTTTGGAAATTTAAAAAGGGAAGAAGGGTTTTGAGTAGAATTAAAGTTTAAATCATGAATTTATTTTTTTCATACTGTGTAACATCTCAAAGATTCTTCATGAATGCAAAAATAGTTGATTCGTTTTACAATACTAGACAAAGTTATACTAAATTGTAAAAATGTTTTTGTAGATGTCACAGAATCCTCTTATCAGATGTGTTTCAAAATGTCTTCTAGTAAAAATTCAGATGCAATTCAAAAATGCTAGTCATAAATTTTCCATTTAAAAGACAGTTTGATTATGGCCATTTTTGCCAAAGAATATTTTTTCTGCCATTGTTTATTCAAAATGAGTAAATGAGTTTTTAATTCAAGATATTTGAGGGTTTTTTTTTTAATTTTTACATAATTACATACTGTCATAGGTGTTAAATTTATATAAAACAAAGTATTTATGTATTAATATTAATTTTTCCACAGGACCAGAAGTACTTGGAAGAGCAGAGTTTATACCTACAGACATTGAAATATATGCCACATTCCTCTCCCAAAAGCTGAATCTCATCATTACTGCAGTTTATAATGTGTACTTTCAATGTAATATAATTTCCAGATATGAACATTACAAAAACATTTAACATTTTTACACTGTAGAAAGATATTGCCAACTAGAAACAAATTCTGAACCATTGCAGCAATATGACCTACCTATGCAACCATTATAAAGTCAGACCATCTTACAATCTAGTTACACTATACATGTATATTGTTTGCTGCTCAAATTTTGTGTTTTGATGTTGAAATCCCTTTGACTTACTAATAGACTGATCCATGCTTCAAGCAAGTCAAAGTGGTCAGATTTTCATGCTTTCATATTTTATTTTTCGATTTGAAAGCTTGTGAATTGAAATCATCAGTTTTGACTTTGTGATAAGTGTGCATAGATTTTATAGGAATGTTTTTGGACAAGTTGTAATATGTATGGAATTACTAGTAGGATTTAGTATCCATAATGTATTCAACACCAAATAATTATTTTATAGTTTGTATATTTGGACTTCATCTTCTTAAAAGTTAATGATTATGAGTATTTGATTATTCAGGTGTAACAAAAATTTTGGAATTATCCACAGAATAAAAAGTATTCAGCTACTATCTTGTAGTAATTAACTGTAGTTTAACTGTTATATAACTTAACTAGAATGTAATTTTTGTTGATTGGCAGATAAATCTTTGTGTGGATAATCTATAGCACATTAAATTGTTGAAAAGTTTATTTATAGCTCATAACAGTGTAGAAAATCTATTTATAGTGAATACTGTTTGCAGAAAATCTGTTTATATTGTATATTGACATAGAAAATCTATTTTTAGGTCTTGGAGATAGTATAATTAGATCTAGCAAATATGTGTCTTAAGGTCGTATAAAATGAGCTCAGTGCCATTTAATATCTGTAGTATTTATCAAAGTTGCAGCTATGTTTTTTGGTCTGACATTTTGCATTATTTTGATTTATTTTTCGTGTTGGACATTTTACATTATTTTGGCACATTTTACATTATTTTAGTGCCAAACCTCCATTTGTTTCCATTTCTTGTGCCTTACCTAGATCTGTAGAGCATGTTAAATGCCTTATTATCCTTCAAAAACATGTTTTTCCCCACAGCATTTTACAGAGTTGTATTCTCATTGTCCTGTGATACAAGTCAGCAATAAAACTTTGTACACTTACATATAAACATAAAGGGAAAAATGAAGCAATTTCATGATTGGAAATTTCATGAGGTTATTAATAACATTGACTTTTCATATACATGTATATATAAAAATTATATATAAATCAATGGGAAAGGTTACCCATGGTACATATAAAAATATTTTTTAATTTTTATAAGGTTTGTGAAGATTGCAGAAAAATTGGTAATGTGATAAAAATGATTTGATGGTATTTGTTTGTTTTTGTTTTTTTTAAACTGAATTACAAAGCATTAAATGCTCATCAGATTCTTGCATTTTTATTTAAATTGTTTGATAAATTCATTCAAGATCCTCGTGTTGTATTCTTATTTATTATATTGTAAGTTTTCTGATGAATATAAAGTGTATCAACTCAAGATATATATACATAAGCGATAGTTGTCTGTAACCCATGCTCGATATTTGCTCGAGTTGGGATGTCAAGAATGTGCGCTGATTTTATGTTTACATACACCTAAGAAAAATTGTTCCTTTAGTTTTGTCCAGATTTTCTGTATGTATTTTTACATAAGGTGTATAATTAAAGGAGAATTATACAAGTTTTGGTATTCTGTTGGATTGCATCACACATTGTGTAAAGTTGTATATGTTCACACTAGCATGTACACACTCAAAAAATTGTGTAAAGTTGTATATGTTCACACTAGCATGTACACACTCAAAAAATTGTGTAAAGTTGTATATGTACACACAAGCATGTACACACTCGCCCAGGTGGCTGGGGTGATAATCAATATGGATCATACAACCCATGAAAATATCACATTCATGCAATATTTCCTTGTAATGCATATAGTTATATTTGAAAAAACTATCTTATTTGTTGGGTCCATACCCTAAAGGGCGGATGGACCCTCATTAAGCATAGAATACACACAAAGCCTTATTTGTTTTTGTACAAGAAGTAAAGACACTGGTAATGAATATTTTTACCATTATTTTGTATACAAGAAATAAAGATTTATAAATGTTGTGTCAGTGTAGACTATATTACATGTAAACAATCTTATAATAACAAACCAAGCTGTGATATGTTTTAATTTGTTTATTTTATGTTTTTATATGCCCGAAAGAATTTCGGGCATATTATGTTATACCCCCTGGTGTCCGTCTGTCCGTCCGTCCGTACGTCTGTTAGCAATTTGGTTTCCGGAGCATAACTTAAGTTCCATTTGGCCCACAGTATTCAAACTTCATAGGATGATTGCCCATATTGGATAGAAGACCCCTATTGATTTTGGGGTCACAAGGTCAAAGTCACTATTAGCTAAATACTGAAAATGGTTTCCGGAGCATAACTTAAGTTCCATTTGACCCACAGTATTTAAACTTCATAGGATGATTGCCCATATTGGGTAGAAGACTCCTATTGATTTTGGGGTCACAAGGTCAAAGGTCAAGGTCACTATTAGCTTAATACTGAAAATGGTTTCCGGACCATAACTTAAGTTCCATTTGACCCACAGTATTCAAACTTCATAGGGTGATTGCCTATATTAAGTAGAAGACCCCTATTGATTTTGGGGTCACAAGGTCAAAGGTCAAGGTCACTATTAGCTTAATACTGAAAATGATTTCCGGAGCATAACTTAAGTTCCATTTGGCCCACAGTATTCAAACTTCATAGGGTGATTGCCCATATTGGGTAGAAGACCCCTATTGATTTTGGGGTCACAAGGTTAAAGGTCAAGGTCACTATTAGCTAAATACTGAAAATGGTTTCTGGAGCATAACTTTAGTTCCATTTGACCCACAGTATTCAAACTTCATAGGATGATTGTCCATATGTGGTAGAAGACCCCTATTGATTTTGGCGTCACAAGGTTAAAGGTCAAGGTCACTTTTAGCTAAATACGTAAAATGGTTTCCGAAGCATAACTTAAGTTCCATTTGACCCACAGTATTCAAACTTCATAGGATGATTGTCCATATGTGGAAGAAGACCCCTATTGATTTTGGGGTCACAAAATCAAAGGTCAAGGTCACTATTAGCTTAATACTGAAAATAGTTTCTGGAGCATAACCTAAGTTCCATTTGGCCCACAGTATTCAAACTTCATAGGATGATTGTTCATATTGGGTAGAAGACCGCTATTGATTTTGGGGTCACAAGGTCAAAGATCAAGGGATTACTATCACCTTTAAACTGGAAACAGTTTTCGCTCAATATCTCAAGTATTAATCGAACTACAGCTGTAAAATTATATAGGATTAACAGCTTTATACCCCTGACGTCTTGGTGTCCATCCGTTGTAGCATTTTTACTTACAAGATAACAAGTTGATGGTGGTGCTTTGAAAACAGCAACTGTATATATACATGAATGTTCTTCAGCTATAAAGGAGGATTGCTTTTGGAAGGAGGTAATACTGTATTTAATTCCCATGTCTTCCTCACTAAAAGAAAGAGTACTTTCGGGCATATAATGCTCCACCTAGCGGTGCTCTTGTTTAAGCATTTTATAGTCCTGTGCTACATGTCAAAGTTTAAGTTCAAAGTTTTAGTTTGTATGTTATTTATTAGTAATAAACATTAGTCAGGTTGTTCTATTTACATATATGTCCATGTTTTTACATATCATGTGTACTTTTTATAAGACTTTTTGGAATAAAGTGGAAAAAAGAAGATGTATTTTAAATCTTTGCTCTTGTCATCCTATGTTAAAATCTCTTCAGTTATATCTTTTGCAGGTTCTAACTTCAAAAATGGTGAGATACATGTATTTTGATATTAATGAACAAGAAACGCCGCAATGCGACGAAAACCAGGTTTTCAACGACCAAGTTTTGATGTGACAGCAATCAATAGGTCAAAGTGCACTGAAGTTATGGAGTAGAAGCTGAAAATTCTATTGTAAGCAAATGACCTTGAACTTGCTCCCAGATATCTAAGTGGCAATCCAAAGCTGCCACTCAGCAAGTTTGGTGTCAAAAGGTCAAAGCAAACTCAAGTTATAACATGAAATCTAAATACATTGACCTTGATCACAGAAACCTGGATAGCAATCCCAAGCTGCCTCTTGATATAAGCTACCCATTTATCAAGTTTGGTGTCAATAGGCCAAAGCAAACTCAAGCTATTGAGCAGAAACTGAATTTCTATTTTTAGTAACAGTGACCTTGACCTTGATCAAAGACACCTGGGTAGCAATCCCAAGCAGCCTCTTGATATAAGCTATCCATACACCAAATTTGGTGTCAATAAGCCAAAGCAAACTCAAGTTATTAAGCGGAAACTGAATTTCTATTTTTAGTAACAGTGACCTTGATCACAGACACCTGGGTAGCAATCCCAAGCTGCTTCTTAATATAAGCTATCCATACACCTTGTTTGGTGTCAATAGGCCAAAGCAAACTCAAGTTATTGAGCGGAAACTGAATTTCTATTTTTAGTAACAGTGACCTTGACCTTGATCACAGACATCTGGGTAGCAATCCTAAGCTGCCTCTTGATATAAGCTATCCATATACCAAGTTTGGTGTCAATAGGCCAAAGCAAAGTCAAGTTATTGAGCAGAAACTGAATTTCTATTTTTAGTAACAGTGACCTTGACCTTGATCACAGACATCTGGGTAGCAATCCCAAGCTGCCTCTTGATATAAGCTATCCATACACCAAGTTTAGTGTCAATAGGTCAAAGCAAACTCAAGTTATTGAGCAGAAACTGAATTTCTATTTTTAGTAACAGTGACCTTGACCTTGATCACAGACATCCGAGTAGCAATCCCAAGCTGCCTCTTGATATAAGCTACCTACACACCAAGTTTGGTGTCAATAGGCCAAAGCAAACTAAAGTTATTGAGCGGAAACCAAAAGATGACGCCCGGCCGCCGACTTCGGCATTACAATTACCCGGCTTTCGTTGAAAACCTGGTTAAAAAATAGTTACCAAATAAATTCACTTATTTTGTTTGGGAAAGGACTGAAACACCATGTCATAACAAATCTACGATAACTATGTCAACATTTGAGACAGTAATTACTTGCCTTTCAATCTAGCCAGGTCAGTCTGAACTTCAGCATTGTTTGAATTGGATTTATCCTGTTGTAAGACTTTTATGTTGAAAATCGTTTAAATTAACAATGGAACAAGCTTGCACCAGAGTCGAACGTCAACCTTCTGTAAGCTAGCCAAATAGTACTCTCTCATGGAAGAGTTTAATTTTGGGATTTGAACCCTAAACAGTGATTTTAGACAAAGATTATAGCTAAATTTACATATGGTCTATAGAAACACAGAGGCAAGTAACATTTCAGGTGATGGAAGTTTTTAAATGTCTTTGTGCATTAATTTCAATCTGAAATATTTGTCATAAATGGCCCATTTCAATCATAACCACATCATGACATGTGTTTTGATATCAAGACATGTATCTGCATGACTGCAAATAATAAAATGTTTCAAAATGAAACATGAAAGCCTAATTTCCATACATTTCCCTTTATAAAAAGGGCTTTCTACTAGCTGTAACTTTTCGGTCCTTTCGATCAGTCTTCGGATAAGGAGCTTAAACACAATAGAAAGAATACACACTTTTACTAAGCAGGTAAATTCATAGTTATACAAGTTATACATTATATTTTAATCATTATATTTTTAGAAACCAAAAGTACAATCTGTATACCTATTGAGGATATTCCAGATTTGGTTATAATTAGGTGACAATGGGCATTCCATTGATTGATTTTGTTTGTCAGACAAATTTTTCAATCATAAATTTACTAACATTGACTTTTATTTTCTGTTGGATGTCAGTAAATACTTTTGATACTCATGATACAAAGATTTCACCCTTTGTTTATGTTGACATCTGAGCTTCTTTCAAACCATATTATTATGAGTAATCGTCAAGGTGTTCCTTATGGGCGACTTTTTTTTAAAAGTCATACTAATTACAAATCCAATCCTGTCTCAAAAGTTGTGCAAAAACAAATCATCTATGGACTATACTTTGGAAAAGTAAAAAAACGTTTGCCATGCTTGTTCGCCATGCTTTGTATGTAAACCTTCCTTAACTACTGTACTATGGTTGACACGATCATTTTCATTTGGTAGACAACAAATACTTGGTGGTAAAAGTCATGTGTCACTGAAGGGATGTTCTGACCGAGTGGTTAAGGTGTCTACCTAGTGATCGTGGATTTGAGCCCTACTTGGGTCACAATTATGTTATGTTGTATGACATCATACTGGTTCCACCAAGCGGACTTGAAAATGATAAATATAAGTTGCCAGAACTTGTTTTACAATCAAGCTTAAATAATTTCTCACTGAAGACAAACCTGGCTATTATCTACAGAAAGGGGGGGGGGGGGAGGTTAGGGGTGAAATAAAAATCAACACTTTACTCCATTTTATATTGTGTATTAAATTGTCTTATGTAAAAAGCACAAATTGTTTCCCTTTAATGCTCTTTTTTCTGATGAAGAAAAAGAAGAAAAAACAACAACATAAAAACTCAACTAATTGCAACATCAACAGAATAAGTATAGAGCACATTTTTTTTCTCTCAAATTGCCAGCTGTAAAATTTAATATGTATAAAAGAAGGTATTAATAGACATGTTACACTGTTCATTACCTCTCATGTACATACTCCATTAAACCCAGTGTAATTTTAATAAGGTCTGACTTTGTGTTATTCTGATTTTGTACTTGGAACTACTGACATTAGAAATGAATAGGTCGTAACTTGAAAAAAAAAACCACTATACAAACTCAGTGAAGAAAAGTACAATAAAATGACATGAAATAAAAAAATAACCAGACTGACCACTGTCATCATCATAAATTTACTTATCATAATAGAGGTGACAGAGAATCCCAAAACAATAAAAAACTAATTTCAGTAATTATGAAAAAAGTGCCTTTTAAAACATCTCCATCATATTCATGGGTAACACTTGCTTTATGCCAAAGTTTGCATATAAAATTTCAGTTACCTTGCATATTATATAGAAGTATATAACACTTTTGATAAAGCTTTGACAAGCCAGATTTTGTCCTGAAAAAAAATGTCTACAAAAATAAATTTATTTTTCTATAAATAGTAACACTGTTAGAAATCTGTCAAATCACACGAAAAAGCAATAATTTTATACTATAATTGTAAACAATTGAATTAAGCAGAAGGTAGGAGGTATGAGAAGTTAAACTATTCATTACCTCTCATGAACAAAATCAATTTAACCTAGTGCAATTTTAACCTGTTTTTTTTTTTCTGTTTTCAAATTCGGCACAAGTCTGACATGATTTTCTGTGTCCTATATAGTTATAAAAGCATTACAACAAAAAGTGCTCATCATCCCACTGCCTTCTAAATAAATATCTTGATTTAGATTTTTTACAGCTATTGCTTTATGGAAAACTTTATAATTAAATGCCTTGTTCATTAATTGCCAGGAAATGTTACACTGATTACTGTCATACAATAAATAACAATATCGCAAATTATATCTGATATCTGATCACTACATATATATGTGTGTGTGTATATAAAAAAATAAAGCACAACTCTTCATATAAAAAACTTTTGAAAGAAAATAAAGCAACAACAAAAATGAGCTAACAAAAACAACAATAACTTGAGAAGAATACAACTTTCTCACTTACAGCAGGACAATGTTCTACAACATCATACAAATATAAACATGTGTTTCAGTAAATGTATAATGTACATGTTTATATATACATACATGTAAAGATATAGGAAAAAGCTACAGCCTTTGTATGTTATTCAAAACATTTCTCTATTAAAATTGTCTGGCCATTCATTTTAAACCAGTGAAAAATCCAAAAAAATAAAACATAAATATAACCACCCCCTAAATTTCAGCATTATTCCCATTTGATTATTCTGACAATTTGGTAATTTTAATCAAATTATTTACCAAAAGTTAATTAAAATAAATCAAGCAGATACACCCGTAACTTTATTACTTTTCTTAAACCCTTAACCTGCTGAATTTTTGTAATGGATTTGCCCTGGGTTGAAACTAAAAGTTTAAAGGGAATTTTAATTTTAAAAATTTAAAAACACAAAAATTTGAAGCACCCCAGTATAGAAAACTTGAGGGCTGGTCGGAATGCATGAAAATGCAACCCCAAACCTGGGTCTGACGGTGACAAAAAGCTAAACAGTTTTATTTTCCCAGGGGGAAAACTGGTTTTAAAGGGTATTACTTTATTTTTTATAAGGGAAAGTTTATTTTCAGCTGTAAATTTAAAAATCCAAAACTGCCCCAAATTTCAAAGCAAAATGGGAATTTAAAAAAAATGAGTTTAAAAAAATTACAAAGTATCGCATTTTAAATCAAAAAAGTTTTATTAGAAAATGTTATCTTGTCATTTACCTGGGTGTTTCAATAAATTTTAATATATATTCCCAAATAACAAAAGCTGAGAAAATAATCTATACAGCAGAAATTATTCTGACTCAACAGTTGTTATGTCTATCTAAAGCATGTTTGAAATAAAGTTTTCATAAATTACTACACTGTATAAGGATGATAACTTGGTTTTAATGTTCTTTGAAGAGTCCAATAAATGTCCAATATTATCCCAAATAAGAAGCCAATACCTGAAATCTTTCTTATCATTTATTTGTTACAATAATGATATCTTTGTTATGCAACCAAAATGTTGAGTTATCACTAGAGCATGATATTGTTTACAAAGTAGGTCATACAACACAGATTGTCCACAGATCTGACAGGTCATATGACACTCAATGTACACAAATCAGGTCATATGACACTCAATGTACACAAATCTGGTTATATGATACATACCATAAAGGTCATATGACAAAAAGTGTACACAAATCAGGTCATATGACACTCAATGTACACAAATCTGGTTATATGATACATACCACAAATAAAGGTCATATGACAACAAAAAGTGTACACAAATCAGGTCATATGACACTCAATGTACATAAATCAGGTTATATGATACATACCACAAATAAAGGTCATATGACAAAAAGTGTACACAAATCAGGTCATATGACACTCAATGTACACAAATCAGGTTATATGATACATACCATAAATAAAGGTCATATGACAAAAAGTGTACACAAATCAGGTCATATGACACTCAATGTACACAAATCAGGTTATATGATACATACCACAAATAAAGGTCATATGACAAAAAGTGTACACAAATCAGGTTATATGATACATACCATAAATAAAGGTCATATGACAAAAAGTGTACACAAATCAGGTCATATGATACATACCATAAATAAACCAGGTCATATCACAAAAAGTGTACACAGAGCAGATTGTTTGACAGACTGTACATACACAAATTAGGTCATTTTGCACACAGACCTTACACAAAAAAGGTCATATGACACAGAATGCACACAAAATTTATTAAATTTGGAATTTTGGTCAGTTTTTACATTATTTATCTAAGCAATACACATACTATCTACTTATATGATGAATGCCAAATAAGTACTTGCAAATAATTGTCTATTAATAGCCAATTAATATACCAAATACCTTAGAACATGTAAAGTCTAAACTACCATAAATATTAAAACATATATTGGCATGACAAAAGCCACACTAATTTTCTGGTAAATATATTAAATAATTTTCACTACATCATAAACTATAGCACTTCTTTAAAATAGCATTGCACAAAAATATAAGTAGAACATGAATTGAGACAGAAAAAACCAGGGGACATAAATTTTCCTTTTTATAAAACCATACCATTTAAATAGCTTTAAATTTGGTTATATTTTCATAATTATGTCATTTACAGTGTATTAAATACAGAGTTAGAGTATATGGCATACATGTGAACTTTTTTTGATAATCAAGTGGGCGATTTTTCTTCAAAAAGAGGGAGATTTTAGAATTTGCAATAAACAAAGAAGAAAGTTCTGGCATCAAAAAGAGGGAGATTTCATTAATTTGTGAAAATACCCCTTATTTTAAGAAAAACCTTTGAAGATATGGCTGCAGAAAGTGGGGGTCTCCGGCTAAGGTGGGAGAGTTCACATGTATGATACGGCCTTAATTGAAAATCTCTCTAAATTAGTTTTGATTTTTGTATCTTAAACATTTAGATAAATTAACCGGTATGTAATCTATATATCACAGTACAAGAAAAATTCTAATTGAACCCCATTCAATAATCTTTCTATATAATCTTCAAATTATTAGATTTCAAGAAAAAAAAAATATAATTAACTGTCAAAGATTTCAAGGCAGTTTTAAACATTAGATAAAATACCAGCTTATACCAGCTTTGAATAAAAGTCTCATTCTCAAATAAATTAGAAAAAAAATTACATAATGCTGAAGAAATTTGATTTTAGTTTAATCCCAAACCTGCAGAATTTGTGTAATGGATTTGCCCAGCTTTAAATTTTTTAATTTAAAACAGTCAATTCCAACTTAAATGGATTTCAGTATTAAAATACAAAATTTGAGTGACCAACAGTATAAAGTCTGGTTAGACTGTATTGATGGGCCCACTGGACTGGCTTTATACTGGTGGCAAAGGCCAATTTATTTCAGTTCCAGCAGGTAAAGGGTTAAAGCCCATTTTCATTTGGTTAGATTATTCTAATTGTAAAACTGTACACATCAAGTCTACCCTATCATCTACAATCAATAAACAACTTCTTCTCATGTATCCATTTTTAAACGATAAAAACAATGTGACTGACCCTTTCCTAACTATATGTAATCACAACAAAAATAGACAATTTTCTTATAGTCTATGTTTCTAAGCATTTATGAGTAAAATCATTCAGAAATATTACAATACAAAGATGTTTATGATTATACTTCCCGAGCAAACTACAGAGGTGGACAACAAATACAAAATTAACTTATTATTAGACATTGTTTGATATACATGTACAATGTAATTACAATACAATAAACGCATTGTAGATAGTATGCAACATTTCAGAAACCTAATTTATTCCAAGTTTTTTATTATCTTTGAAAAACAGTTGATCATTTTGCTAAAAGATTTTTCTAAAATTGTTTACAAGTTCAATTTCAATAATCATCTTGGTTCAGTCAAGTACTTATGTATCAAATATGGAAATACATTTTATGATTAGTATTCATTAAAGCAGTGCTTTGTATTTTTAACTCTAAGCTTGCTGATGGTAAATAATCTTATTTACATGACCATTGAAGACCAAGATCAGTCGAAATATCTATGCTATCTGATCATGGTCTGCACTGTTTGGTTTTCAGGGAGTACATATTTTGAAATTTTTCTGCAAAATGACAAACAGTCCATTTTGAAAGGTGAAAAAGTCCATTTGTGATATTAATTGTGGTAAAGGTTAAAAAATACATGATATGTCTACATGACTTGCATTTTCATATTACAATCACATTACATAAGAAAAGAAAATAGAACAATAGAAGCCTACTGTTACAGTGTAACTAACTGTTTGACACAACAAACATGCATACAAAACATTAAACTATAATCACTCAACAAGCAACTGGCTTATTTGCTATCGCAAAAAAAAAGTTTATAGCTTTACCATACAAGTGTACAATTTTGAGTTTCAAATATAAAAAATATCACAGTCATTTTTTCAATCAATTATATATTTATCAATTCAAAGGAAATATATTAATTTTTTCTTTTCGAAATTTCTGGCAATTACCCTATACAGAAGCTCTCACTAAAATCTTTATAAAAAAGACCAAAATTACAAAAGAATGAATGAATGAGTAAAAACAACAAGATATGTACGGTATATAACAAGGTAAATGTGTATAACCCCTAAGTAAGCATTTGAAAACTCAGGAATTGTGCAGTGATATTGCCTATCTCACCTATCTGTGGCTGTATTTGAACTTTTTTAATGAGGTTTAAAATATAATGCCTTAGCACCCTATCCTCAAATTCATTTCTTTCAATTTGGTTTATACCATAAATTAAATTGGTCAGTTTACTTTAAATGTTGCTCTGCTGGACATAAATTACACAGATTTAACAATACAATTTCACAATTCCTGCATTATTTTCACATTCCTGTTTTTAGGTTATACACAGTGAAGTTTAATACTAAAGATTTGTTTAAAGTTCAAGCTGATGAGATGAATAAAGTAACATATAGTTTGGTATATTAAACTGTGTCACTAGGCATCATTCTTTCCTTAATTGACATAAAACAATCAATATATACTCTTTGAATGAAGCCCCCATTAATGACTTACCTAAGTCATCAGTACACAGCCCGGCCTGTCTGCATGTATATGTAGTCTGATCAGGTTCAATCAAGCATACTACCTTTAGACTGACTGGACTCTATACTATAGTGTACTTAATCTTAGTTTCTTTTTTACCAAACCATCTTATTTTGACAATTGAAAGTTCAAAAATTTAAAAGAGGACAAGTCCATTATATAAATTTAGCAATGTACAGGTTAATACATTTACACACTGAGGATGATGCCAACAATTACAGGTACAAGAATTCACTCAATGCCATCATAACTTTCAGTACACTCAGTCATAACCATGTTGCGTTTAAATTGTGACGTCTGATATGACCTGCACAACTGGAAGCTGATCTGCGGTTTGGTATACACACATTCATAACACAGCATAAATTAACAACACAAAAAAAGCTCTTTGTAAATGGCAGTGATATTTCTCTTCACCTAATTTGATATATATAAATTACAACTCATTATCTACATAAATTACTATAAACATGTATATACATCAATTTTATTCTATTGGAACAAAACAAAAATATTAAGAACTCAAACTACTCCACAATAAATGATGCAAAATGAAAAAAAAACAAAAACTTTATGACATAAGTTTTTCAAACAAGCTAAAATTGACCTAAATAAATGAAAGCAGATTCAGAGTGAATCATCTGATTGATTGGTTAGAATTAAAAAAATATCTGAATTCAAAAATACTTTCCATCTTTTCGATACTGTTGGACCCAAAAGCAAAGTAAATTATACATGTATATAAAAAAGATGCAAATGTCCGAAAATTAATTAATGTTGCATGTTTAGGGAAATATAATGTTATATGATCTCAAATATGCTAGATTTTCTTTGCATAAATTAAAATCTAAAACAAGAGGGCCATAATGGCCCTGAGGTCGCTCACCTGTCAAGTGGCCCCTCAGTGGGGCCAGTTTAAACCCTAAGGCTTTTATTTGAACAAACTTGGAAGACACCCATTAGAAGATGTTTCATGTTGTTTAGTTTTTACTACACACATATAATGATGTTGTTTAGTTTTTACTACACACATATAATGAAAAACAATGACCTGCCCCCCCCCTCTGGCAGGGCCAATTTCAACCCAAGGGCTTTTATTTGAACAAACTTGGTAGACACCCATAAGAAGATGTTTCATGCTAAATATCTAAGCTCTAGCTCATTGGGTTTTTTAAAAGAAGAAATTTTATGTTTTTACTATACAAATATATCTAAAAACAATGACACCCCAAGGGCGGGGTCAGTTTTGACCCCAGGGCTTTTATTTTGAACAAACTTTGTAGACACTTACTAGAAGATGTTTCATGCTTAATATCTAAACTCTAGCTATTTGGGTTTTTTCAAAGAAGATTTTTAAGTTTTTGCTATATACACATATAAGGAAAATTAATGACACCCGGGACGGGGCCAATTTTGACCCCAGGGCTTTTTATTTGAACAAACTTTGTAGACACTCACTAGAAGATGTTTCATGCTTAATATCTAAACTCTAGCTATTTTGGTTTTTTCATAGAAGATTTTTGAAGTTTTTACTATACACATATAAGGAAAATCAATGACCCCCGGGGCGGTGCCAATTTTGACCCCAGGGCTTTTATTTGAACAAACTTGGTAGACACCCATTAGAACATGTTTAATGCTAAATATGTTAGCTCTAGCTCTTTGAGTTCTTTAAAAGAAGATTGTTTAAGTTTTTACTATATGCATATAGGGAAAATCAATGACCCCCGGGGCGGGGCCAATTTTGACCCCAGGGCTTTTATTTGAACAAACTTGGTAGACACTTATTAGAACATGTTTCATGCTAAATATCTTAGCTCTAACTCTTTTGGTTTTTTAAAAGAAGATATTTAAAGTTTTTTCTTTCGGTTGCCATGGCAACCAGAGTTCTGCATGGAATTAAATTCTTTGAACAATTTTTAAAGGTGACCACCAAAGGAACATTCCTGTGAAGTTTGGATGAAATTGGCTTAGTGGTTTATGAGGAGATGTCATTTAAAGTAAAAGTTTACGGACGGCCGGACGCCGGACGAAAAGCGATCACAAAAGCTTACCCTGTCACTTTGTGACAGGTGAGCTAAAAACTCAACAAATATTTGGCACATTAGAACTTGTATCATTGTAACCACTACAAAATTCAAGCTTATCATTAACATTTCATGTAGATGTTTATAAAAAAGCATCTGCGGTTCTACAAAATAATTATTTGTTTACTGTATTGCCATCAAATTTGCAAGTCCTGGGAGCACCTGAGCTTGTAATGAATCAGAGTCGACCTTTTCCCCATCAACCATTATAATTCCTTCTCTACCCTGAGGTTCCAGACGAAATGCCAGAACTTTAACTAATTCAATATGTGGCGAGGGATGATCAATATGCGTTCCTTTCTCCAACATCCCCATCAACTGAATTAATTCCCCTTTCTGAATCCCAGCCCTAACTATGCATAGATGAATAATACCATCACTAAAACGAGCATCAGGGGCCATAATTACATCACTTCCTAAATGTGTCTGATATGTTCCACAAATAGTAACAAAGTCATCTTCAATAGTGACCCAGTTATCTGGCACAGGTTCATTGAGCGGAGGTAGAATGCATGGCACTTTTTGTCCAGGGACATTCGACAGTTTCAACACTTCCTGAATGCTGTTTATACTGTTTGATTCTTTCATAGGTTTATCCGGTGGAGAAGACGACGTATCCATTTCTTCTGTAGAAAGAGAAAACTTGATCTCTTCATTTCCTTGATCCTCTTCATTTCCGTCTGCTTCAAAAACTTCTTCACTAAATTCTCGTGATATATATGATCCACGAATATCAGTTAATTGTTCACCATTTTCAGCATCATCCATGATCTCATCAGGATCAGATTTACCTCGAAATAATTTTGTCGGCACCGATTTCGAACGAATTCTGAAATCATCACCGCCACCCTGTTCAGCTACATTATCAAGGCTCTGAAAAGAAACTCTCCGGTTTTTCCCCTCCATGTTGATATTTTTAGTGTTGTTATTTATAGAAGCTTTTGGAATGTATTCAGATACAGGAAGGAAAGAAAGCTTGCATTTGTACTTCCGTAAGGCTGAAATAAAAACAAAAAATTCAAGGCTAAAAAAAATAAGGAAAAGTTATAAAGCTAATGCCTACAAATGTACTTTTTTCCACATATGCCTTACAAATAATTTATTTCCAAAACAAGAATAACAGACCATGGAGACTGTTAAATCAAGTGTCACAGGGAGTTGGCCAATTCTGGCATCAGGTTGAAAAAATCTGATAGAAGTCCATTACAAAATATCTAAGCTACAAAACAGAAGAAAATTTTAAAATGTGTTCCTATATGAGCTTACATAGATCTATATCATTTTCAAGAGCCCGAGTAGAAAGGGTAACATAATTAATCAGAGCTAGCATTTAACCATAATTTAAATTGTGCGGACATAAAAATCGTACAACATTCAAGACTGTTTAGTTTTGCTGCCTGATATATAAAGAATAAACAGTTTGATTTTCATAATCTAAGGTTGCTGTGTTTGTGATGTAAAAACTTACCCACTTTTGGATTATTATTTTTATTTTATATTCAATACAAAACTATATTGTACAGAATATAAAAACTGTAGACCTAATATGATATGCAAAGAGCTGTTGACAAAAAGCATGGATGACATTAGTTTCTCTTGAAATAACCTTGACAATAAGTGCATTTGCTGACATTTATAGGGTTTGTGTCTGATCATCTAAAGTGAGCTGAGGTATCAGTGATTGATTAAAACTTCTTGCTTGTCTCTTTAATTTGGCTTTAAAAATGCAGTAACCTGTATTGAAAATTCCTACAGTAGGAAATCCTAAGATTAACACATTCCAAAATAAATCAGAATTATACTGAGTTCCCAAAATGCTGGTCAAAAATCTTTATGGGAATTTTCATCAAAGTGAAAATGAAAAAAGAATTTGCAAATACATGTACTGTACATGGTCCAGTCATCTTCTTGGATATAAAAAATAGCTCTTTCTAAAAAGGGTTAATTACTCCTCATAAATGACAAGGATATGATACCTGTACCTGTGTGTTACCATTTTATATCACACATATAACTTATTTTGATTCTTATCAGTTTTAATTTTGAAAATTTAATTTTAGTTTAAAATAACATGAAATAACATGAACTGTCACAAAAACAGTGATAGTGGCATTTTAACATCTGAAGTTAATAATAAAATGAACTGCACCATAAACCTTAACCAAGATGTCTATTAATGGCATATTCTTCAAACATTTGAGATAAAATCTGAAATTTTACAAGTACTTACAAAATATTCTCCTTATAGCTTGGAGAGTGAACCTGGCCTCTCCAATGGCACGGAACTGTTCACTCTCATAGTCGATGTCAGCAAGAAGGCCCCAGGCAAGAGATAGGAAGGAATATATCTGCTGTCTAGGTTGTTGTATCAGAACAAGGTCCATAGGAATGACACGATGTTTGATGAGAATAAATGTGGAATGTAACACAGCTTCAATCTGTACAGATTCACTGAAATGTATAAATTGTATGAATTAATTTTTGTATTGACATACTTAAAAAAGCACTATGTTCAAATGAAAGCCAGGCCCCAAAAGGGTGACCTCATCTTTAACCCTGTGACCTCTAAGAGGGTGTGGCAGGGATAGCTCATCAAGGTGTATGCATCTGTGCTGTTTGGAGGCTTTGGGCTTTCGTGGTCGAGGTAAAAATTTTCACAAGCAGAAAAACACAAAACATTGTCTAAAGATACAGGAGCAGAAACGTATTTACTTAATAAAAAAAAGCCATTATAACTAATTTGAACACTTTTTTAAAATTCAAATTAACATTAAAACAAATCTGGAGATACTTTAAACATTGATAATACATTATGTGAAAACTCAGGTACTGACGGACTTTAATTTGCAGAATACCAAGCTCACAGTGTATTTGGCAGAAGAAAAAAATTTAGCAGCATTTGCCCTGTTTGAAATCAATCAGTACAGGGTAAAAACAACCAAATTTCAGACAAAAGCCAGCTGGTGCTCAAATAATGAGATTCCATAGTGCTTTGGTTTATTTAATTTTACATTTTGGCATTACAGAATATTGAAGAATATATTGTTTTAAACATTGATACATCACTTATTGTGTTTTAAATAGAAGATATGGAGTTCATCATGAATATTATAAGACCTGTGGTATACCAAAATCAATCAATCAATCAATCAATCAATCAATCAACCCTTTTTCCTGAACAACAATATTCCTACTTAGAGAAACAATAACTAATTTATGAGACTTAAACAGAAATAACTAAAATGTTTATTGTCTTATAAAGACAGGGTCATCAAAAAAAGACAAGTTAAACATGTACACAATATTGTAGCTTCCTATACATATTGGTGACTTCTTACAAGAAATATATATATTATACATATGCACTTACTACAGGGAAGTTTTCCCTGAACATGTATTTGATAAATAAAACTCCCTCAATACCCTTGAAACCTAGCAATGAATACACTCAATGCCATTTACAAGTACAGCAATATTAAAAACAAATTCTTTTGTTGTTCTTTTTTTTTCAATCCTACAGTATAGCCAGCAATATTCAAGCTGAAAATATTTTTTTTGAATTTATGAAAAGTATAATATAAATGTATTAAAACTATGTCAAATCTGATAAACAAACAATAAACTACTTGTAAGGCCTGAGAGCTTGACATTTTAAGTCATCCTGTACATATCCCCCACTATAGACATCTAATGACAGTTTTAAATCTTCACTTCCTACTCAAATCACTTCCAGATTTGACCCCCTTAAACCTGACATTTCATAACTTCATATATCTATACTGGCCTTTTTCCTTTCATATCTTTCATATAATATATATTTATATTTATACTATAGGTCATGGTTTCTAGCTGTCCCGGTGAGTCACTGTTTTATTAAAATATCAGGCCATAAATATAGTGACACAACACTGAATGCAACAGTCCTAGAACTATCATCCCCCGTAACTTGCTGAGCAACACTGGAATAGTTGGTGACAAATGGGAGATTTAAATTTCATTGTTAAATATTTTCATAATGGTTAGTTATAGATAAAGCCAACAACCTTACATATGTGAGGCCATCACTTGGAAATGTTTCAAGGTAACAATGACCAGTTCTACATGAAAACATTGTAAATCAATTACACAGATAATAGTATATCAAGATTAACTTGTTTAATGTTACACCTCAAACACATTTTTGACCATTTATTTTGACACTGGACATTGGGTTTAAGCTCTTCTGCAAATTTTCAAATTCTTCTTCAAAGCAAACAGAAAAGGAAGAAAAACAAACATCCCTGTAATTCACACCAAATTGAAACTGGTTAAATTTCTTTTACATTTAACATATATAAATATGGTATACAACTCTTTGTTTAAAACCAAGAAGTTTATTGCAATTATTTCCTTAAAACATTCCCTATCAAAGTGCATGCATCTTTGTCAAGTAGCAGGAATTTGCCTGTTAACATAGCCCTTAGCCTTTAGTCAGAAACTGTATTTATCTATATGAACACTTCCTTGCCATCTGATCATGGTCTGCACTACTATTCACTCTGTATTCATTTTAAATTTTCCCTATATATGATGGACAGTCTTGTTCAAATTGAATGATGGACAAGTCCATTGAAGATATTTAGTATCTTAAGGGTTAAACAGTTAAAAGTCTAGTATCAGTTCAAACTACATGGAAGTTTATTCTTATGAGAAGAAGTGTCACTTGTGTTTATTTCAACAAATTTAATATGAAATGTGCCCTTGCTAATTTAATGAAGAAGAGCTTTATGACTGTTTGTTCGATATAAAAAACTTAACTATTGTCACATTAGAAGAGGTCTTGACATTAATGATCCATGCAATTTGATCAATCAACTCACTGACAATGGCTCAATTTCATTATATTGGGCCTTGAATGACCTATAATCATTATCATGAAGACATGTGTGAAATTCTAAGAGAATACCTTCTTTGGGTATGGAGAACTTGTATGCCAAACCATGAAATTTAAGTTAAATCTGCTGAAAGTCTATTACAGAATTGTGTCTAAAAAAGTGGCCAAAATATCTGATCCCATAGACATGTGTGATGTTTCAAATTAATACTTTCAGTGCCTGACATTAAACGTGATGTTCATTAACAAAGGGGTATAATCCATTCAAAAACCCATTATCCATATTATGGATATTGTATTCTCAACTAAATATGTTATATGGTAAATGCTACAAGCAAAACTTCAACTAAGTTTACATTGTGTCAGAGTGAGTAGGTTAACCCCACTGTTCTTCATATCTACTGTTCTTCAAACAGTCAAGCTAAAAACGTGCAATAAAATGCACACAAGACAAGTCTATTATATAACAATGGTGATGACAGAATTAACATTAAATAAATTACCCAGCTGAGTAGTTTATTGAGCAAGCTAGAGCATTTCCTGATCCCCCTGGTATACAACCAATTGGTGTCTTTATGGCATCTTGCCAATCGTCACGGTTCATTAAACCATTTATCACCTGTAGAAAAAAATATCAAAATCATTTTGACATATGTAAATTGATTATCTGTATCATTGTGAACATTGATTAATATCAATGAAATCATATTTAATGAACACATCTTGTGGATACAGCAATGTTTTTGTACTAAAATCATTACCTTTATTCATTACTAGCAACACTGATAGTCATTTAGTACTAGTAATTAATAATAGCATTATTCACTGATGATAAATATCATTGTAACTTCTTCCATTCAGCCAATTTAATCTAAAGTTGACGGAATTTGATCTCCAACCAAATTAACACAAAAAAAATCCAACATTTCTAAGATGAAAAGTCCTAATGCATTTCCCACTGAGCTTATAATTTCTTGTGGACATCTGATTTTTATATAAAATGTAAACCATGGAATAAGTGTTGTTATATGAAAGTTCCACACTGTGTATTAATATGTATTATCTAAGGAGGAAACTATACAGTGGACATGATATATTTTATAACAATTTATTCTTTTTATGAACAGTATTCATAAGCATTTAACATTACAACTCTTTCTGTAATTGACCATTACACTTTAGAAACAACATAATTGGACAATTTATAAATTTTATAAAAAAAACATTAGATATAGATTTATACCCTTTTTGGCAAAACCTTGTATTTAGAGAGTACATATATTGGTGGTAAACCAAATTCTGCCAATATATATCTTACAAACAAATAATACCCTGACAAGTCCAATTTGGTCATGATTTTATCAAACTCTTAGCATGATCATTATATTTCTCTGTTTATTGTCAGGAAATCTGGAGCTCCTAGATATTAACGAGTCTACCAATTCTAACCATATCAATCTAAATCAATAGTAGTTCTGAATGTTATTTCTTTCTTTTAACTGCAAATTGGCACAACGAAATGAACATTACTCTTCTGTTCCAACAACCCACTCCTATACTGTGCAGCATTATTTAAACTAATGTCTTTTTAGGAGATAAATATGCACATAATCATTTATAACATAAATTTACTTTTGTAGGCTTTGAAAGGAATTTAGACATTTATGTGGCACTGTCAAAAACAATTTCTTTATGAAGGTTAATTCAAAGACATTGACCTTACCTCATAGATAAGACATTAACCATACCTCATAGATGAGACCTTACCTCACAGATAAGTCATTGACCTTGCCTCATAGATAAGACATTGACCTTGCCTCATAGATAAGACATTGACCATACCTCATAGATAAGACATTGACCTTGCCTCATAGATGAGACCTTGCCTCATAGATAAGACATTGACCTTGCCTCATAGATATCAACCTTGCCTCATAGATAAGACATTGACCTTACCTCGTAAATAAGACCGTCTCCTGACACTATAACCACTCCATCATAATCTTTCCTATTCATTGATTTCATTAGTTCTGTGCCATGTCCTGCATGCTCTGTAATCATATATAACCAAAATTTTATTACTCATTCCTGGTAAGACTAAATAAGAGATTTTTGCCAATACTGGCAAATTACTATATATAATATCATTTTATTGTCTCTCTCTCACTCTCTCTGAGAAACATCTAAAATTGATATTGACACTAAGGAGGTCACTGGGCAATAAATATGCATTGTTGGTGTAAATTTCACAAAAGTTTGGTAACTTTCCAGTTCCAAAGGTTTTCAATATCATCCTACAACAGATTTCATACAGTTATATTATTATCCTTTTTCAAGTATAGATCAACATACATGTAGTTTTAAAATCTTGCTATTTTGTATATTTAGCTTTTATTTATCAATATTCTTTGCATTAATTTTCTTCAGTTTTTTTGCTTGTATACTGAAATATTGTATGGTTCAAATAATTGTTTACTAACTTCAATGTGAGATGATTCAAAATGATTGTCTTGGTAATATTTGTCATGTGGGGATCAACTAAGAAATATAGTTAACTTCCAATATAAACAGAAATTTTAAAAACATACAGAAATTAAAACCTTGACTTGAAGGTTAAGAATATTAAAATATTGGAACATATCAATTACCAGTTTCTATAAGTTTGACATGGACATCAGCCTCATCCAGCATTGGGGCCACTTGTTTCTGATAAATCTGCATAGCTTTACCTGGACCACTATGTGGGTTCACTAGCACCAAAAATTTTACTTTAGGAGGCACAGGACAATTGTCTACATCTGTAATGGGGAAAAAACAACATATTGTTACTATAAATAAATAGACAATCAATGAATAGGGAACGTCTCAATCCATGTGACAAACTTTGATTGCAACAACACATCGACACAACAATATGCCCCTTTTTTATTCCTTTTAAAATTTACAGGATAAATTATATATGCCCAAAAATTATATTTCTTATTGCTTTGGCATCTTGTTTTAAAGATAAGCTCAAACATCTCCTCTCTCAATTTTGAAGAAGTTTTACTGTACAGGTCTATCCTTGGCCGACAAAAAATGTGAACAAATATTTGCGTCCAATCTCAGTGTCCAATCAATACAGCCAATCATATTTTATTAGATTTAGGATAAACCAGCATTATAAAGGATGACACCAGTCCATGCATTAGATTTCCCAAATGTTGTTTTCTGTACTAGAAAATTGTGCAAAACCTTAATCAATTATTAGTAAACGTGTTTTAAAGCCACTTAGACAAGACACAGAAACTTGAAAGGGAAATCCTGGGGGGATATTAATGTTCGAGATTAATGAAACTGCCGATGAGGCAACTTTCTGCTAGGATTCATTAATGGGATCTGTTATATTCACAATCAATAGTAAAACAACTACATTGGTATATTATATATATAACATAAGTACAAAATGGTTTTTCATTAAGTTTGTATCTTCATTTTATATGATTGCATTCCAATCACTTCATACTGCTAAATAACCAATAAGATTTGTTGCTTTTTTTGTAATCTCTTGTATAATTATATGCATTTATTATCTTCAAATTTAAAGATTTTTAACAATTCCAAATATGACAGATCTTTTACGCGATAATGTTTGAGAAATCCCTATAATTCTACAGTCGTGCTTAGTAGGACTACTTAGTTGAACTCACTAATGAATAGACTCACTAAGGAATAGTGCACTGATCTTTGTTAACAAAAGTCACTCAATACGTCTGTGACAAAGTGTATGCTGGCCTTAATCTAAACTAGTAACAAAGTCAAGTATTATCATTGGCAGCACTAAACATGGTAAACATGTTATTACAATCTATATACATATAAGTTCTGTCTATGTATCATCACATTAATAAGCAGGCTACAAGGATAATTACATGAGTTGACATGTTGATCATTTTATTAATGCATTATTATGAATTACATGTCCTGGAAATTGTGTAAATGGCTTCAGGGAATAATGACACCAATATGTCATTTAGTACATTATAATGGACATTACCAAATTAAAACCCCACTAAAGGACATGATTTTATATGACAGTTTTAGTTGAAAACAATATTTGTTCCATCAAGTCTAATACACCTCTGCTGTTTTAGATGACTTAACAATGTGTAGAAGTTTGCATAAAATTGACATAAGTGGCAAATACAACAGACTTTTGCCATCAGAATCATAACATAGTATTACACAAACTATAAATAACATCATTATTGCAAATTTTAACTCCCTAAATACTAAACTGCCTGAATACTAGCAAATCGTCATAATAGCAAGTTTAAACTGTCTGAAATAATAGCAAGTTTAAACTGTCTGAAAACCGGTAGATTAACATAATAGCAAGTATAAACTGCCTGAATACTAGCAGATCGTCATAATAGCAAGTTTAAACTGTCTGAAAACTAGTAGATTAACATAATAGCAAGTATAAACTGCATGAATACTAGCGGAATAATATATTTGCAAGTTGTTATTCCCTGAAATCTAACAGAATTATGTATTTGCAAGTTGTAATTCCCTGAATACTAGCAGAATAATATACTTGGAAATAGTTTTTTCCTGAATACTGATAGAATAATATACTTGGAAGTTGTTATTCCCTGAATACAGTATAAGCATAATACACTTGGAAGTTGTTATTCCCTAAAAACTAGCCAAAATAATATACTTTGAATTTTTTATTCCCTGAAAACTAGTAGAATAATTATGAATTGTTATTCCCTGAATACTAGTAGAATAATATATTTGCAAGTTGTTATTCCCTGATAACTAACAGAGTAATGTTTTTGCAAGTTGTAATATCCTGAATACTGACAAAATAATATACTTGGAAGTTGAGTACAGAACAATCCCCACAATGATCACTGTCTCTGAGTGAAAACATTTATCAAGAAATGACAACAATCATGTTGCTTAAATGTTGGCAGTTACTTGAGTACCAGTAAGTTCTAGGTCATTTTTGTATAAAAAACAAACTTAAATATTTTGGGTATATTTAGTATCTGTCCTTACATAGCAAATGTGTCACTTTATAGCAAATGTCTATAAAAAACTATGATTATATTCATTGTATATGTTAATATTTATATACATATATATAACATGGGGCGCGTCCGTGGCCGAGTGGTTAAGGTCGTTGACTTCAAGCCACTTGCCCCTCACCGCTGTGGGTTCGAATCCCCCACAGGGACTTTGGATTCTTTCATGTGAGGAAGCTATCCAGCTAGCTTACGGAACGTCGGTGGTTCTACTCAGGTGCCTGTTCGTGCCTGAAATAATGCACGGAAGGGCACCTGAGGTCTTCCTCCACCAGTAAAGCTGGAACGTCGCAATATGACCTATACTGTGTCGATGTGACGTAAAACTCAAAACAAAAAAACATATAACATGGAACAAGGCATAATCTCAGCTCAAGTCATCCCATTCATCTTTACAGTTTGACCAGGTTCTATAATACCATTCTACTCAATTTTTGCATTTTGATATTGAAATCCCTTTCACTAATAATGGACTATTCCAAATTCAAAGCAGGACAACAACCATTATATAGGTATATAGGTCCGGCATAGTGAACATTACGATTATATCAAGCAGAAAATGAAAACAAATAAAATGGTACAGTATTTATTTATTTTCAACCAAATAAAAGATTAATGAATCACTGAATTGTAAAAATGCAACATTGATTTCACTGATCAAATAAATGAAACTATCATATATAGCTTTAGGCATTAATATTTATTTTATGACTCACTAGCTTAATTCATTTACATTTTAATATTTTCTACACAGATCCGCTTCAAAGGAGTTCATGTTTAATGAAGTGAATAAATTCACATATGTTTCTCATTTCCTTTAACATAATGACATCTATTACAGCATATGCTTAAATCACTTCAAATTTACTTACCCAACCCAAAAACAGAGAAAGAAAAATATAATTATAAGTAAAATGAGATTAGAAAGTAAAAATCTACCCTTTTTTCTGAAAAATATTTATAAATGGTCTTGCCCTCTTTGAATTTAGAACATTCCATTGTTATGATAGGGGATTTCAATATTGAAATATCAAAATTTAACATCGAACAACACAAATAGTCTAGCCAGTCTGCAGAGTGGCCTCAGACACAACCAATTGTCATTTCCAGGATTCAAAGGCATTAAGTAAAATATTTATTCAGAGCAGGCAAAAAATGGGGGGAAAAATTGAAATTCATATATTCATAATATATGTGATAATTAAGATATGTCCAATCACATGCGATCATTATCCAAAAAAAAGCTTTGTCACACCTTAGATATAGGTAAAATTTTGAAGATAATTTATTCAAAATTCTAATTGCAAAATATGAACAGTTATAAATTCCATGCACAATTTGAAGTTATAAATTTAATTAGTGAGTCATAGTTGTTGATTACGCCTTCATGCCAAAGGAAATATTTTGGCTTCTTTCAACTGAATTTCAAATAAATTTATGATTCATAATTTGAAACATTTTGTCATTCAGGTGGGTTTTGTTATGCAAAGTCTCAAATATATATTTCTCATGTGAAATTTAGTCATCAACAGTGTCTATATAGCATTAAATTTAAATTGCAAAATGGCCTTGAAGTTCTGTTTCTAAGAATAGCCTTGAATTTCAGACGTAATAAATTTTTTCTTCCAGTAATCATTTTCACATCAGCCACTTCATATTATAACCGGTAGCAACGATTTCCAAAAATTAAAACACTTCAATCTCTTTCTAAAACTGTTTAAAATGTTAAATGCATCTCTGTTACAATACAACTACTTGCCAGTCTGTTGTAATGTTGACCTTAACAGCCTGGCAAGGACTTTTAGATTTTCAAAGCCCTATTGGGGCAGTGTGATGTTAAATATCCACACTGCACCCACTGAATTTGTGTGATTGAATTCTTATCAATTTTTATTATACCAAGTATTAGTGAAAGCAATTCAACAGCATTGTAAAATTCGAAAAAAAAATAGAATAAAAAAATTTCAGACAATGTAAATCAACCATTTGTATAATCTATAAATAAATATTGTTTATTCATTTATTCATCACATTATTCTGTAAATTATATACTTCAAACTAAAATAAACTGATTTATAAACAGTTTGAAAATAAAGGAAATTAACTGCAGATATTCCAGTCTGGTATAGCACATTAATTTTGTTACATCTTTTACCTAAAAATAATGTCTACTTCTGCTTTAGTTATTTGCAATCTGAAGCATCCCTGAAATGTTACAATGGACACTTCCAAATCTAAGACTGGAACTGCCTATTACTCAAAATAAAGGATTGTGGACAAGTTTACTAATCACTGATGTGCAGTGAACAAAAACGCTATTCAGGCACAATCTGGCAACCGTTTAGTAGCTACTTCACATTCAGGGCTTAAACTTTGAATGTGACTTGTCCGTTTAACAAAGTCACAGACTGTAAACAATTATGGTTAAAATTAATCTATGCAATATAACCTATTATAGCTTTCAAGTTCTTTTAAAATCTATATGAATTACAATTAAAATTAAAGATTTCACTGCAAAAGTATTTGTAATTTTCAAAGTAAGAAGCTGAAAACTGAACAATCCAAATACATGATAAATATACAAGAAGAAATTTGGTACATGAAGGCTATGAAATAAAACAGAACAAAACTTCCAACAACATAAACTACCAACACCATCACAGCCAATCCATCACCAGGTTCCAATTACACTAATTTTACCTCAATGGGCTAACATCATTCAATTTTAGTTTTTAGAATTGTCTTACATAGACAAGACAGACAGAGTTTTAACAGAACATATGCTAGAATAGTAGTGACTCTTTCCTTTTAATTAAAATTGAATCCTACTATGAAATTTCCTACTACTTTATTTCATTGATAGAATTCACGTATTTGTTTTTTCCCCAACGAAAACATATCTTTTTCCCAATCAGTGAAAAGTGATAGTTCTAAATTTTAGTTATAGTTCTAAATTTTAGTTTTATATGACCAGGGGTCATCTCATTGTATGTATTTATTCTAGGCTTAATGAGGGTCCACCAGACCTTTCAGGACCCCAGACATGTTATCAACCATGTCCTTGGTCATCTAATTAAATTTGTCATTTTCTGTTAAATAAGAAATGACTCATGCTCACCTTCGTGGGATACTTTGCCTCCCTAATTCTAGAACTGTTCTTCCACCCTTACAGTATAGACAGCCCCTAACAAAGAATCATTGTACAAGAGGTACAGAGACTGCCTGCTTTATTATAAGTGAAAGTCATTAGGATTTAGTCAATATTCTGTTCTGTTGATACATTCATTGTCCAGCTCATGTTTCTCTCCCAACAGAGCCTTGCTTGTGATAATTGCATTATTCTATTTTGAATAAGACATGATAATCACATGACTAAGTCACTTCCTGTTGTAAACTGTGAATTATTCATACAGCTTCTAGACAATTATATTTGAAATTTAATAATGGACCCTGACAATAGATTATATGAGAACAAAGATTGAAAGAATATTTGTCTTTGAAAACATACCCTGTTTGTAACCCTATTTTATCAAATGTAAAACATGCATGATTATGTACAACTTCTGGTCTCAAAAAAAAAACAACCCAAAGTCTACCTTTTAATATCTGTCAATCTGACTAACTCATTTCACATGGCATTCTGTTTTTAACAGTATTTAAGTGAAGTATCTAAGTGCCACTTGACCAATATATCTAGTAATCTACAAGCCAATAAACAAAATACAATTATGGAAGTATCTGTTTTTGCTGATTAAAAGCTTTGTGGAAAGGAAGCAAGAACCAGGTATACACATCCCTTAATTAACCTAAAATTACAATATTTCAGACAGAGAATAGAGATTTTATAGAGAATAAAGGTACCACAGATTAAAATAGCACCAGTCATTTGTAGCCTTGTTCTCCTACTACTGGAGATGAAGTGTATTTCTACATGTACATGTTCCCTCTGTCTCGGCACAGACCGGTTGTGCCAACAATAGCAAGTATGCACTCTACCATACATTGAAGGCATGTAACCATCTTATTGCCCTTGAATTTAAGGGATGTTGTTGGTCCCCTCAACCGCAGTAGTGGTGGTGTTGGTAGTTTTAACTCTGGTTCACTGAGATGTGGTATTCCAGGTACCAAATGACTGGTGTATAGAAGAAACTTCAAATATTTATAGAGAAATACTTTATAAATAAATTGTAGCTAGAAAGATAAGATATTAACTGCAATAATGTATATAAATGCAGTCTGACTTTAAATTAGTAGTGTGTTGTTAGGAGATAAAGCCACTGCACTTCAGTGTAATTGTTTACAATGACTAAAGCTGCTAACAGCTAACAAAGTTAAAATCTGAATTAGTAATTAACTACTAACAGCTAAAAGACCTAAAATCAAAATCAGTAATAAGCCGCTTACAGTTAAAGATTCTGAATAAGTGATTAGATGCTTACAACTAAAGTACTAAAAATTTGGAGAAGTAATGAACTGCTAATAGCTAAAGAGCACTTTGTGTAAACTTTGAATTACAAATTACATTTGTACTTGCTAACAGCTAAAATCTGAAATATTAATTAGGTGCTAAATGTAGCAGCTACAGTGGGCTACATTAAGAAATTTGACAGGTAAAATTAGAATATCAATTAGCTGCTACCTGTACAGCTAAAAGAGCTTAAATATGAATTAGTAATTGGCTGCCAACAGCTAAGGGAGCTACATGTAAGACAAGAATAAGTAATTTGGTATGTACAACAAGAGAGAGCTAAAATCAGAATTAGTAAATGGCTGCTAACAGCTAAGAGAGCTACATGTTAATTCAGAATAAGTAATAAGCTGCTTACAACTAAGAGCGCTAAAATCAGAATTAGTAATTAGCTGCTTACAACTAAGATAGCTAAAATCAGAATTAGTAATTAGCTGCTTACAACTAAGAGAGTTAAAATCAGAATTAGTAATTAGCTGCTAGCAGCTAAAAGAACTAGAATCACTACAATTCTATATATTTTACACAGACAGGACTTGCCTATTTCAATTGATGCTTCTTCTTGTTTTGATTCCTTTGCTAAAAATAAACAAAACATGCAACAACCATATTATACAACAATAAAAACTAAAACTCAACTGATACATGGTAAATTCATGCATTTATGTACAGTAAAACTTGTATAACATAAGTTGACAAGAATATTTTCTAATGCAATAATTCACAAACCATGGATTTGACACTTTAAATAAAAATTGATGAATTATAATAATGCTGGTTTTATTTAAGTCAAGGTTACTATTATAACTTGGTCTTACACACAGGTTTTACTGTACATATTTTGGTTTCATGCATAAACAAAATGAACAAACAAAATCTCTGGCAGCAAAATAAAAATATATTTTATAGCAAAAAATTATGCTCAAACATAAAATAACTCTTATATATAAACCTAAAATTACTAACAATTCACAGAACATTGGTAATTAACCCCTAAAATAATTTGTGGCACCTAATTGCTGATAATTATGCTAAATACACTCTCAGAATGAAAGGTTGACTGGCTGCATAATATGTGACATTTTGAATACTTTATACAGTGTAGTAAGACTTTCACTACTATAATCAATGATAAAACTATTCACTACTAACCTGAAGAAAAACAGGCTAAAAAGTTCATATAGGTATGTTATAAATATCTTTTATATGGCTTATTAAATCTGTCATTGCATTCAACGGAAATCGAAAATTTTAAATTTCAGCTTGTCTACTTTTTCCATAATTTTAAATGAGCGCATTGGCATGCTAATGTGTAATGTTCTTACAAATGTAAAGATGATAACTAAAATAGACTAATTTGACTCTTATTTACCAGTCACCCTACGTTTTTTCAGAAGAATAACAACAAACTTGTCAAGACGTCACATCATAGTCTTGCGTCTTTCGCGGATTTCCAGAAAATCTATTTTTAGAATATACTCTGAAAATCTGTTTTTAGGAAAAAAAACAGTGAATATACTCTGACATTGACCTGTTATTTTTTACAAAAAGTTGCTTGTTAACCAATCAGGGAAAGGCATTAATCAATGCTATTTATAGATTATATAATAATACTACATGTATTTATATGCTTCCATGGAGTAACAATGTACATTCTATAAAGACATGTGGTTTTTCTGTTAAATATAATATGATATACTTTTAATTCACATTCACCAGTAAAATAATATTTTAATAATTTCATAATGAAATATAATTTCACAGTCGTACTGAAAAATATAAAATTGTAATAAAGCAAATTCCATATCATCATATAGTTTGTTTATAACCATACAGGAATTGAAAATTCTACTTACTCATACTTACAAGTAGAGTTTGAGAGATTTTATTGCAGGACAAGTACAAAATGAATGCCACTCATAGAATAAGCAATGTGGGGCTCATCCAGCAGCAAAAATATTCTTCAATTCCTGTCATTTTTCTGATTTTCCTAACATCTTTGTGAACAAGCAAAATTTTTTTCAGATCAAGCTGAACAATATCATATGGGACAGTGAGCTTAATATACAAGATTTATTTATAATATTTTTAAGAAAAAACAACAATATTATTATGTTACAACGGCACTAAATCAGTCTGCAGTGTTGTGCAGTTTTCTTTGAGCATTTTTGGGGCCAATGTTTGACTAATTCCCTTCTTCAAACAATATATTTTTATGCCTACAGTACATTTAGCAAAATTTCCCCTTCATAGACAAAATATATATAATTATATATACATGTATAAATAAAAAAAATTGAAACTTCAGAACTTGAAGGTCCTGATATACAATATATAAAACAAATTTTGTCCCTTTTACTTATTTTCGTCATAACAGGGGGTAATTGTCATCAATATTGCTTCATGATTGTATAATTAACAAAATTTTTCTGTCCAAAACGGACCAGCCTGTGACCATTCCCCATCAAAGTCATGTTGTTTCCTTTTTCCTATTCTGTTTAATCATCATTTCCTATGGAACAATTCATTAGCACAAAATGGTGGAATTTTCTTTTGATGTAATTTTTTTTTCACCAAATTTTTTTATCATTACCATAACATTTAAGATGTTTACAAGTATTTGAAAATCACTGCGCAATATATTTAATCTACATCAGTCTGTTAATTATGTCTAACATTCTAAATATTTTACAATAAAAATTTAAGTACAAAACATTGCAAAATTTTCATGCAGCTGTTTTCAACATCATGAACATTAGGGTGCCTGCAAAAAGAATTTTGTTCCAAATAAACAAAGCATGTTATAAACTCATACAGTGCATAGTTATTTATTCTACCTAGAGTCCTTGTCTGCAAAATTGTTTTGCCAAACCTTTATCTAAAGATCACCTCTGAACTACAATTATATTATCATTTTTAAAATACATGTAATTGCATTTTTTCTATTTATATGAATTAGAACTTGGCTTGTTTAGATGTTTAAACAACATATCATATCAAATCTGCATCAAAAATATAATGCAAATATCAAATTGAAAATAAAATTCCAAATAGCTTTCAGTATTTTATTGAAAAAGACCTTTTTTGATACTGTTTATTTTTTTTAATCAAATTTTTACCAAATAATATCTTTGAGTATAAAAAAAATAAAATGTCTTGTGAAAAACACTACCATTACAGTACACTATCAAAAGTAAATTTATTGTAGACAAATAGGATTTGAATATTTGCCCAATTTACAAATACAATGTTGTTTGATGTGTAATCTTAAGTTTAAGAGTTCAATATATGGGCTTTGAGCTCTAGTAAATATCATATCACAGCCCTATACACACAGTCATCATATGCATACTGCATATATAAGATAGGAAACTTAATTCACGCTGCTTATACCTGATGGATTTTCTTTCACCTTTCACATATTTCTACTATATACATTACATTGTATAAAAAATAAAAAAAATAAAAAAATTCCTTGTGATAACCTGATAGATTAACATTATGTCAGAGATAAAGTTACTAATCAAATTTGACTGATTATGAACAATAGGTTGTGAAAGTCAAATTATCACCATGTTTGCACTACATCTAAAAAGATTAGCAAATGGGGTGACTTTGCAAGTTTTATAGTCCTTATGTAGTATCGGAATTTTTCATAATTATCTGTGACTATAATGATAATTCACCATAGTTAGCAGTTCTCACATTTTCTTTTTGCCCACTTCCATTGAAAAGGTCACCTTTACTAGTGCAGAAAAACCTGAGAGTTGCCCTCTGTTTATTTTTTCAGACTCATGCGTACAAATACTTGTCTATCTGGACATAAAAAACTCAAAGTCCCTGGTGGGATTCACAAGTGATTTCGAGTCTGGGACTTTAACCAGTTGACCATTCATGAGGACCCCTTTGAAACATTATAAACAATGAAACAAATTACAGTCAAAATCTTAACAAAGGTTGTACAGTCATGTAAATGCGGTCTTTGTTGAAAGGTGGTCCCTGATGAAGAGATGTTAGGGGAAAAGCCATTTATGAAATAGAAAACTAAAATATTAACATTTAAAGATTTTTTTCATTATAATGGTATAAATGCGTATCTATATTTTAGCAAAGTTTTTATTGTACATGATTGTATAAAAGAAGGTTATCATGACTGTCCTATATATTACAATGATGAACATGAATACATCAGGCGATGTGTACGTTCACCATCATTTTATCATTGAGTACTACTGATGCCCGTAATAAGGGTAGTAGTTTGCTACACTAAAATGTATTTAGGTTAAATTTCAAAGTGCTTCAAAATAACAAACAGACCATCAACTTGACAAGGCCAATCGTAAAGTTAACAGTATATATTGAGTGTTATGTTACAGGTTTAATTATATACAATATAAAATCACAATATCAAATAAAACATCAGGAGACTGAGGTTATTAACCCTTTTTAAAAGTTGGGGTACCTATTAAATTCATTAAATGGACTTGTTAAGCTAGTATGTTTGGAACTGTCCATTATCTATTTAGGAGAACAGTTATAGTAATGGGTCAGACTACACTGATGTGCAGACTGGCTTGGCTCTCTACTGGGTGGAAAATGCTAGTCACTTTCCATTTCAGCACAGTAAGGGTTAAACCACAGGAACTTGAAATTCTATCAATATTAACGATAATATCCAAAATATACCCCCTATACAGTATAAATAAACAGTTTATTTATACTGTATAGGGGGTATATTTTGGATATTATCGTTAATATTGATAGAATTTCAAGTTCCTGTGGTTAAACTCTATATGGATTAATTACCAGATTAAAAAAATAAACATATTAAATTTCTGATATAAATTTTTAACTTATAAAGAATGAGTTTAGTGCCTGTTTACAACCTATTACTTATATACATGTTTTGGTTGGCAGTAATCTTGCATTTGTTCAAGGTTAACCCAACTTTCTCCACATCTAATAGACCATTCATGAAAGATACAAAAGTACAATATAAAGGGCTCTAGAAACTGTGTTGTCAACATATTTTAAGGCACACAAAGGTTAAACCAGACCCTGTTTATAAGTTGCTCATTTATACCACTTCTATTACTGTGGTCCCTTAAATAGCTTGGCATTTTAATAAAACAGTATGATAATTTAAAGGGACACCACCGACGTTTTTTGAAACACAAGGGCACTGAAAATATTTTTCCAAGATTTGTATACCATTTTATGTAGGTTAGGACAATTAACTTGTGTTCAAATTTTCAGACCATTCCCTCACCCTGTTTTTCAAGAATAATCATTTTTACAGTTCAAAATGACTCAAAAAATCAAATCAGGCCAAGAATCACTCATTGCCATTGGATTGCCAGTATAATTCTGGGTATATTTCTTTAATATCCCTTGCAGATTTTTTTTCGATCTATTTAAGAATTTTAAATTTCATGTTTTTAGGCTTTTTGACCTCAGTGGAGTTAAATGTAAATCAAATTGATATCATTTCAATACAGAATGATTTGCATTACATTTTTAATGGAAAAAAATGCTTGCTGTACTTTCTTATTACAAGACTTACAATTGAGCTTGCCCTG